CTCTCTCTCTCTCTCTCTCTCTCTCTCTCTCTCTCTCTCTCTCTCTCTCTCTCTCTCTCTCTCTACACGATAGCCATGCGGGTGGAGGAATGAGGGATGAAATGGAGAAGAATGACTTTTTGTGCAGTCAGCAAAGGGGGGAGTCGTAGCGAGAGAGAGAGCCAACAAGGTGGATCTTTGTCACATTTCGCTCATCGCAAACCTGCAGGCTGATGTTACAAAACCTCTTGCAATGCTGGGATTTCTCGCATCGTGGCATTTGTGACGAAGACGACGATTTTGGACAAGCTTGAGTGCAGGGGGGCGCTGATGAGAGAAGAGAAAGGGAGGGGAAAAGAACAGTGGACTCTCGATACAGAGTACCTTACAGCCCTTGCTCCGAAGCTGTGGAAACCCAACGTCTTAACCGAGCGGGCGACTAGATGTCCAGGGGGAGGGGGGATTTTGGAGATTCATGGGTGGGTCGCCCTTTTTTGTCCCGATTATTATTATTGTTCTCTGGCAATAAGAGAATCAATCAATAGGTCCTACTAGTATCATTATGTATGTATGCGACCCCTGCAGCATTCCATCATCCCTACCTCTTACCGATCTTACTTACTTACACAAGGAGATAGGTAATGTACCTACCTACGTATATACCTCGACAGCTAGGACTTGATGGTATGATTGATGGATTGATGGGGACATGCGGCACAGCACATGTACAAGTAATTTGACTATGCGTGTCATATGCTCACACAGCAGCAGACAGACAGGTCCAAAAACAAGTCATTGTCTGCGCTGACAATACGCAATAACACGTACAGGTTCTTGCCACTTCATGCGACATGCCTTCATTGAGCACCGTTGTGCGACCGAGGACTTGGTTTGACTTATATACCAGGGCGGCAATCGTGTACGGTATCTCTCTTTCACAAGGTCGCAAGTGGTCAATCGGCCATGGAGCGGGAATTCCACACCTCATGCAGTGAGTGACTGACTGAGTAAGTAAATGAGTGAGTGGGTTGCTCCCACGTAGTACACTATAGCTGCAATGGGCATGAATTGCGGTAACGTAAGCGATATATCGGGCTGCACTCTCGTTGCAACCATAATCGGTCAGGTGCGATTTGAATGCAAGTTCTTTGCATGATCGCCGCCGTAGAATCCGAATTTGGTCCCCGAATATCAATGCCAAGATTATCATGGCAGATATTGTCGAAGTGTGCCCATTTAGCCATTGGCGAATAGGCTTTGCTACAAGTTTACAGACGCCAGATAGCTGGGATTTGGCCCAATATCATGCCATTCTGCTCTCTTTGTAAGGAGTAGTAGTACGGGACTTGCTTCCTGTCTGTTCCTTCTCCCTGTCGCGATGCGAGGCGTCGGGCCCGATGGGAGCCAATTCGGCGACCCGTCAGCGTGGAAAGCTGGGATTGAATTAGGTAAGCAACAGGGCAGTCGGTCAGGGTATGGAGCAGAAGAGTCTGCCATTGGAAGAAAGCCAGATCTATGAGCAGCAAGCATGTGCGCCTGCGTCTGCATTCCAGCCTACCTAGCTCGTACACTACACTGAGACACGCAGTCTGTCATGACGGTCGCGGCTCAGGAGCCTTGGGTAACTCAGAGCCAAGGCAATCTCTACATGCTATGCACTTTGTGAAACCACAACGTCGGCGTCTTGCCCTAGTCGGTTGTAATCCGGGTTCCAATATGGAAAAGAGAACTCGGCATGCAGGGCAATGATCGCGGCCCTTCGATCGCCAGGGACGGGGACTGCTGCTTGATGCACGGCTCGCAATGCAAGCATGCTCACGGTATGTGATGATCACATTCGATAGATTATCCCATAAAGTCAATCGGGCCCGATGGTCAGATTCTCCGCACTAAAATAAGCGAGTCTTACGCATACGCGTAGACATATTACATAGTACAAGAGCGTTGCTGTTGTGTGCGGGTAGCACCACAGTAGCTCAAGACCATAAAAAGCCTCGGCTCCTCAATATAGCCTTGATAGCTTCTAATCGGTCTCCAAATGAGGGCAATGCACTCATTGCTAGCTACCTTGTTGCGATTAAAACTGCAGCTATTGGTTGTCCCAAGAAACCAAGCTTGCCTTCGATCAGCCTTTAGAGCATAGACGCAAGATTCCATGTTTGCCGAGACTAGGGTCCGTCTTGTCCCTCGAGCTCATGGCAGTTACTCTCCTTCATTGTTCCCAATGCTGACGACGATCTGTCCCTTGACGCACTTCGGAAGGAACTTTCAATGGATGTGCAGTGTCAGGTGGCTAATGGTCCAGCCAAATACGTCTAGGCTACACAAATGGGCCGAATTGAAAAGACGACAGGGTCGCTTTGGCAGGTCAGTATCCTAGTCTGTGCGACTCTTTCCATGCTGGATACGTATCGCTCTTGGAGTGAGGCTCTAACAGGTCTAACGGCAACCTGCCTCCAAATACAAATCGTGTATAGTTTTACATACGTTCGATCTACACGCGACAAAATGGTGTAATTACACGACTAGACAATCATTGGTCACCGTATATGCTTCCCTAAAGCTGGGCGCAAAAACATATGTCAAAAATGATCGCCCATGTCTGGTGGTCGGTTCCCTAATAATAAACACTCCCCCACTCAATATTGTTCAAAGCAGAATGACAGATTGAGCCTTTACGGCACAGCCGGTCCAAGCCCCGAGGAGTCGTTTTATCTTGACTTTGATCGAGATCACGATTGAGCCCACACCGGCTGCATCAAGGGCTACCTGCCGCTTGTGATGGATGTACCTTCTCATTAAAGCCTTGTTCGTGTACCTGTCTGTAGACACTATTGCGATCCAGAGAAAGAACTTAGCAATTTTGAAGACTTGCAAGTCCTAGCCATCTTGGTAAAGATACACCTGGGATCAGCCGTTCTGCATGTCTGGAAGAGGCCGGGAGCTGCTGCGAAGCGCCGTGAATACCATGCACTTATGCCTTGACATGGCCATGGTTACCTGGGCAGATGATGCCCATTCGCCAGAGCTGTTCCAATGGCCCACAGTCTACCGTTCCCGTGTAGATCAGTGGGGTACACAATTATAGTAGTACTCGTAGTAGGAGTCATACTACTTTAGGAGGGCACCAACCTGGTTTATAGAATAGGCAATTCATGCACCTAGTGAGGTCGACGACTATAAGGTAGGTAGGACATCAGCTGATCTATTCTGATGGCCCAGCCATTGAAACATGAGAATTGCAACGAACCAATACGTTTTCATCAAGGTGCGGGTGTCATTGCAGATCCTTGAATAGGTCAAAGCACCTGGCCCCCACGCCATTTTTTTCTTCTTTCCATCATAGGGTTCCGGAGCACGGGACAGCAACGCTGGATCACCCGCGGCTTGGAAGACATGTTGCTTCAGGTCTGTTGCCCAACACGTCGTTGTAGTATCCTGCCGGTGGTAGAGAAAACGGCAACGACATGCATGTAACATAGGTCTTTCGGGTCACATGCAGAGCGGGAGGTGTTTCGGGCAAATTACGGGACAGGATTACTGGTCATATATGACTTCGGCGTGATCCGAGTGGTTCCCAGGAAACCCTTTTATTTTCATCTTCCAGTGAAGACTGGAGGGAAATCCGACCTGTTCCGCCTACGCACAGACGTGACAGCCTCACGCAAAGGCGGTTGTTGTGGTCGTTCACATCATACATGTACTCGAGACACGGAAAACATTGCTAACGAAAGTGCTTCAGAGCGTGATGGAAATAGAGTATGGTGAAGCATCGGAGGTGAGTGAGATGCCATGTATCTCTGGCCTGCTCCCGACATACACTCCCTCGCAATGAGTATGGAAAAATGCAGGACAGGCTAGCTCGAGCGGAAGAACCACGCAGCATGGCTCACGCTCAACGACCACTGTACCAAGACCTTCTCAGTGTGTGGTCTCCCATTACATGCACGAATAATGACTGGTAGTCCCTTGCTTGCACTTACGACGACTAACATTTGGTGCCACTCTTCGGCCATGGTGGTCAGCCGGTGGACAAGAGAGCATGATATCTCCCCAGCAAGGTAATTGTTATTAAAACCCTAGAACCTGACTTGCTGGAGTTGCATTAATGCGTGCTGTTAGGAAGCCGAGTATACACTACCTACACAGCTCACACCGGTCCGGGGGTGTGGCCCGAGAATCGCAAACAGCCCAGGCTTTAGGCGCTCCCACCTCGGGCAGCGACTGCAATGATCCATTGCCCGTGGACGTTTGCAGCTTATCCAGGCTACCCCAGTATGGACGGGCAGGAAAAGAGATGCTTGGCGTCGAAGCGAGTTTGCTCCTAGACGCCCAAGTCATGAGACGGCTTCATGGGAGCTTGCTGCTCAGTGGGTCGGGTTACCCGCCTTGGAAGGACATCAAAGAGCCATTTGGCCGTCCCAAGTTGCACAGACAGTGACCAGACAAGGACCATATTCCCACTTGCAACGACCCGTCGCCTGCATTGCCAGTAATCCGTGCCGTAAGGCTCAATGCGTCTCATGAGATCCAGGACCAAGTCGCAAACGCCAGAGGTCGTATTCGTCACGGGACGGCCCTCATCGATTGACTGCATATCGATAAAGGCATCACCGCAATGGTATGTATGAACGCGAGCTTCAGACGGGTAGAAACAGCAAGACGAGGGACAGAAGGCTTGCAATTTTCATGGACAAGACAAACTCGTCCCAAGGCTTCATATAAGGGAATTTTAGTTCCTGGCAAGGGAAAATGAGCAACCGGGAGGAAGGCGGAAAAGAAAATTATAGCAAAACGACAAGCCAGCCCTGAGACTGCGCTGATTGACCAATCACTGCCTGCATCGAGCCCCTGTTGCGGATGACACACCAAATGAGAACCTGCATATCGGTGAAAGCGTCGGCCGCAATGTCTGCACTGGGGTGGCCAATCGTCGAATAACATGCACCACCAACTCATCGGTCTCTACCTAATGATGGGACAATGCTTGCATTTGAACTAGGGTACCGAGAGAGAGAGCGCGCATTGAGACCCCATACCCGGAGTACTTCGTACACAATGATTTTTTTTTTTGGGACTTCTTATTCACGATGTGCATACCCAAGTCCAGGTGCTTGCTAGTCGCCCAGACGATGGCAGATGAACAGTTGAAGAGGCGAGTCAATGCGACGACACCTCTGCGCAAACTTGGACATACGGTGAGCTTTTCAAATCATGACTGTTGGTAGCCGATCAGCAGGCAGGCGAGGAAGCAAGCAAGCAAGCAAAATGTTTGGCAAGCTTCCTGCCAACCTGCCTCTGGTGCCCTGCTAATCAGTCCACCTTTTTTGTGTGTGGAGGTCGTTTCTTCCCCGACAGGAAAAAGCAAAAAAAAAAAAAAAAAAAAAAGGAACCACCACCCAGCGTGAAGTATTTCCGGCAGTTGAGAAGGCACGAACAGATGGTACCGTTCAGACCGTTACAACGAAGCCCTTGCACCGCGACCCCAGGTAGGCAAGGTAGACACTGCCCCCCAATGCTGTACGCGGCGAAAAAAAAAAAATCATATGCCCATTCAACATCATCGCAAATCAATGCCATCTCCAACGTCCAGGCATCTAAGCTAGTGGGAGACATTGCACCCAGCTGGAGGCAGCTCATCTACCGGCGGACCAGTTTCCTTGCATCACCCAGGGTGCGCGTGTGCTAGTACGGAGGATCATGGAGCTTTGCGAGAAGGCAATCCAGGCCGTCGTCCACCCCACGGCTGCCTTCCAGACTGACGACGATGCCAATGTGCAACCCTCAACAGCTTGTCAGCCGGACTTGTGGGACACTTCCCTCCTGAATCCAAAGAACCGGATTGATAGTCTGGCTTTGCCCGAACGCCCACTGTGGCGAATCGACGGTTGTACTGCCCTAGGCATGCAATATTACGCAGTTCCTCTTTTCTTCAGAGACGTACCGCCCTTGCGTGTGGATGTATTCATCTACGAGTCACAGCCGTCCAACCTGCGACAGCAGCTGGAGCTCAACGTCGCCTTTCACACGAAAGATGCCACTCGTCTGTCACATCTGGCCATCACGAAATACATTGTCCGTATTCTGGAAACTTGGACACGAACAAAGTTCCCCCATCTGGACGCCTGCACAGACTACTACAAAAACGCCCCATTTGGAACTCGTCTTGTGATTGAGAACTTGTCGACCAATATTCACAATATTGAGGTTCAAGTGGCTCGGAACCATGATCTTGAGCGCAGACTGCTGTCACTGCCCAATCTGGAGGCACTCTGGGGTTCCAACTTTGACTTTCCACCCATTGTGGACTTTCACGAGCTCCAAGTCATCCGTGTGCTTCACGACAGCGTGTGTCTTGTGCAGTACCAGGGACAACAATTCATCTTCAAGGCCCTCATTGGTGGCAACAAGTATCTCTACCACGAGCTGAAAACCCTCTGTTCACTGGAGCCACATCCGCATGTCATTGCCAAGCCCATACATCTCGTCAAGAAAGCTTGCAATTTTGGAGGCAAAAAAGCCATCATTGGCTTCACGACTTTCTACCATTGCAATGGTAGCCTGCGAGACTTGTTGCCGCAACTTCGAATCCATGGCGAGCTTGATCGACCGCAGCAGTTCAAGTGGTCCATTCAGTTGACAGAGGCACTCGAGAATTTGCGTGTCACGACGGGGACATATTATCCTGACCTCCGGCTTGACAATATTGTTCTCTCCGCAGCAATGGATCTCGTCATGGTGGACTTTGAGCAGCGCGGTGTATGGTGCGAGTTCGCTGCTCCAGAGGTCAATTCGCTCGAATATCTTCGCATCATTGCAATGGACGATCATGTTGACATGCGATTTCCCACACCTGACCAGGAGAATTACCATCAGAAGTATCAAGAGATTCTGCGCCGACTGGTGCCAGACTACGACAAGCTAGAATCTGACAGATACGCCAACCCACCAGACGGGTACAACATTGCCTGGATTGCACTGACCCCGACCGAACAGGAAGCCGCAGAGGTCTACATGCTTGGTCGAGTGTTGTGGTGCATTTTCGAGGGAGTCAGTGGTCCACAAAAGGCTGCAGTCTGGCAATCGTACCCATATGAATCAGATCTCGAGTTTCCCGATTACGACAGAACACCTCTGGAGTTGAGAGACCTGATTGACCGATGTACATCCGGCAGGAGGCAGACATTAGGCAGTTCCATTGCACGCCAAGGTGGTCAACTCATACTGAGGGGAGTGCCATTGAGTCAGCAAGGACCAAAGGACGTGCAGGACTTTGCTCGTCTCTTTTGGAAAAAGGAGCTCAAGGTAGCCGAGGACTACCTGGCGATGAGAGATGAAGAAATGGACAAAGGCAAGTGGACCGGAAACTACTACAATCGTCCGACACTGAAACAGGTGCTGGACGAACTCGAAAAATATCAGGAAATTCTTTTATGAGTATGGAAGCGGCCCAGCATAGCTTTATTGTCAAGGACTGGGCACGCGTGTGCGCTTTTGGACGATGAAATCGAATGCATTTCCGAGGAATGATCAGCAGCTTTTATGTCGAGATGTTTTCAAGGCAATAAATTAACGTAGTAATGGCTGCCAGTGTGTTGACAACAAGGGACCCTGATATATAGATTAGCAAAACGACCGTTGGTCCAATATATGTCCATGTCATTGGCAAATGAGGAACAGACATTGCTTTTACTTGCCAGACATGAAGCTGAATGATTTTTGCGACAAATTTGTCATTTATCACAAAGTTAAAAAAAAAAAAAAAAACATGTGACCAGGCATTTGATCATGTACCAGGCGCTTGACACGTAATATTTACAGGGTTCGACGTTCTGGGACTGACGAATCTGTTCATTTCATTCCAGTTGCCCTGGGACAATGCATTGTGACGGGCGCTCTCGCCAGGATTAGAACCCATCAATTACTAGACTCGAGTCTACCTGCTATCATGACCTGATCCGCACAGATAGACAGACGTATGCCAACAGGAAGCATGAAATCTTGACCAATTAATATATCAGAGCATGTTGCATCCAGTTCAGCGCTCACTTAAACAAGATTAGTCATTAGAATTCCGGGGTCGGGAAGCCCTTGGCTCTAGGTACAAGAAACCAAAACCGAAAGATGCAAGCCACGAACGTAATTTGAATCGACATTGAAGGTAGCACAAAGTGCGCGGTATTTTTATGAATTGTGCGCCTGGGTAATGATGATTTGTATCTACCTCGAACTCCAGGTGATAACAATATAGCTTACCAAGCTTTTTCAATCCACTAACAGCTATCGACAGCAGGCGCAAACCACCTTGATGCTGACACATACCTACCTGCATCATACCTTGTTTTCAAGGTAAGAGCAGACAATCGAAACAGCAATGTTAAACTTTTCTGCCTTCTTTTAGGGGCCCCAAAAAAACACCCCTGAAAAAACCATCTTGTTCAAATCATCAACCTCTACTATTAAAACATCCATAACATTCAAGACCACAAGGGTATCAGCGCGTTTGTGCGGCTCGTAGCGGATCAACGACTGACTGCCCCACGCGGAGAGCAGTTATCTCGAGTATCCAGAGTCAGGAGCTGAAGATCTGGGAAGTATGTATTATGGCCCGTGCATTACCCGAAGAAAGGCCGACTTCTCCTGACGTCTGGACAGATATGCACGCCAAAACCGCGAGTTTGTTGCATTTTCGACGTATTCTCAGATTTATACGCTGCGTATAAAGCAACGATACTTTTGTAATAATATATACGTATTAAAAAGTATTAATATATTTATTAAATAGCGGCGGCAATTTAGAATTTTCGAATCCGATAAAAATTCGTAGTACGGTCGGTGGTTAAAGTGGAATCGAATTTAACGGGAATTATACGAATTTCGACGTTTTTCAACATTTATCAATAACCACGTATCCAAATTAAGTGCACCCAGGTCTCTAAAGACTATCGCGAGTCTCCGGTCCTGGGGCTACTTTCGGATTTTTGATACGACAAAAATTGGTGGAATCGTAGGTAAGTTTCTTTGAATTTGAGTACGAATCCAAATTCCGGAATTTATCGAAACTCACCCACGATTCCGCCAATTTTTGTCGTATCAAAAATCCGAAAATAGCCCCAGGACCGGAAATTCGCGATGGTCTTCAGAGATCTGGCTGCACTTAATTTGGATACGTGGTTATTGATTAATGTTAAAAAACGTCGAAATCCGTGGTTTTTAGTGTATTTTTGGCGTGCATATTTATCCAGACCTTAGGTGCTCTAGTTCGTTCTGGTGGTTTGATTGGTTGAATTTGGTATGGTCAATGCGTTCTTTTATGGAGTCAAGAAAGTACATCAAAAAACTAGAGCACTAAACTAAGGTCTGGATACTCGAGATAAGAGAGCAGCAGCTTTATCGATAAAGCCCCAACCCAACGTCCTCTCAAGCAGCTAGCTATTGTGTTTGAGAACGAAGCTCTCGGCTGGAAGACGTCAAACTTACCCAACCATTAACTTACCAATTTGTTTTTTTACTCTCTTGGCTATTCTTCTACTCCGACGTGCGATCCTACCAACGACCCAGACGCAAATCCACGACCCCCGCTCTCGACCTTCGGTAGCATACAAGCAAAGGCAGCTCGCACAGATGTCATGGCAGGCCAAGACAAGTTGGGAGGGGTGCCTGCTCTGCAGGTGAGCAAATGTCACCTCGAGACTGGGCGCAAACGGGTGAGTACTTCATGCCACTGGTGTCGCTTGTCTGTACCAGCCACCGAGCAGGAGGCTTTCGCTGACAGGCTACCTTGCTTCCTTCAAGTACCGGTTAAGAAGGGATGAACGCATACCATACGAGGAATCGCCCCACGCCGCTCAAGAAGCTGACTCTCTGGATGAGGGTGTCCAGAACGAGGATGATCTGGGTGGTGGCCCTGCAGACTGGGAATGGTTTGATGACATGATGGGATTCGCGACTGGCCCTTTCGACGAACAATCCGACAAGCAATCCGACGAGTTTGATGAGCAACATGGGGAGCAATCTGAGCAACCGCTAGATGTAGCGGGGCACCATGATATGGAAGATGCCTCAACCGACGGCTTTGGAGATGACGCGCCCGCGTCTTCAAGTCCGTCAGACGGCGAAAGCGACAATCAGCAGATAATCTTTCTGATCGATTCAGACGATGAGTCCCATGACGATGACGAATTGCAAAGTATTATGAGCGATGATGAACTTGAGGATGACATTCCAGATATCGGTATGGGCATTGGAAATGACTTTGTACCGATTCCAAACAACTCTCAGGCTCCAAATGTCCCACCCATCGCCGAATGGAGACTGAATCTCACGGCCCTGTCGCAGAAATATAATCTCTACTTTGCCGCATACAGTGACAAGATACACGTATCGCGACCGCGCAGTTGTTCAACACATGATCTGCCCTCAAAGCCAGATCTTGTGCTCAAACCGGCCCGCAGTGCAGCAGCCCGTTACATCATAGGGACTATCAATCCAGGCAAGCCACATGAGGTGAATCATCTCATTGTTGGAGATTTGGGTCTCGAGGAGATATTGCTCATGGCGCACGACGATGGCGATGTGACTGGCTATTACACCAAGGAGATCGAGAACGAGATTGCGGCCATCGAAACATCTCAAAAACTTTCTGGCTACGTAGTAAAGACCAAACCATTTTTCCAAGAAAACGTCGGTAAATCGGCATGGGGTCTTTCTATACATATGAAGTCTCGCCTCATTGCCGTGGGGTCAAATCTACATGCAGTCACTGTGTTTGCTCCGGCCCTTTCCCTCGAATCTCCGGAGCCCGATGTCCTCGCCGGTTCATTTTGGCAATCGATCAAGAAGACTCTCGATGGGTCTGCAGTTGAGTTTCCCGAGACCTTGAGGGCCTGCTTCCCGACGGCTACTGGCCGAGTGCTGAAACAAAGGACTTGCAACTGGAAGATAACCCTCGATACGTCGCCCGCTGGCAGCAACATTCCCAACCTGACTTTTAGCAACGACAAGGATGGAAACGCGGACAAGGTCGTAGCAGTTGATATAGAAGGAAATCTTTGGCTGATGAACATATGGAGCTTCGATGTACCCTTTCAGAAGATACCTTCGCTTCACCGCCGCTCGAGACGCACAGATGCTGGACAACGCGGGCCGTAAGTCTCTCAATTTCTGCCGATCCTCTTATGCATGCAAATTTGCTGCAGAAAGCTACCATGGCACCCACTTAATCATCTTCGTTGTGTTTATCATGGTCATTATTGCCTTCTCTCGAGCAGGAATAAACAATAAGCTAATTGCCAATCTGAGTAGACCACGCGGCTGGGGTGTACTCGTATTGCCAGCAAGCAGTTTTCTTACGTCGAATAACTGCTATGGTACTCTTGGTCTTCCCTCAGAAGAGGTCCGCCGCGCTCAGCATCCATCGATTGGAAGCTGGTTGGACATAAGCAAAGCTATCACCTATATACCGCAAAACGCGCTGTACTACCCTCGAAGCGGTGGCGCCAGGCGACCTACACCCGCGGAAATCAAGGAGCGCAATGAGAATCTTAGTCGGAACATGAAAGAAATGAACCGGAAAATCGACCTCGACTGGTGGTTTCAGCAGTATAGTCCTGGCCAAGCGCTGGACACCGAGAGAATGGCGACTTCATCAACACTTGACGATGGATCGAGTATACTTCGACTGTACGAGACAGGTATCGAGCTAAGACCGCACGAGAAGGACAAAATGGGCATCATGATGCAATATGCCATGAATCAAGTATTCCCCACTCCAACGAACTCGGTCGCCTTCCAGTTCGACCAGCAAAACAGGCTGGCGAACTACCACTTCATCCCAGAACTATCATTGGTTGTGGCAGGATCAATGTCTGGTCGTGTTGCGCTGGTCACCTTGACGTGCGACCAATATGGGCAAAGGGGCTTCAAGGTTGAACTCATTCTCCCCCTAAAGAAGGATGAGGAAGATCAGTTGCGTCCCCTTTGCCCCTTGTATGGGGTTGCCGTTGGGCCTCTGCCGGTCGGTGATCGTTCCGAGGCACACACACCGTCAATGTCACGGCGATATCGCATCATGATGCAATATTACGACCACAACATTCTCAGTTATGAGTTCAGTCGCGGCATGGAGTCTGATGTCCTGACCATCATTTGATATTGAGATCAAAAGCTCAAGTAGTCTTCCTTGGTTTCTTCTTCTTCTTCTTCTCTTGATTTGGTACTCTTTTCGATACCCTCGGCGTTTGTTTTTTTTTCAACATAGGAGGCGTTTTGGCAGTTGCGAAGCATTGAGACAGGGGAGTCTATGCTATGATGCATCCACAGTGTACTCATCTGCCCGCACAATAATACTGATAAGGATGATGCTACGGCTTGATCCATTTAGGGCTGGACGAGGCAGGAGTTTTACGGTGCATCGATTGACATACATACCTACCAAGGAAGCGACACACGACGTATCATGCATCATCATTATTGATGGACATAAGTTGGAGTTTCGTGGCGAAAATATGTAATACTTGACAGCGAATTGTTTCTGCTTCGTACATGATGTATTTGACAGAACATTGAATCATATCATGCGAGTACGTACAATGCGTGCGTGCATACAAGACGTGATGATGCGTAGAATGCTTCGAGAAGGCTACTGGAAACAGGGATGATGGATCCTCAAGATGGTGGTTACAGTAATGCAAGGCACAGGCAAGTTCCAGGACAGAACGTCATCTCTTACTCACCTACAGTGCAACATACATAGTAAGGTGGCCTTGAGTATACGCAATTTTGGGGGGCTTTGATTTGGGGGTGGTTTCATTAATACCTATGAAATATCACCGAAAGCCCGGCTAGGGGGCCACCTTAGGTCCCAGACCATCAACGGTTCTCTCGTAAAAGATATTACGTACAAGCGATTCTGTCAACGTCTCCAGTCTAAACCTTACGGCTTGGCAGATGAGCTTATTCTGACATTCGCTGAGATCAATGGCAGAGGGAGACATATTTCATTTTCAAGAGTATGAGTTTTTTTGATCCAAGAGTGTTTTCCATCGAAACTCGTCTCAGGCTTTGTGATGGGACATTAATGGGCTTTATGACGTCTCTGATTGCCTCAGAGAATGAGAAATCGGTCGGCACCTGATTGGTTCGAGATAGGAAAAAAGAAAGAAAAAACATAACTCTCTAGCGTCTTGTTCTCTTATCTCTTGGCATCCATAAGAGAAAGTCTCCACAGCAGAGCATTAAAAGCGGAAACCTTGAATGTGGAGTTTACTTTTTACGGCGTCTCCATAAGTATTTTTTTCTTTCGATCCGGACAAAAGGGCGCGTGTTTGATCAGGGATGGAGGATTTGGGGAAAAAAGACAAGAGGTCTCAAGCTGGGCCACTGCCGCCGCCTTGGCTTACACGTACAAAATACAAATGGGATGGGAGTGGAGAGGGAGGATCTCTCTCTTTCGATGGATGCGCGCCTGTCTGTCGGGCAAAACCGTGCTGTTGGTGTGGGCTAGACGAAAACAAAGATGCTCCATTTCTGCTCTCTTGACAACGACAAGCCTCCGCCCTGTCTCGTAACCGTACCACCTCTCTCGCCTGTGTCGCGTGCGGCCGTACCGAAATAGGTTATTTTAAAGTAGGTACCAATACGGCGACTAAACTTTTGTAGATCTGTCGTGCTGAAACAGCTGAGATCGCGGTGCCAGTGGCTTTTCATTCGGCGTTTCTTTTTCCTTGTTGCTGCTCGGGCGCATCTAGTTGCAGGAAGTCTGGAAGTGTAGATAGAGGCTGAGACGAAGACCAAGACCTCCCACTGCAAAGGGTGGTCCAGACGGATTGTTTTATAATTCTCGTTGCTATCTGCTTCTGTCTGACAATTGCTCTGCCTGTGTTGGGTGTGATACGTCTCTACACCACAGACTCTTGTAGCTGAGGCAAGGCGCTCGAAATGGTTCAAGGCTGGGGGAGCCTGTACTGCAAGTATGCAGCGTCGACGCAACAGCCTCATCTCATACATACATGGTAGCCTTTTGGCGATCATAAGTGCGGGCCTGGTACCGCAGGCTCCGGCTGGTTTATACACTGACACTTGGGTATCCATGCTGCACCATCTACTTGTAAATGGAGCATGAAAACAATACAGACTGGAGATTCAGAAGGCCCATGGCATCCCAGCTCCCGGGCAACGAATTGCGGTAGTAAAGGCTGACGAACAACCGAAAGTCTCTGCCGGAGTTTCATCATGATAGCCGTACTATGTACATCTATTTCTGCTTCCCACGTTGTCTGCCTAGTCATCTGGCATACACTACGGCATCGACACTCATTTCCCTGCTTCTCTCCATGTTTCAAAAACCCTATTGAGCCAAGCGGCGGCCTCTCGGTCCCAATAAGTAGTAGTAGAACATTTCTTGATGCTGATAGGCAACGTATTGCCGCATACATGAATGAAATAATTGACGGCATACTTTGACATCATGCTGGGCGGCGCATCGGACAATCGCAACACCTTGCCCAGAGTCGATCTCCACTGGCTCGGAGATTGTCTGGAGCAATACGTAGGAACCAACCGCTTCTCTAAAGTTTGTCCATGTTGCTCGTATGTAAGCGATGACTTGGAGGTATATACTATCCTTATAGTAGGTAGTGGTATAATGGTTATATTTCTCTTTGTGACCAATGACGTTGGGTTTGCAAATGCTTCTTTTCTGGTACGCGGTCATTGTTGATGATCACAAGCCGAGTGACAATCTACATTGCTCAAAGAAAGCATCTCAGCCCACATGGTGCACACTCCAGCTGCCAGGAAACGTATGCAGAATTGAAAATCATCATGCGCAGGTCATCACAGACGACTGCACTAGACAAAGTCCCTGAAGATCGCGTCCCATATGCAAAAACTCCTCCCCAAGAGACTGCTAATGAGATTCTACTCTGTGCTCTGTATGCGAATCTTACCGACTTGCGTCTTTGTTTCCTTTTCCGATGTTCGCCGTTTCAATCTCGCGACTCGTCGTCTGATGATTATCAGAGGGGCGGTCTTAATCCCATTCGCCAATTCGGACGGTTGCTAACACTTTGCTGTTTCCTGGACAAGCTATTTCGTAATGAATACCTCTGTCCCCACGCCATTGGCGGCGTGTGCTTCCTGTCTAAGTTGAGGCTCATCTAGGACCCTGGAACCATTTCAGGCACCCTGGAATTCGTATTTGCATGAGGCGTTAAATCCATCGCAAAAGCAAAAAGAATCAGAGACATCGCCAGTTTTGTGCGATGGAGTTCCAAACCTTCCAGATTGCAGATAACAGAGTAAAAAAGATTCTACGCCGCCCGCGATTATGCACGATAGGCGTCTTTCCCCCCCTTTCCCCCAAGAAAACCCACACCTCGGCTCTTTACCCCAGAGAAACAGAGGAGTATCCTGTCGTCATAGTTTTTTTTTTTTCCGCACGCGGACTGACTGGCCTGCGAAATCGAACGAACCGCCCACCCCGGCAAGGAAATTTTTACTCCTCAGTGGCTGTCAATCCCTGCTGCAGATGCCGAGAGATGCCCCCACTCGCCCATGTAGCTGGTGCTCTAGCACCCAAAACGGCATGGTGGCTAGACCTGGGTCTCCGGAGCGAATTTTTCGTCTCCCTCTCTCTCTTGCAACGATTTGAAGATTCAACGACAAAGAGAGGAGGCGATTCATCCTGCTAGGCCATGGAGATACCAGTGGATAGCAAAAGGTGGATACTTGAGGCAATGTCTCGAGTCTCGACCTTTTTCCCCATTTGAAAGATGCAACAGGCAAACAGGTCAGTACCGATCATGTAGACGAGACATGGTACGCGCTGTCAAAGAAGTTAGCTGCATCATGCGCTCATGCGCATATAATATAATACACTCCTGTCAAAGCTCAAATGATCTTCCTGTATGCATATTTTGTAAATTGGAAGAAGCAATTCCCAACTTGAACTTGACGGGGGCCTGGCGTTTTGATACGACACAATGGTATTACATATAAGTAATAAACACCCACGGGCATTGATTTGACAGCCCAACGCTAACTATACCAACCAAAAAAGAAAAAAAAAATGCCACTACGTACCAGGTACCGAGTCCCCCATTGCCAGGAAGCGTCCTCCACGCAATGCTCATTTTAGCTGAGTGAGGGTCACGAAATGCATCCGGGGACGGACACTGGGGAGGAGACACTTGTCCATCTTGATAAATAAAGTTTTGTTCTTGACAATATTGATTTCGTCCTCGTTAAGGTATCCCGATGCCAAGGGCCGCGTCTAATATTGAGGTATGGTATTCGGCCCATTGGAGACTTTTTTTTCCCCCCCTACTATGTACTGCCTCTCTCACTGTAGCAAGCTAGACAGACGGCTGTTCGACATGTGATAATTCCGATTTTTCAAAGCTAGTCGCGTGCATTTCCTATATGGAAAATACAACTGTGATATTGTCATCAGCCGTGAACTTGATCCCAATACTACAATGCAAAAATGATGCCTCGTTTCATCTACCTAGTTCACTATAGTAACATGTCAAAGTGGATGGATCGACAGGTGCCAGCGATATCGCTTGGCCGTGAAGCTTTACCTGGGCGCAGGAGATATCCCCAGAAACAGCCCAATCATGCACCCCCGTTCCTGATGTCTGTGACTGATCGGGTGCGGTAATGGCTGTAGGATGGGCTTGATGGGTTTAGGTATCGAGATGGGAGATCCTGGCTTTTGCCCGCCACGCCCACTTTGCAACCCCCCCCCCTTCTTCCCCCAAGCCAAGATTAATGAATCCCTCCTACGTACATTGATACATAGCCAAGACTCCCAAGTCCTTCTAGTGGTAAGTACACGAGAACGTGAGTGGGAGAGAAAGAGAGACATGCAGACATCCCATCGATACTTGTAGTGTTCATTTTGACTCTGGAGCGCGTGGGTTGGCGTTTTTTTCTTCTCGTCCTTCACTGCCTGGCTTGTCTCTCTTTCAGAGTGTGGTGTATCCATGTATGTAACTGTCCGGCAAAAAGGTGACTGTGGGGTACCTACAATCATTACATGCTACCTTGTACCTACCTCCTAGCTTAGCATTGCTGGGTGCCAGGCGTCTCCACACCCAGTCCGTCTTCTGCAGCTTCTCACTCCCGCGTCCTTCCTTGGCCCCCCGTCTCGTCCAGGCTTTAATTGGTTCCAGGCCTGCTATCTGCCCAAATTCGGCGCCCCCATCTGCGCTAGGTCGAGCCGGGCGATCTCGCGACCCAGCAAGTAGCAGCAACAGGCATTGCCTGGGCTAAGGTAGTAGGTACGTAGGTTGGAACTGGAACTGGAACTGGACTGGAACCACCCTCGCGCGCACCTACATAGCCAGGCCCAGCGTCACCGGCAGAAGCTCCTTGACCTTCAATTCTCCGTATATATTTCCCTTGCATGCCCGGCCGACTCGCGCTGCTCGCTTGAGTGGCCTCTTTTTTTCTTATTTCCTGGATTTCCGCCTCGATTATTTCTTTCTTGGACCCCTAAAACCTATATACTTTATAACCATCTTGGTTGGGATCCTCTGTGCCTGCTTCCTATCCTCTGGGCACACAACACCTGTATCCCATTGTGGTCCGAACCAAAAACCCTCTTAGAAGTTCCACTCGAAACCTCTCCTACGCCCAGGGTCCATTGGCCCTGCAACAACCGACGTCATGTCATACTCATGGGTCGGAGCACCAGCGGTGTTCAATGGCACCAACGACGAGACTGGTGGTGATTCTGGTATGTTTGGGGAAAAAAGAAACCAAAAAAATGGTCGTGCTAGCTCCGGCCGGCAAGGTTCCATAACTGCCATACGAGAGCGAGAGAAAAAGAAAGCAGAAAGCAAACTAACCCGTATTGCCTTTCAACAGTCACCGAAAACTTGAACCAATGGTACCAATCCGGCGACCAGGCGTTTATAATTGTTGCGTCTTGTATGGTCCTGATTATGATTCCGGGTATCGCCTTTCTCTACTCTGGACTGTCTCGAAGAAAGTCGGCTTTATCTCTGATCTGGGTGTCCATGATGTCCTTCAGCGTCATCGTCTTCCAATGGTACTTCTGGGGTTACTCTCTGGCATTCAGCAGCACCGCCACCAACGGCTTCATTGGTGACTTGCACCACTTTGGATTGATGAACACGCTCGCCGTGCCGTCCCCCGGCTCCCCCTTGATTCCCGAGTTGCTCTACTCGTTCTACCAGGTATGTCGTGGAATGGTGGCGCAGAAGAAAGCTAAAGTTTCGGACTTTTGGTGTGTCTCGACGGGCCTATAGGATTTGGACTAACCTGAGTGATTCTGCAGATGCAATTCTGCGCCGTGACTGCAGCCCTCGTCGTTGGTGCCACTGCCGAGCGAGGCCGAGTCCTGCCAGCCATGGTCTTTACTTTCTTCTGGGCGACAATCGTTTACTGTCCGGTAGCATGCTGGGTGTGGAACGTCAACGGCTGGGCTTACAACTATGGTGTGCTCGACTACGCTGGTGGCGGTCCCGTCGAGATTGGCTCGGGTATGTCTGCTTTGGCCTATAGTTGGGTACTTGGCCGACGTCACGAGAAGATGATGCTCAACTTCCGACCTCACAACGTCTCGCTCATCACTCTGGGAACGATCCTCCTCTGGTTCGGATGGCTCGGGTTCAACGGTGGATCTGCCTTTGGTGCCAACCTCCGTGCTACCATGGCCTGCTGGAACTCGTGCCTGACGGCCATGTTCGCTGCCATGACTTGGTGTCTGCTCGATTTCCGCCTTGCTAAGAAGTGGTCCATGGTCGGTTGGTGCTCCGGTGTCATTTCTGGTCTTGTCGCTGCTACTCCCGCTTCGGGTTTCATTCCTCCTTGGGCCTCCATTGTGCTTGGCGTTGTTACTGGCATCTGCTGCAACTTTGGCACCAAGAGTACGTTTTCCCAATTCCCGTTTTGTTCCAATGTCGTGTTGCTAACAGGAGTTTCCGTATAGTCAAGTTCCTTGTCAAGATCGACGACTCTCTCGATGTGTTTGCTGAGCACGGTATCGGTGGTATTGTCGGTCTCATCTTCAACGCCCTTTTCGGTGCCGACTACATCATTGGCCTCGACGGCGTTAACAATGGTGTCATTAATGGTGGCTGGATCAACCACAACTGGAAGCAACTGTACATTCAGATTGCCTACATTGTCGCCTGCTGCGCCTACACCTTTGTCCTCTCGGCCATTCTCGCCAAGATTATCGACCTGATTCCCGGTCTGCACCTGCGGGCCAGCGAGGAGGCCGAGCTTCTCGGTATGGATGACGACCAGCTTGGCGAGTTTGCCTACGATTACGTTGAGGTTCGTCGTGACTTCTTGGCCTGGACACCGGCCAAGGAGGAGCCCTCGGGTGATGGTACCAGGATCGTGCCGCAGCATGGAATTGAGGAGCACCAGAACCTTGCCAACACGAACGGACACGTGCTTGAGTCAGAGAATGAGAAGTTTGGTGCCTCGGCAAGAGATCCGGCCAGGGCAAAGGCTGCTGAGCAGGCTGCCGAGAAAGATGTTGAGAGGACGTCCAGCGCCGATGGTCGGCAATGAAGAGCAAGTCCCATGTGAATTACACTGCCTATATAAGCGAGCAAAATTGTTTTTCCCACCATTTACTATATCTGCTTGGGCTTCTGATGGCTGTATTTAATACCCCTTACCTGTCGGAACACACAAAGAAGTCATTCAAAAAAAAAAAAAAGATATTTGAGCATCATCGACGACGACTTTGGTCTCTCGTAGGATCTCCTGGTTACTGGGGCGAGAAGAGAAGATACATGAGTAGAGAAAAAAAAGTTGTTTTCCAAGGCGCGCGAGGAGTCATCTAGGATCAGATCGGTTGTAGTTTTGAGCAGGAATATACCACGACGGGCTTTTCTTTTCTTTCACATCAAGAAACAACCATGTGTGCGCTTCATGTCTCTTCCCTTGGTCACTACTCGTAGTAGCTGCATACCCTGCATTGAGCCAAGCCAAAACTCGATATTTGACGCTTGATGGACGTATACTGGCCATGGCGCGCATATAGTCGAAACAAGAGTATGTTAGTAGCAACCATATAGATAGACACATTAATTAAACTGATTTGCACAAGACAACTGAACTTGGACCTTTTGCATAAATGTCATGTTTGGTGTTTTCTCGGTACTAATTATACATAGCGCAAGCATAATCATTGCCAACATTGAAGATTGCAGCTGCTTTCAAGTCACTCCCAAAGTGCACCAAGCAGAAAGGAAGGCACGAAGGTCCCGGATATTTCCCCCCAGTAATCTGATTAATCTAAAATTCCCCAGAGCGCTTGCTCCTTCCAAAATTACAAGGTATCGAGTGCACATCTTTTGTTTTTTTGAACCCACTTCCGACCCAATCTGATCGACTCTGCCGTAACCACCAACCCTCTCCCCTTTGCCTGCGCTGCCTTCTGCGGGATCACCACGTTGTACGCGACCACAGCGGAATCGTGAGACCCATGGGCAGGCCTTGGTGGTTTGGCAGATACGAGGCAATTATTCGTCCTTGTCAAGTTCTTGGCCATCCAGAACTTCAATCCATCGCCATCCCCAGCCTCTTTCATCTAAACACCCACTCCTCTTTCTCATACAGACTTGGACACCACTTCCTTCATTACCAAAACCACTCTTGCCAGCTCTCGGCTCTGCAAGTCAGTATGGGCTCCACGAAAAAGGACAAGGAGCTCGAACAACATGCTCGTGCAGCCTTGGTGCAAAAGTGGCTGCCGAACGACAGGGACGACAAAGACGCCTACCATGCCAAGAAACTCACGATACTCAACATCATGGCCATCAACAATACTCTGGCCATAGAGGATACCAAGAAGGATATTCACGGCGTCAGGACGCAGTCTTCAGATATCAGCACAATGATGGAGGACCTCAAGAAGCAATACGAGGCAATGGAAAGAGCCCAGAAAAGCAATCAGGAGCGAATGGATCAACTAGGCAAGCTCTTGGAAGAGAATCAACGCTCCACCGAAGATGCGCGAAGAGAAAACCAGTCTCTCGGTGAGCGTGTTCGGGACCTTGTTGGACAATCTGCTCAAGTTGAGAACCGAGTCAGTACCCTACTCGGCAATGAATCTGAACGCATCAACGCATTGAAGGCACTCATTACTGGCCTGGAAAACAAGCTTGAGAAGCAGGCACAGCGCGACGAGTTCAAGAGCGAGCAATTCACCCGTCTCGACGAGCGCGTCAAATTGATCCAGGAATTGCAGCTGCTTGCCACATCAGCTCCTGGCAGATCGAGGGAGGCGATGAACCAGACTGAAAACAATCGTGAGTTTCTCTGAACAAAGAATCAAATTTCCAAGATGGTGGTTGTTACGAATGACTAACATTAGCAGCCGAAAATATCCCTCAGTCACAGGCTGATCCCAACCAGGCTCAGTCGAACGATGTTCACGACCCGAGGACTCACAACGCACGAGAATCGTCTGCCGATGGATTGGAGAGCGATATGCGCATGGACAGCGAACATTTGGATGAGGCAACCATTTTTGCTGCTTGTGGGAAATACATGAATAGCGTTAGATGGTTCAATCGCCGGCATACTCAGAAACCTCCTTCGGGAGAACAGAAGCATCGGTTCGTTCGGAAGTTTCTTGAAGCGCAGACCAAACGCGTTGCACACTATCTACAGAGCCTGATCATTGCACACTTTCCGAACATCCGCCTCAAATCATCTGACGGATACTCCCAGAAGCGGGTGTATGGACGAAACAGGATTCACTTGCGCATCAATGTCAATCACATCACTTGGGAAGATGTGAAAGCCGCTTGTAATGATGGATTCGACGCCTTGGTCATGGCCAGGGCTCAGATGGCGGACGATCGAGAGCAGGAGAATATGCGAAGACGCTGGACGCGGCAAGATGAGCAATCTTCTTTAGCACTAGAGCAACAGGATGACGAACATACGGTCGACAGCAATCTCCAGAACAATCGCCGCCATGATGCTACCGAAGGCCAGAGCATCAAGAGAAAGTTGAGCCAGAATGTCCAGAATCGCCAATGGACAGGTGAGGCAAGTGAGCTGTAATTCTAGCACGTATATTGATATCTGAGGAGGTAATTTTGGCGAGTGATGGTAAGTCGAGAGACGCAGTATATTCACAACGTAGAAAGGGTGGCGAATGTCGGTGTATGGTTGCACAAGCACATGACAGTAATTATATTCACGACGTCATGGAAGCAATGTCAGTAAATGGTTGCGAAACAAGGAGCATAGGATGTCTACGATGTTCAAGCCAGTCTCAACACAACTCTCAGTCTTGCTCATGACTTGCTACGCAACACACGTCTATCAACGTTGATGTCCCTGGCTCACAAAAGTCCATGTACTTGCGAGACCTACATTGCCATGGGCAATCTAAATTGCTCAGGAGCAGGGACTATCACAATGCTCATATTGAATCTACCGTGTCGGCATCTTGCGGAGAAAACTTGGGGTGTTTCAATTGCAAGTACTTATAGCTCGCGATGATTACACTCGTGCAAGTCAAATACCGATTCGCTCTACTCCACATATGTGGGTGGTCTGTTTAATACACAGCTTGAGGCGTCATTACACACACACACACACACTGGTGGGCATTACATTAATTCATTTTGGACAGATGGTCGCGTTCGGCTTGGAAAAGTGCCCGTTCATTCGCTGCATTGTAATCAAGGGGAGAGGGCCAATCAGTCTCAAACACCTAGATTCTCTGCGTCCCCAGCGAGTCCCGTGGTGTCGAGCCCGACGTACTTGTTGATCCAGCCTAGAACCTCCTTGTGCCATACGAGTGAATTTTCTGGCTTGAGCACCCACTATTGGTTGAGATTAGTGTTTTCTTTTTCTTGGCTCATTTCATCGATTCTTTCGTCGCTTGCGAGGATAGTAGGGAGCGATGGTAGGTGAACAAAGGGCAGCAATGTGAAGGGGGGAAAAAAAGACTTACATGATTCTCATCGGGAAAGATCAATATCCTACTATCCACGCCCCGAGTTTGCAAGACATTGAAAGCAGCCAGGCCCTCGGTGACGGGCAAGCGGTAGTCGAGTTCCGAGTGGATAATGAGCTGGGGTGTAGCCCAGTTGCCCGTGTAGGCGGCCGGGTCCCAGCGCTCGTAGCCGGCGCGGTTCTCCCAAAGCGTGCCGCCCATGTCGTGGATGGTGAAGAAGAGCTCCTCGGTGGCCCAGTCGTTCATGGTGCTAAAGACGCCGTCGTGGCAGACGAGGGCCTTGAACTTGCGCCCCAGCGGCTGGCCCTGGATCCAGTTGATCATGTAGCCGCCGTACGAGGCGCCCAGCGCCACGGCGCGGTCCGTGTCCACGTACGAGAGGTTGGACTCAATGTACTCAAAGCCCTTTTCCAGGTCCTGGTACGGCCGGCCGCCCCACTGCGTCGCAATGGCGTCGGTAAAGTCCTGGCCGTAGCCCGTCGAGCCCGTCGGATTCGGCGCCACGACCACGTAGCCCTGCTCGGCAAAGATGGCCGGATTCCACCGCGTGGACCACGACTCGTTCCAGGCCCCCTGGGGACCGCCGTGGATGAGAAAGGCCAGCGGGTACTTCTTGGACGGGTCAAAGTGGGACGGCTTCATGACGAGCGCGTGGACCTTGTAGTCGCCGGCACCGGGGAACCAGATGCTGCTGACTTGGGACTGGTGTAGACCAAACGACTTGCCAGATTTCGAGGCGCTGGACAAGAGACTGACGGATGCCGATTCCTCGGCGCTGGGATCCACGATGCTGTAGGCAGAACTGTCCACGAGTGAAGTGGAAGTGGCAAGGAGCTTGCCAGACTTGTGCGAGAGGTTGAAGAAGTCTCCCGTAGACCCGGTATTGGTCAAGGCCTTGGGCAACTCCTTGGCCTCCAGGGGCGAGGCGGGCAGCCGGTACAGCAGATTCTTGCCCTTGTCTTCTGCCGTGACAAACAGCTCCTTGTCATCGTGGCTCCAGACGATACCATCGGGGCGCTGATCCCAGCTTCCCTCGCCGTCTTCCGTCTGGTAAAACTCCTGCACGTTGCTGAGGTCCTTGATGTCGGGTATCAGCAACAGCCGCGTCTTGTCGCTCTCGTACTGGCGGTGGCGCATGCGCTTAAATGCGAGACTCTTGCCCGAGTGAGAGAAGACGGGCGAGGCGCTGTAGCCCTGCAAATGGCCCGTCTTGACCTGCTGCGGCGCGGGTGGCTTGTCCTCGGTAAAGGTGCGCAGGGGCACATAGTAGAGGTCCGTCTTGGTCCACAATGCCGGGTTCAGCTCCGGGTCCGAGGCCACAAAGGCCAGACCTTCCTTGCTAACGTCAAAGTCGGCCGCACCGCCAAAGGGCGGGACCGGACTCTCGAGCCGCGTGCCCTTGAGCGCATTGGTCAGCCCGGCGCCGGCAAAGCTCCAGACGCCCTTGTTGCCCCTTTTGAGCGCGCCGTACCACAGCGAGGACTTGTTCTTGGTCACGTACGAGTCCCAGTGGCGCACGAACAGCTCCGTGTAGACCTTGGCCGAAGTATACGACTTTGGCTCGTCAGCAGGGTTGTAAAGCTTTCCCGCGGGCGTCGTGGGCGCCGAGACAACCAGGGCGACCGTGTCGTGGTCGAGCTTCTTGGTCTTGAGGTTGGATATCGAGCCACTAATGACCTTGATCTCACGAGGCCTACATTGGATTGGTGGAGCTCAGTTAGTTCCCCATGATCAATAACAGCCTGAGCCAAGTCCGCAGCAATGCAGAGCAGCACGGGAGAAATGGACGGTGAGAATTCTGGGCTGAAATAAAACGCACTCGGAGCCATGCTTTGTGGCGTCGGCAACAAGCAGATGTGAGCTGCCCTTGTCGCCGCTCTTGACGAGCAGAAACTCGCTGTCTGATATCCAGGTTGGCTCCGAATAGGCCTGGTCCGTGTATAGCGTGGTTGAGTGACCAGTCTCGATATCGAGCACATTGATGGCGCCACTGCGCGAATGATTCTCGAACGAGTAGGCTGATACTAGAATGCCAAAAGATTACGGGTCAGAAAGATGTTTATTTAGGCCCTCACAACAAGCCAATCATTCCAATTAATTCCCAATTGATTGGATTCAATCAATGAGAGCCAGACTACGGTAGGTGCAAAGTCCACATACCAGAGTATAGAGCCAGGGTTCCCGACTCGTTCGGCACGGCGGCCGAGCGGCGCGGGGCGGAGAGTAGGACCTCCGGGGTGAACTTGGTGGCCATCATCACCATTGCTGGGATACTTGGACGGTGTTCCGCGGGGAGGGGGTGCAACTGTGTGCAGCTTGGTGAGGTAGAAGTAGAAAAAAGAAGAGGAGTGAAAAGAGGAGAAGTGAGCAGGGAATGGAACAATAATTAGATCGACAGGAATCCTCCTTTTTGTTGTATGCGCGAGTGTGTGTGTGTCTCTCGCTCTCGATACTGTGTGTACCTACATGGCTGGTAAATGGATCGTGTCACTGCTGTCGCGGCCGGAGCTCCCATGTCAGCAGCAGCCATCCATCTGCCACCTCTGGCCGTCGATCCCCAATTGAGCTGCACCCCGCAGTGGAGCTTAAATGGCCGAAGGCCCTGGATTGGAGTTTTGAGCTTCCCATTGCGGGAACGGCCGCGGGCGAGGTTGGGGCCATAATAGTAGAGGTCAAGGTAGCAAACGAGTAGGTCGGCGCACCCTGATGGTCTGTTTTGTCTGCGGCTACATTCGGCGGCGGCTAATATAAGTCTTGGTCAGTCATGCCGCCATCATCCACTCTGTTGTTTCGTGTACTTTTGAGTGCGCTCCGTTTTCGATATACACAATCGCTCCCTGCCAGACGAAAGCAGTACGTTGCAAGCGAGCGAGCAAGTACAACGCCATGATATGTCGATGAACAATGGTAGATATTGCATAGATTCCTTTCCATAAAACACCGTAGAGGTGAATACTATCATCACACTGTCACTCACGGCTTTTTTAAGAATAACATTCTTCCCCAAACTCCCAAGAAATGCAGGGGTATCATATAAACGAACCAAACAAAAAAAGGAGCATCACCAAAATCTCTCTACCGAGTAGACCACAAGAGCCAGAAAAGGCACAAGTGACAAGAAACAAGAAAATGACTTGTTTTCACTTTCGACCATTTGCACCAAACTGCGTGCGGACCTTCTTGCTGTCGGCCCTCGAGTCCGTCTCGCTGTCCTCGGGAGCAGCCTTTTCCTTCTTCTTCTTGCTGACAGCCGTCTTCTTCTCTGTTGCAGAGGTCGGCGTCGGCGCCTCGGATGGGCCCTTGTCCTTGTTGTTGAACGAGGTAGATATCGGCGTCGGCGCGCCTGGTGTCGAGGTGCCCGAGGCAGGTGTGTTTGCTTCTTGCTATAAATCAGAAAAAAAAAAGACCATAGGTTAGTATATTGAAGATGCTTTTATAGAAATCCCACGTAGACGGTCGAGGGCAGGAGAGTGTGCGCGGCGACGCAACCCATTCAAAACATACATTGAGAACGTTATACGAGACGGAACTCCTGGAGAACACCCGGTTCTGCTCAGCAGTACCAGCCTTGCGACGCTGCGCAGCGGCCCCCGTAAGACCCTTGGTGTAGTTGTCAAAGCCGGTGAGGATGTTGCCGGTCGGTGTGCTCTCCAAATAGCGGTTCTCGAGATCGGCAATCTTACCCTCGAGCGTCGAGAGCTCGCTCATGATCTTGGCACGCCGCGCAATGGCATCCTTGATAATCTTCTTCTCGGCCTCGTACTCGGACATTTCCTTTTTGCGGTCAAAGACATCGTTGGCACCGCCACCGCCGCTGCCGGGCCCCGAGCCGCCATTGCTTCCGGCTCCGTTACTGCCATTGCTTTTGGCCGAGGCAGCTGTGTCAGCCATTGCGCTCTGCTGTCGAACGGTGTATCACGGACGTGATTGAAAATCGAGAGGTTGTAAGGGTTGGGACATTCAATCTGATGATTCGCGTCGATGAATCAATCAAAAACTTTGGGGTGATGATGATGGAATTGATCAAGCGCTTGATTCCATTGCAGAAGCACACAAGAAACTAGTGAAACCTCAGCGCGAAAGCAGCAGGCGACGCGACAGTAGGTAATAAATCGTACCCAGCCTTGGAGCCCCTCCATGCCTGACCTACACACCCTAGCCTCCAGGTACCTAGCTCAGGTCAGCATTGGAACTCGGCAATGGGCTAGCGGATGAACTAAAGTCCGACACGTGGTGCTGGACCATAGGTACAACGGATTGCTGCTAGGTCTGGTATTGATATATGTACTCCGTTAATAGGTTTAGCAAGTATAAAGTACTAGGTAGTTATAAATGACAATCCCAGCAGTAAATACGCAGTGTCAATCAATTTCCTTGTTTTGTGGTACGCAATGTACTTTTCTGGTATTTGATTCGAGTCGAAACAGAAAATAGACTACCTCTGGAATCGGGTACCGCATGGGAGCGATTCGAATGGCACAACAAGAGTATTATTATTCGAGACTTTTATTCTTTTCTCCAAACAGACGCAATGTGCAAGGAAAAACAGGTTTTATAAACTATCTACTTATCGATGAACGCCTGTCGAACGCCGAACCGGCCAAAATTGCAATATCAAGAGATCAGACACACAAGGGTAGATAAGAAGAGGACGAACCAGTGGGTATCCTTGTCGAAAAGAGATTGGTTTGGGAAGACAGACAGTGAAACGTTGGAGAGGAATGCTTTCAATTCTGCGTGACCGAGCATTAGCCTCAAACGTCGACGTGATTGCTACTCGAGGTTCTTCTCATCTTCATGATCTTCTTTTTCAAGAGCTTCTCTCGAAGCTCACTCGCCTCCTTCTGTGGCGTCTTGGTCTGCTTGGTCTGACGGAGATCAAGGTCAGTCTTTTTTATTTAAAAACCAAACCAGATATGAAAGACCAATCAAGAAGAACGAACCTCCTCGGTCTTGGCAGTCACCGAGTCGTGTCTGGCGGATCGATCTTTTCTGTCTTGAGAATCCGAAACATCAGCTGATCTGTTACGTGCATGAGGGGAATCTGAATGTTGTCTCCGCCGAGAGGATGGTCCATCTCTGCTTCTGCTCCTGCTCCTGCTTCTGCTGCGACTTGAGCTGCTTGACCGTCTGAGGCGACCATATCGGTCTTTTGATGGGCTGCGATTAATGAGCTCTTTCCCCGACCGACGTCGAGGTTTTGGACTGCGTGAACGCGAGCGTGACGACGATGGTGATCTGGATTGGCTGCGGCGCTTACCACCTCGCCGCCGGGGCGGCGGCGATCGGCTAATAGAACTCGATTGCCTGCGTCTCTTTGGGGACGGCGAGCGCCGGCCGCTATCTGAACCCGAGTCACTCAAGGGCGACGACGTGTTTCTGCGTCGTGTATTGCGCGGTCTATATTCATCCCGGCCTCTCGATCTTGAACGCTTGCGACTGTCTCGGTACCGAGCGGGCGATCTCCGCGAAGGGCCTCTGCGACGTGAAGGGCCACTGGATCGACTAGATCCGCGGCTACGGTCACCAGCATCGCTACGGGAACCGGAGCGGGAGCGTGAGCTGCCTCGAGCGTTATGCGAATCAGCTGAGGGAGATCGTGTGCGGGATCGACCACGGTAGGTGGTCCCGCGGCTCTGCGGAACATATCGATCACGATCGCCGCGGTACGAACTCCGTCGCGGAGGTGAGCGCGAACGCGAGGGTGATCGATCCCTGCCGCGTCCAAACCCTCCTCTGCGATCATCGTATGCTCTGTCGCCGCCGCCGCCGCCCCGTCTACCCCCACGCCAATTGTCGCCCCGACCACCACGGAAGCCCCGATCTCGGCGCTCACGGTCTCGAATGTCGCCCATCTCTCGGTTTCTGCGCTCTTGCTGGTCTCTTCGTACTCGAGCTTCCTCGGCAGCTTTCTCAGCTGCAAGCTGCAAATGGGTGTATTAGTTTAGTTTCAGGTGGTGGGACTGGAAAGCCGGAATGGCATACCTTCTCTTGAATCAATTCGAGCTTCTTGGCCTCGAGCAATTCTTGGGGAACACCTTGAGGACTGGATTGAGCGCTCAGAAACAGATTCCACATCTCCTTGCAGAAAGGGGCAGTCTCTTTCTCGAGAAACCCAGTTAGTTGAATTTGCATAGATTTGATGTCGGGCTGTGGCGGGCATTATTAGCTATGGCAAAATTGATGAGCTGCAGGACGGAAAGCAACGTACATGGCGAGAGCCTTCAATCAGGTTGAAACACAGCTCCGTCACCACGTCATCTTCGGTACCCAATATCTCAGCTAGCTTGCCTGCGATCCATCTGCAGTAGACAATGCAGTCAGTATATTGGTGTTTGAGGGCACGGGTGAGGAACATTGCAAAGAAACACTAACTTCTTCATGACCTGCAGATTGACCTTTTGCATGTCGACCTTTGTGTTGAACTCGGGCGGAAACTTTGTAGCTCGCAGGAGCTTCTGGTCAACTGTCGCAGCCATGGTCGCCTCTAGGAGGGGGCTTTCGGCCAGGTCCCCAGCTACGACAAGCGTGTTGTGTATGGCGTGGCTTCGAAAGCTGACTGAAGAGAGAAAAATGTACACAATAGCTGTATGGTTGAATTAAATCGTCGCGAAAAAAAAGGATCAGCACGCGGCGGGTGGAATCAAGAGAAAGAAAGTGACGTCTCTAGTGTAGCTCGAGACAACGCACGGACACTTTTTCTCAGCACGGCAAACGGGAAGACTGCCTTAGGTGCCGGCCAGGGTCCCTTATCATTTCGCGGGGTACAGGCACGCACTGGACTGGACGTGACGATAGATGTATGATCTACCTACTGAACATAATATTGTACGTATGTGGTCTCACAATCATTTTAGTTGAAAACTGAGCTAGTGGATGAATCATATCTTGTATTTTGCCAAGTCTGTTAATGGTTCATGGTCAGTCAATGAAGATGTGACTCAGGCACAGCAGGCTCCGCCTAATCAGCAACGAGTCAGCGGTATCTGAGACCCCCAGAACGGTAATCGATCTATTCCATAGAGACCTATAAACCACTTCTTATATCAAAGGCAAGAATTATGTAGCTCGACACCTGGAACCAGGTTCTTGTTCCCCGTGAAATGAGGAATGGAATCATGGCTGGATTCGCGCTATATTGATGTGGTCCCAAGGATTAACAATGAGAATCACTGGTCCTCCAGGCGGCGTAGGAAAAGAACAGAGAACACAGCTCAGAATCCATTTCGTAACATAATTCTCTTCAGAGAGGCGGGTATAAACTTTTCATCTCCGAGTCCAAACGTCATTTCTCATAAATACTCCTTTGCGCCCTGAGTAACAAGTATGAACGCCACTCATGTCGGAATTGCCGTCCAACGGTAAAATGAGATCGCAAAGAATGACCTTGCTGACCAAAAGGCGTTCTGTGGCACAATATGAATGATGCGTTGATTTCGCATACAAATGACTTTTTCCCCCATGATCCTCAAAACGCCCAAACAGAAAATGCAATCAAGTTTTGTGTAGTTCGTCGTCTAGGTATTGGTGTTCAGTTTCGCATATCCTTAGGTTGTGATGTAGGCAGCTTTGGTTGTTGCTGTTGTGTCTGGAAGTTCTGCTGCACCTGCTGGTGCTGTTTTGCCAGCTGAGCTTGCTTCGCTGCAAGTGCATTAATCTTTTCCCGTGCCTTCAGGAGGCTGCTATTGTCCTGCTCCTTCAACTTGGCGCGAATCTCGTAAAGTGACAGAAGAGTAGATGCTCTGTCAATATCGCCATCAATCTGGTACGCCTTGTCAGCGTGAGTCTCGGGTACGCATGTGTCACGTCGGGGAGTATTGCTCACTTCTTCCTTCCGGGGCGTTCCGGGCATGGAGGATGTAGAGGGCGTGAAGGAGTTTGTTCTCGACATGGGCGGGCTGAATATGCGGCGGCCTAACTTGTCGAAGCGACCGGCCGGCGTGGCAGTTCTACTGTCCACGACCGGTGTGCCGGCGCCCTTGGACTGGAGCTGGGAAGTAGGCGTCGGCACATCTTTGGCAGTGATAGCACGTTCGAGGTTCTTGTTGGCGGCGACAAGGGCTTTGGCGGCACCTTGGTCTTGCTGTAAAAGACAGAATAATTGCGGATTAGCTTCTTGTGATCATATTCAGGGAGTAGAGCGGATGCGACACAGCAAGGAGACGGTCGCCGACAGTGAGGCGAGGCGAGAGGCGATCGACAAGATGAGGGGCGGGATATGTGTTCACACTTACAGCGGCCTGGAGGTCGTTCAAATCGGCCAGCATCTGGGCCAGCTGAAGGGCCTCCATTGTGATGAATGACGTGGGCACGTGTTTTTGATAAGAGCGAGGATCGGGTCTGGTCTCGGGTGGATGTAAAGCGATGGATACGATGCAACTCAAGTCTCAGGGTCTAGGATAGCTTCAGGTGCTGAATCGTGTCAGTCGAACCTCCGATGTGGTGCATGGGGAAAATCGCCGAAGGACCAAGCAGCGGGAATTGTCCTATTAATTTTTTTGTGGGGAAGACGCGCCTACCAGTCTTGTAGTCAGTTGGTCAGATGGCAGATCAGGGCGGGTTAGGCGGGTGCTTTGGGGAGCTTTCTCCGCGTCACGAACCCCGCTGGAGGTGATGTTAATGCGGCGGCTCCAGCGAATAATGAACGGCGGATTTAATGGCTGAGCAATGAAGAGACGTTTCAATTCGTACCCCTCAATTCAGAGAGCTCTTTAGAGCCTCCTTGGTACGTGCCCCGTCGGGTCTATGCCGCCAAGTCTCAACCCGCCCCTCCTCACTGTAAGTCATTTTTACAGGGGAGTGCTAGCACCATTCAACCATTGGCAGCTGATTTCTTAGCAGGCAAACGAGCCCGTCGGCAGTGTCTAGGTAATGCGAATCCAAAGCGCTGATCCACTATGTCACCACCAAGATAGGCGTCCAGAACTCGCCTACGGGTGCGCTATCGCTCGGACTACGAAGGCCCGGCTCCAGTCTCCGGGAAATCCGCTTTCGTAACCTGCCTCAGACCTTTGGACTTCGGGCCCCAAGCCGAGCTTCGGATACAGAAATACCTCCGCACGCGCAGACCTTGGACGCAATTCCCAGCAGAATCCCAACCATAGTTCAACCTTTTGGGCCAATCTTTATCCCGTATCCCTAGTATACCGTAGCCACTGTGTCACACACGTCTCCAACAGGTGGGAGAGCCTCTATTTTCCTCGGTCGAGCTTGGACTGGAATACTCCGTCTGCCAGAACGACCCCCCCTTTCGAAGCTTGTATATATCCCGCAGGACTTCCCACGCCCGCTGACTGCCGTCTGATTCTAGCTCACCATGAACGCATTCCGTACAAACGTCTTCCGCCGCACAATGTCTACCGCAGCCTCTCTCAAGAACGCACGCAAGGTCATTGCCATTGGCCGCAACTATGCGTAAGCATCTCTCCCGTGGCTGCTGCCGGTCCCCGTGACACAACGTCGTCTTCGGGTCGGCTGGCCATCAAGTATAATCGAATCGTATTGGCTGACAATACACCTCAGAGACCACATTGCCGAGCTTAACAGCGCCCGGCCCAAGCAGCCTTTCTTTTTCCTGAAGCCATCTACCTCTATTTTGCTGCAGGGAGAGGGTCCCGTCATCCGGCCCAAGGGTGTCGAGCTGAGCTATGAAATTGAGCTCGCCCTGATCATGGGCAAGGACGTCAAGGACATTGAGGAGTCCGAAGAGGCGGCCATTTTCGATGCCATTGAGAGTACGTCATCTCCCCTCCTATACTGATAGCCTTTGAACCACGTGATTGACCGGTTTCTGCAGGCTACGCTCTCAGCATTGATATGACTGCAAGAAACGCACAGTGGGAGGCCAAGAAGAAGGGTCTTCCGTGGTCCATCTGCAAGGGCTTTGACACCTTCCTTCCCATCAGTGGCCCCATCCCCAAGTCCAAGATCCCTAACCCTCACAACATTGAGATCTCGCTGTCCGTCAACAACGAGATCAAGCAGCAGGACAACACCAACCTGTTCCTGTTCCAGATTCCCCGCGTGGTCAGCGAAATCTCCAAGGTCATGAAGATTGAAAAGGGCGACATCATCATCACCGGCACACCCAAGGGTGTCGGCCCGGTTGTGCCCGGCGATGTCATGAGAGGTGTCATCAAGGTCGACGGCAAGGAGATTGAGGAGTCCAAGATTGAGTTCCCCGTTGAGGAGTCCACCAGCACCTACGTCTACGCTGAGACGTAAAGAAGCCTCCCTTGCATAAAAAAGAAAGAAAGAAAAATTGCGGGACGTATATATTGTATAGAATGTGCGAGTAGATACCACCGGCAGGCGGGCATAACGATACCACCGCCTGGGGCCTTCTTGGGTTTTGAATAATAGAGGTTTCCCAAAATCCTGACTGCATGTGCCTTTAACTTGACCCTCCAATATCAATATTTATGCGCCAGACGTACCTTTTCTAGCTCGGCCAGAATGTGTAGAACTACGAGCGATAGTAGTTTGAGTGTCAGTCAGTCTACGAATTATGCACACTGCATCTACACATTCAACCATTCTTAGTATTCGGTGCGTCATGGATGGCCAGCAAGTTTGTGATAATAACCTCCTAATCCGCAAGTGATTTTGAATATCCCTGTCATTCCATAGATGGGCCGCTGTTTGCCTGAGCTTCTCCGAGTATAATGCTTCGGAGCCGAAACACTCAGTACTTTGCCCCGGAATATTATAGGACTTATATGATTAGTCTCTCGGCTGACAATTAACCTGGCATATTTGAACCAACACGGTTAGTCAGTTGAGTCCCCAGTCGTACACTATTTTGTGCACATTGACTTGTCAACCAGAGCAATATACTGTATTACTGGCCTAGTATCCTGGAAAGTACTAATCTGCGGCTTGGTATACTCATGACTTGTCAAACTTAGTTGTTCGAATAGAGATTCTCAGCCTATGCTTCCAGGAAAGTGATATTACAGTCACTAGTCTCTAGGCAACCAAAGCATGCATATTACCTCGATAGTATACAACACCAATAGGAGAACGGCAAGTTATTTCCCCGAGTCCCAATTAATGCCCTCTGGCAATGTTTCGAAAGGCAAGAAATCAAATAATCCAAAATGAAACTCACCCCCATTCAAAGCAGCTGTAAGCAAAAGCCGTCAGCCGCCAGATTTCCTTCATTGGACGAATGAGAGGCGAGAGAGTGCGCCGCCAGTTTGCAAAGGGAAGAAAGAGTCACAACACTAATCGGCCAAAACTTGCAAAATCAGAAACCCCAATCCTGTGGCCTGTTGCCTATTGCCGGTCAGCGATAACCTAGGTATCCTCAAATCGACACAGAACACAAAGCCGCAGCAAAACCTCCTATTTACAAGCCCCCGATTTGATAAATACAAGAAAAATTCCCTTGCGCAACATTAGTCTTTTGCGACAGGTAATCTTGTTTTCTTCCACTCGTCATACAAACCACGTGCATATACTAATCACATGTTTCAAATCTCTAGACCTTTTTCCCCCACCAAGGAGACATTTACCTAGTCCAGCGTCACACAACATCTTCAAAGTCAAGAGAAAGAATAAAAGGAAACGGGGACATCAAGATGGCACCCATCAATGGTGTAGTCAACATCGAAACTCGCTGCGCCGTCAAGCTCCCCAGTGGACAGCCCTGTCGCCGCAGCTTGAACTGTCGACGCCACAGCATGATGGCGAAGCGCGCGGTGCCAGGCCGCTCGATGCCTTTTGATATGCTGCTTGCACATCATCTCCGTTCACTACAGAAGTCTTCATAGTCTTTGCAATGACAGGGGAGGGGAAGAAGAGATGTGGACTTGATGGAGCTATGCTTGGGTCTCATTCCCATGGCCAAACATGTCTGGTTCAGGGTGGGTTTGACAACAGAACTATTCTGGTTGGACCAATAAACCTGTGAGCAGTAATAAATTGCATTACTATCTCATTTGACAGTGAGCAGTGTCACTGTGACATCATTTTAAAAAACAAAAGAAGAGCTTTTGAGTTCCTTTCGCCGAGTGACCCAGTCCAACTCACAACTCCCAATATGCCCCTAACTAATCTTACAAGATGTGAATGCGCAGAGCTCCGTGTAAAGAGCAATCTGTCTATCTGTCCTCTAGCGGATCCATGGGCAACATTTGCTTATTTGGCAAAGTGTAGATCGTAGCCGAGCCACTTGCGGCTGACGACCTGTTCAACGCTGAGGCCGGGGTATCCGTAGGTAAGGGGCAGGAAGAAGTACCAGCTGGCAGCAGCAATAGTCAAGATGACTCCTGTAGCAATCCAGGCTGGGACCATGCTCGTGCCAGCAAATCTTTCACGAGCAGTGACGAATCGCTTAGCGGAAGGTTGCTTCTTGCCAGCCTTAATGGCATAGTAGCTGGCTTCCTCGGAGGCTGGGTCAGCATTGAAGACAAATTCAACCAATGATCCAACAATCAGAGTTGAGGCGAGATGAGCCGGCAAGTAATGGTGAAGGAACAGCTGACGTCCCATGACGAAGAATGGGAAGAAGTGAGTGGCCCAGGCAAGGAAGAAGAAACCAGTCGAGTTATAAAGTCGAGTACGAGTGCCTAGACGCAGTTAGCATACAATTCTTCAGAAAGACCCATCATATCCACTTACGGCGATCAAGCGCATCAACGCCACGGCGCAGAGAAATCTGGTCGGCACCAATGATACCGACGTAGACAGCGAGCAAGCTGCTTGCAATCCACCAACCAAGGGGGTTACCCAAGAAGTAAATCTGCTGGCGCGTGTCGTTCTGAGTCCAGAAACTGACACCCCGAAGCAGGAATGGCCACTGGTACGGCTGGCTGGCATAGGGGTGGCTGCTGGTCAACTGATTGTTGTGCCAGAACATGGAACGTTGCAGCTCAAACCACTTTTGCAAGAACGGCAGACGCTTGACCTCCTTGACAGGCTTGTCACGGCGCTGGTGACCAGCGGGAATAGAGGGAATATCCTCAACGAGCCAGACATTGGAGCTAGGCGTGATCTGCTTGTTACCGTTGATTTCCTGCTGGCGGTGACCCCAATCTGGCAGAGGCTTCTCGTGCGTCCACATGGCGACTTTGCTGGGGTTGTGGATGAACTTGAAGTGACTCGCGACACTCTTGAATTCCTGTCCATTCTTTCCGTTCTCAATCCGAACTTCAAATAGGGTATCCTCCTTGCGATCACCGAGAGCATCCGCAACGAGAGCAGTGGTGAATTCCTGGTTGGTGGGGTAGTAAGGGGAAGCAACGTCGTGCGACAAAAGAATGGTGTCAGTTCCAACGTGTCGAAGACGAACCAAATCGTGGTTCTTGACGACGCGTCCCAATTCCTCGCTGCCATCCATGGGCAGAATCTGCCAGTGGTTGTTGGCATCCTCGAAGGGATATCCAGTCACCTGCTGACCCTGACTCGAGACACGACCATCATCGTAGCGCAGAGGGTAGTTGCCTGCGTGACTGTGAAGATATGCCTTGGTCTCCTTGTGCTTGATGGTGATGGTATCGTAGTACTCAATGTTGATCGAGTTAGCAAACATGACATTGTCGGACAGAGTCTCCTGGAACTCAGGAGTCATGAAGTCGTCGCCAGGACCGGATCTGGTCAAGATGGCAAAGTGGACTTGGAACCAGAATAAGTAGAAGATAAAGGGCATGATGATGAGACCAAAAGCCCGGGCGGCGAAATGCTTCAGGAAATCAGGGACGCTGAGGGCGCCACCACTTCTGTTGACATCCAACAGGTCCCAGAGGTCAATAACCACAGCTGAACCGATAGTGACGAATGCGAACAGACCGACGTATTTGGTCGAGATATCGCAGGACAAGGCGAAACCCGTCAGGATCAGCCACTTCCACCACTTGCGGCTGAAAGGGTCATGTCGCTGCTTGTAAAACTTGATATAGAAGAGAAGACTGCAGGCCATTGTAAGAATCAGAGTGGCATCGAGCAGAATGAGGCGAGTTTGGCCAATGTGTGCATTGTCCAGGAGGACCAGACCAGCAGCAACAACGCAAGCAGGAAGACTGTATCCAGATTCCCACATGATCAGGTACGTGACGGAAACAGTTAGGGAGCCGAGAATAGCGGGCATGGCGCGGAAAGCGACGTAAGGAACCTTGTTGGAAATGTAGGAGTCGCCAATGTTCTCAAAGTGGAAGTGTCCATCGTAGCCAACCAGCCAGCCCATGAAGGCGAAAAGAAGCTTGCCAAAAGGAGGGTGGACATCGAAGAAGTAGGTTCTCTCGAGGTAGTAGGAAGCGAACTAGATACAGACGCGAATGTCAGCTTGGTCACTTTCTGTGTGCTTCATGATTCCTTTGAAGCTGGGAGTGATCATACCTTGCCAAAGTGAACTTCATCAAAGACGACCTCGTTTGGATGGCTGATGCCCCAGAATCTCGAGATGAAGGCCAGGACGGTGATGACGGCCAATGCAATCTTGTAGTCGAGTTCAGAGCCAGCACCCGTGACTGACTTGTTCGACTTGATCAGGCTGTCGTACTGCACATCGTCAGGGCCAGGCGAGCCTGACTTCTTTTTCGACCCGGGGTTGCGCTGGCGCAAATTGCCCTGGGATACGGCGGTGGTCACCATCGTAGGGCGGGTTCAATGCCTGTTTAAACAGGCCAGAAAGGGAGTGTACGAATCGAAGACTAGACAATTTGAAGGAAGGAGTCAGCAAGCAGGTCAACAAGAATGAGCTTTCGGTCTGTCAATGCCACATTGTCTGTAGTGTAGCAGTGAGCTTCGCCAGGCCAGGGAGCTTGTATGATCTCAGGCAGGTACAAGGTCCATCCAGGATGGTACGACAGAGATGATGGAGGATTTGGACAACTCACGGGAGAAAGTAAAGAAAAAGAACAAGTAAGCGGCCGGCTTGTTGGCCAATTCAACGGTCGAAAGGCCTGTAAAGATGGGAAGATCCTACCTTTACAAGCTGATAGCGACTGGAGATAGAAGATATCGGGGAAAATGGAAGAAGTTCAAGTGTTTAAAGCAGAAGGACCCTTTTTCTCCTATTGTCTAGACCTTTGCTTGCTGCGACTTTTGACTTTCCAGCGCAGGGGGTCGGTGGGGACCAGCTTTCAGGCCACTTGGCAGTTCCAACGCGTGAAAAAGCTCCGCACCCCTGACCCGGACCTGGACCTTGGAGCCGCCCTATTTAGCAAACCAAGATCGAGAGCTGGGACGGCATGGGGACGGGAAGCTGTCTTTTGTTTCTTGAGGGACCCACTCATTGATTGCTGTGACTTCACTTCAGCGAGCTTGTGATTGATAACGATAAGAAGAGAGAGAGAAAAAAAGAAATATATCATTGCCTGGGAAGAAACTGGTAATCATGCAATTGGTGGTTGACACGGCATGTTTCTACACCATGTACACTCTCGGCCGATTGCCAATGCAGACTTGACAATTGCTTCACATGCCAATGGACTGAGGGTGAATAGATTGCACGAAATATGTGCTATGGAATTGCGTATGACGTTTCAGATTGGGTGAGTAGTGAGCTTCTCAAGTGCTGGCAGCTTCGAAAGCTTAGCTGGTTAGATGGGGCAGGTACACGTCCGGTATAACGTAGCAACGTATGCATTAGCGACAGCGATACAATTAAACAACTGCCGTTCTTTGGTGACTGTCCGGGTTGTATATGACGAACATCCCTATACCACTACCGTTATATATGATTGCTCGAAAATCTGGGGACTGAGTGTGGGGGGTTGCCAATCTATGCCTGCAACCAAAGTTGAAAATATCATCATATCTTCAATTCACAATCACCCTCTGCTCCAGTTGTGTCACTCTATCGTTGCGTGAATAATCAGGTAGGCGAAGTTACTGCTACTATGGAGAGCTCAGAGCCCCAAGTTATCTCCCTAGGTAGTCTTGTGCTAAAAGTAAAAGGTAAGAGGGGAACGGGCGGATCCCCGGGCGCGGCCACTCAGGTCTTGGCTGTTCCAATTGCTGTCCGAAGTACGGAGCGGCGTCTCTCCGCCTTTAACCCACATCGCATAGGACCGACGCATCCCCTCTTGTTGACAAAAAAGGTCGCTTTTTGGAATTCGCCAATGATGCGGGCAGCTCTTCGTTTCCTCCCAGCCAGATCCAATCTCCTGCTCTCAGCTCAGTACACATCCACAACACATATTGCTCGAACCTCATTGAGAAGAAACGTGTCCGTCCAGCCTCTACGCAAAATGTCTGACCTTACCACCATCATTGCCAAGGACATTGTTCCTCGTAAGTGTTTCGCAACTCAAATAACCTATCCACAGTAACGTGACTAACAGAATGACAGCTGTTGGCCCTTACGTGAGTTGTTGTTATTCTTGTTCTCTTAAAGACAATTGACTTGATGGTACCTTTTTTACTCACCCCCCGCCATAACACACAGTCCCACGCTGTCAAGACCCCGACCGCAATCTACTGCTCTGGTCAGATTCACCTTGACCCCCAGGGTACCCTGATTGAGGGCACCATTGCCGAGAAGACGGCACTGTGCTTCAAGAACCTCGAGGCCGTCCTCAAGGAGGCCGGATCCTCGATCCAAAAGATCGTCAAGGTCAACATCTTCTTGGCCGACATGGCCGACTTCGCCGAGATGAACAAGGAGTACGAGAAGTGGATGGTCCACAAGCCCGCCCGCAGCTGCGTCGCCGTCAAGACTCTGCCCAAGAACGCGACTGTTGAGATTGAGGCCATTGCCCTCCCTTAATGGAGATCTTTTCAGAAGCTCAAAGGGGGCGCCCCAAGAGCCAAGCCCATAGGTCTCAGATCTCAAAACTCCCAATAAAAGTTAAACCAATGCTTTTAGCATCTTGAAGTGATCTATCCCCGTCCATTGCTTGTTTGAGATTTTGATTTTGTGTTTACGTATATGCTTTATTAGGTTTCTGCCCGGCTTTGCCAATGGCTGAGGAATGACCATTTTTGGTCTGAGATGCTTACTTTAAATGCAGGGCACGTGGTGTCACCGTATCTCGAATCTTTGCGAATGCCTCTTACCATTCCGCACGTCCGTCATGGCCTCGCCTTCCATCAAGCCGACCACGTAACTTGGTCCAATATGCTTGTAGTACGAATCCTCGGGCCTGAGGATGATGGGCAAGTTGCAGCCAAAGGCGACACAAACTTGATCGCCTACATCTGCACTCTCGAGGCCGATCCCTACATAACCATTCTTGGTGTGGAAGATCTTTCTATCCTTGATTGCCGCTGCGAGGCCCGTCAGTACCGTCGCCGAGTACTGCGCCCCAATAGCATTCATATTTGCTGGCTGCTGTTCACGCGGGCCTGTGATGATGCAGTTGAATGACTCGGCGCGAGTTCCCACAATCTTGTTCCAGAATGTCGTGGAAAGGTCCGACTCCTTTGATGCAAGGCCTAGCGTGTAGAGCGGGTTATCAATCTGCGCTCTGCCCATCTTTTCCCTATACTTGATCTCAAAGCTCAAAAAGATGTGCAAGAGGCCGCAGGCGACGACTTGGAATATCATGCTTTCTGGCTCTGCTCGACAGTTGAGCATGGTCTCCCAGTCCGATAGCAGCAGTTGAAACAAGGCCCGCAGATGCGGTATCCCAGACGGATACTTGTCAGTCGTCCGGCTGGTCATGTATCTGCAGCAAAAGTCCAGGCAGTCCTCGGGTGTTAGTATAGGCTCGACTGCTATAATCTCGTCGCAGACGACGCCGGAACAATTCAGGCTATAACCGTCAATGACAGGCCCTGGTTCCGTCGGGGCGCCTCTCGACGCTGCGTATGGGTGTTTCAAGCAGTACAGTCCGGGGGTGCTATGACTCCAGTCGGGGACCCAAGATGGCAAATCTAGAGGCTCTGACGATAATAACTCCGTGTCGACTTCTCCAGAGAGCATGAGCATCATTTCGAACCGGTCCTTCATGAGGGTTGCTGCTGCCTCGACGTATACGTCCTTGACGTTTTTCGAATAGTCGGGGATGATCTGCAAGCCCGTCACGCCAAGACTGGCATATATCTTGTCCCTGGGGTCGCTCGCGTCGTGGTCGCGCAGCACATTGAGGAGTGCCCAGCCTTGGCTGTCCTTGACTTCTCGTGCATCCCAGATACGCAGAATGGACTGCAGGCCCATAACTTGCTGAGAGAGTTCCCGGGAGCTGATCGTATTCCAGATTGCATTTTCCATACTGTCGGGTTTTCTCAGCGACGCATTGATGCCGTCAAGCCATCGAATGACTTGTATGACGTCTTGAAGAGGTATCACATCGTCTCCGCAAGTTAACATGACTATTTGCCCCAAGACTACTTCTCTAAAGGGCGATGGCAAGTTAGCTAAAGGTTTCACGCGAGGAACTTTTCAAAGTTGTCATCATCCTCCAGATATCGGCTTTCTTGCACCAAGGAATAACAGTCGGGAGCCACCAACGATGAGCACTTTTTTTTTTTCCAGAATACTTACTGGAATATCCAGATGTTACTCCAATATGGATGATCGCAGAGTTCCCTGATTGAATCCCATACAACGCTTTTTAAGAGTCCATCGGAGGAGGGGTCCTGCTTGCATGCTTGCGGGAATAAGTCAAGCCATCTGACATCTGAGACCTTTGAGACATCAGAGTGCTGTGTCTTGTCTATTTGCTCCTTGAAGTTCCTCAGCACCTCAAAAGTCCAGTCGCACAGATGGAAAGATGCGCCGAACCAGGAGATGACCATGCCGGCGTTTGTGTAGATGGATTTCATCAGGGCGACCTGGCTGTTGCGCTCTTCCACGTCGGCCTGGTCGATGCAGATGCAGTCAATCCATAGCGGCAACATGCGCAAATCGGGCATGTCTCGACACCGCCGTCGATGGGATTGGAGAAAGTCTAATAAATTTGTCGAAATGGGAAAGGGACGGCCGTTGATGAGAATAGCTTGCGATATGTCCAGCTCACCCCAGACGTAGGATACTGCTATAAATCGAGTCTTGGCGTCGTCGAGGCCCAAAGGGACCAGAGTGCCGCTAATGGGTTCATTTTCCTGGCAATTGTCGTGAATATCTAAGAAAAATAGTCTAATTTGTTGTTGCTGTTCTATGAGGGGTTCGTAAAGATGCGAATAGTCGTTATCCAAGGTGGTGCTGTATGGAAACGCGGCCATCATGGTCGCTGTAGTAAATGCAAGAGAGAGAAAAACCCGGAGACGAGACTAGGAAAATCGACTATAGAATGATTGATCCCCTTCTGCCATAGCGACGCAAGGGACGTCTCAGAAAAGTAGTATTCGGGCACCCTCATATACGACACCAGTGTTGTATAACATGGTGCATTGGCAGCATGTTAGCAATAAAAAAAAAAACAAGCATGATCTGACAAGTACAAGGCTTTGCCTAGAGTGGCCGTAGACCATGTTCATTCGTTTGTTCGGTATGTCTGAGTACATAAAGTAGTGAGTGAGCCAAAAGTGCCCTACATGAAGTCTTGGCTTTTTTTTTTTTTTTTTTTTGGGCCCGCCCAGCCAGTTTTTTTTTGGTTTCTCGGCCGCACTTTCAGCACTTTCGTCCCCCAAATTCCCTAATTCATACCCCCTGGACTCCGACCCCCCGCCCGCGGGCCAGGCTGTGGGCACTATATAACGTGGACATAACTCGTACATGCATATGGACTCTGTACATTTGGCGAAGGGGGAGGGAAAAAAAAAAAAACAATGACCTCGCATATATTCCTCAGCCCAAGCACGCCTCTTTGGAAAAAGTTCCGCACTGCAAGAATGTGCTGCTGCATCATGTTAGCGCTTATCGCACCCTGTAGACACTTAGACACACAAGACAGTGAGCGCACGCGTTGCAAAGATCCTCGTCTTTTTCTGTGCCTCTCCCGAAGCCAAAAGGTCCCTTATGCGGGTATCTTGGTTCCAAAAAATCCAGGCACCCTGCATGGCATTATGCCCGAGATCGCCCCCAACTTCGGTTGCCTTTCGGTACGAAGTCAATGGGTCAGACGCACGGAACCGTAAATGGGGAGGGAAGGAAATCAGACAGGCAAACTATGGCGGCATCTTATCTAGGAATTCATATATTTACGCAGTTTTCCGATCCCATTACCATTACGGAAAATGGACCCATGGATCCTCTCTGGAAGACTACATTATCTTTTTTGTAAAAGAAAGTGGGGTGGACCTTCTTGCGGCCGTGGTCAGTCTCATGTATGTTCGCTTACGGCTGCGTTACGAGAGAAGCTGAAATGCTCCAGCAGCCAAAGCCGGCCCCCGGGCTGATGGATGGATGGCCTATTGTCAGCTTGGCTCTTTGCATGGGTTTGATACCTTCCTTGCTCAACTTAGGCCTCATGTGTTCTATTCGTGATGACCTGTCAACTTGACCATCATCTTCAGTCTCAATGTGCTATTATGATGGGGGGACACATAATAATATAAAGGCCCACGTGGCAAGAAGGACTGCAGAGTCCTACGTCTACATCAAGTCGAGCTGGATCCTAACGGGCCCATCATGGAATTTTCCCACGACGGCGGAAATGCTTTCACGTTGTCTTGGGCTCTCAGACAGTCTGATTCGATCCCTGCAGCGACATGCGGCTGCCTTATTGGTGCTTCCTCGGTTCGTGTCCTCCCGTGTCCGCTGCCCACAAGCCGAAACAGCTTGCGACATGTTGCCCAGTTTGTATTCTCTTGTCAGTGAGGATAAGGCGAGATGATTAGATCTTCTGGCGCAATAGAGCTCCGCATACCACGGTCGAAAAGTCAGAGGCATATTCGTTGTCCTCTAAGAGGAGAGTTACCATCGTATCATGACGACACAACAGCTGCAAGTTTGGAATGAGATACATGCCCCATTACAATATCAAGCATACTGGCACCAAGTGGAGTTATCCCCGTGTGAATTCCTTTCCATCGTTTTGCAACGGAGGGCTCCGCTGCGATTGTTATTAAGCTATATTCCATAGACCCATGTACAATGTTTCATATCGTAGTGGTATACAGTCCACCAATGCGCAGACTTAATTTCCAACTTGACATGCTTACACGTGCTTCTCATGCAGGAAGAATAGGCAAGGTCATTGAGGGGTTCGTTATGTTGACCGGAACCGTCTCTTGCGATCGAGATCATCTCGCAAAATCCGCTTGCGCAACTCTTCTGGAAAATGGTCCATTTCGTGGCCCGTTCCGAAATTCTCCCAGTACCGGATGTTGTCGTCCGACATGCTTTCTCTTTCGAGGGCCTTGCCGTACGCATGATTCAAAAAGTTGACATGCTTACGGGCCAGGCGTGCAATGTTGTCGGCCTGCGTGAGCAGGGCCAGCGTTTCGCCTTTTTCCTTGCCGAGTTCGCCCTGGGCCTCCTGCACCCGCTCCTCCTGGACCATCCGCAAAAGACCAAGTCTCCTGCTTCGGAGCTTATACTTCTCGTCTCGCGATAACCAGGTCTCTTGGTTGGATTCGTTTCTTTTCTTCACAACGGAGATGTGCTCCTCCCAAATGGCCGCTGGAGTTTCTTCCAAATCGTCTAATAAGATATCTACTGTTGTTTAGTCATGTATGATTCGTAAACTTGTGGACATGGATGGCACACCGTCATCAATATCTTCCTCCGTAAGAGTAGACATCAGGCTCGAGCGTCGGCGTTTGCCCTCAGCAAACCTCTCCCGTGGTGTCGGCCAAGTTCTTTGCTTCGTGACAGGTCTGCAGAGATCAGGCCAATGTTACTGCCTTACATTCCAGTCTCTGGCACGGCTTACCTCTGAGGAAATTTTGTTGGCCCCTGATAACCCAAGAAAGCCATGATGGAATCTTCGAGGGAATAGTACTCCTTCTCATCCATACGGTAGGCATTGGCGCGCAGCACCTCCTCCCAGTCAAGACTATCGAGATGAGCAAAGGCAGCTCTGCGGCCCAGGTCGGCTTGAGGGCTTGGCTTGACCCTCTCCGCAATGGTGTCAGCTGAAGACATGACCCCAGACTTTGTAACGTCTTTGAGACCCATGAACAAAGCCCATTCGAGACGTGATGCTTTTCTCAAAACATTGAGCGGTGAGTGAGGCTCGGGCAGGCCGAACCAGGATCCGGCTTTACGCAAATGTTCTCTGCCCTTATCTATGTAGGCGCTCACTCTGGGTCGGGCAGATTGGAATAATCCAAGTTCGGTATCGATGGCAAGCTCTTCACAATGGGAAAAAGTCAATGAACAAGAACTCAGTTTGTTAAATGATTGTGTATTTGAGAAACTTCTCTCACCTCGGCCTTCTCCACCCTCCTCTTCTATAGTTTCAGGCTGGTCCTGATCATCCTGTAATTCTCTATCACTTGGACTATGTTCTCCCAGCTGAGGGTCTTTTGGGACCTCTTCACCTGAACTATCATTTCCCAACTCATCCTCCACTATATCTTCTTTTTCTTCCGACTCTGTGCCCATCACTTAGCATTGACTCTCTGGTATATACACACATGACATGGTATGTATGTCGTAGGTGCATATCGATCGAAGGGGGTCGAGACGTCCTACTTACCCACGCTGGGCGTCGCTGCAGTAGGACCAGTGACTGATTGTGGTGCAATTTCCTCGGTCTTGGTGTCGTCCTTCCACTCCTTGCCGACCTCGCCAAACAGGTGCATGGCTCGGTCATGGAGCACACTGACCTGACGCAATGGCTCCCCTCCAATGTGAACCGCGCCTTTGGTGTTCTTGTTCTGGTCGTGGTTCGCCCGGCCGCGGAGGACTTGCTCCTGTACCCGCCAGCTCTTGCCTGGTCGGCGCACTCTGTTGGCGACTGCTGTCTTCTTGGTCGATTGAAGATCCCGCCAACAGGCAAAGGCATAAGTGGCTACGGAGATGGCAATGATGGGGACCAGATCATGGGTAAAGATGAGCTCTACTCTGTCGAGCAGATCCACGGTAATGATTTTGTCAAGCAGATCCATAGTGGATGAAAAATTTCGTTCCTATTCTTCTGTGAAGCTTCTATGTGACTTGGAAGACAAGAATATTTGGACTGGTGGTTACGTGTAGTTTAGGAGATTAGATGCGTTAAACTCTGATTCCTCCAGAGAATGATGACTCTGCTTGCAGCGGTCGCGTCATTGTTCTCTGGACTATTTGAGGGGAAAAAAAGGAGACAAAGAATCTTTGGTCAGATTGTTGGCTAGGCGTGAAATATTATTGCCTGTGATTATTTTTCTTTGTTCATCATGATCATTTTTGCGGTGTATGTCACAAAATGGATTTGCCTGTCATACAAATACTGGTGCTATCTGGAAAAGAAAAAAGGGAAAGAAACGAAAAGCTCATGATTATGAGATGACAATTTCGGTCAGATACTAAATCGTATATCAGAAAGTAAGAAACACAACTCTTTTGATACACAAACATTATGAACACGATTGATTATATTTTCGGTAGAAACAGAAAGCTTGAATCCATTGAAAATGGTGCTTGAGAAATATCCAGAGTCTATAAATCATATGCTTGAGTTATGCTAGTATATACTTGTGCTTCTCAAAATCCAACGCCACATGAACTTCTTTATCGTGTGCTTCACTCAGCCACCCACGATGAAAGGCCATCAAAACATCAGTAACAAAGCAGAATCTCAGCGGCACTGTCACCGGTCTTTGACAGGTCAAGACAAAGATGTTTACACTGGGCTTAAATAGTCATGTACCCAAAAATGGGACTCGAGGAGAGTCCCGAGGAGTCAGCTAAAGTCAACACGAACATACCATATTCACATTCATTCTAGACACTGCAGAGCAGCATTATAACTTGTTTGAGTCTGTCTGGTACAGATTCTGTCCATTCTCTATTGTTTAAGGAATTATCACGATCGCTGGAATACTGAGAGCAATTCATATAATCCCAAAACCAAAGAACAAGAAACAGGATACCGGATATAGACCAGCACCAAATATACCATGTGTATAGGTAAGAGATTCTCGGGGCAATATCTTCCAACAATAATCAAATACTCCTTCCATCTACTGACATAGATATTATTGTTCAGTCGAAATCACCACTTATAGGCAGTGTCACTACGTCGAGGCACACAAAGTAAAGGTGTTAAAGAAGTGTGCATTCGCCGATCACTCTAGCGACTCTTGTCTCTTCGCATGCTTCGGTAGTGGCAGTTGTGAGGGCCTAGTACATACTCATGTCCAAAGTCCCGCCATTTGCATGCAATGCGTTGAAATGGCGGAAGCAAATCATGGCCAAAGACAAAACCAGAACCGCTTCAACAGCAGCAGCAGCAGCTCGTAGGTTAATCCTGTACTGGGCTTTAATGCCTTGGCAGTAACTTATATACTTATCACGATCCTTGCAGGAGATTACAACAACAAAGATCTTACAACAGCAGCAACTGGCCAGCACCAAACAACACAACACAAATGGGCAGTCAGGTCCGCCCAGCCAGGCATCAGCCTGCTGCGGCAGCTCAGTATCGACCCCAGCAGCCCATGAGCATGGGGCCTCCGGTGTCATCGAGGCGAGCACGCAAGCCGGAGCCTATCACAGTAGCACATCACCAGACCTACCGGCCAGTCATTGTGCAAAAGGCACCTCATTACATCCCCGAGGCCCAGAGCGCCCAGTTCTACGATGCCAGTGTACCTCGGAATTACCCGCGCCGGGACAGTAATGGTGTCTCCGAGTTTGGCAGTGAGGATGGTGACTCGCCCAGCTTTAGGAACTACAAGGTTTCGCCCCGGGAGGTGTCGCCGCTTACACAGCAGAATTACTCTGGCTATCAGTCCTGGCCTGCTGGCAGGTGAAATGCCGTAGGTAAATTAGAAACCAAAAGAAAACATCAAAACAATCTAGACTGTATAATATTTGAACATCAATTCTATATGAGTCAAGACAAGTACATGTGAGTGTTGGTGAGACGACAAATTCAGTCATGTCAAGACCACGAATACTATGACACGGCCAAAGGTATTTGAGTCAATTGATTGTTTTCAAAGTCACAAAGCGTCACCCAAATCGTTTTGTGGAGAAGCTGGAGCTTTCTCTTCAAAACAAGACGAATATTGTGCTCTTAGTAGAAGGAATAGCCATTCTTGAACTATAGAAATGTTGGCGTGGCTCAGAATTGACTTCATCGTTTTCCAGCAACATGAAATGGCCCGTGATAGGCAAGATATTGATTGCACTCACAGTAAGAAACGCGTTTGAGATCTACTCTTTCTTTCCTTCGCACGCAAGAATTGCTAGTTCTCGCAGTTACCTGCCGAACTATCGTATGGAGCAAGAAAAGCTGTTACTCTAAACACTAGCGGTGCTCAGTGTAGTCTATATACACTACGTGGGCTCAATATCTTGTCAGTGTCAAAGTCAAGTGATAGATCAATAACATCCGCTTCATGTACTAAACATCTGGAAGCTCAACCATATACTTGAGCACTGGTCTCTTAAGGCACAAGCAAGATTGATCTTAATTAGGCATTAATTAAATAGACCATGACATGACTAAGCCTGCATGCAACTTAATCTCTGTAGGACTAGTCGGGAGATTTTTCACCTCTCCCTTGCCTTGTGCTGTGATCCTTCTACGCTGCTCCATCATCCCCAGCCGTTCTCGGCACTTACACCCTCGACTACATCTTCGGTGAAGCAACCACATCAGAAATTTGTCTACCTGATTGGACCTCTCAGGCAACAACAAAAGGCCCAGATTGAGACGGCGGGGGGGGGGGGGGGGGGGGGGAGACACATTGTGCAATCATCTTGTTATAAAAGTTGTATACCTAGAAGAGGGTTGTGGAGTAGCAGCCGGTTGGCAAGGGCGGGGCAGGACGCGAATGCAGTCGTGGGGTGACTGAAGGCTTCTAGATTTACTGGAACCCGATTGGCCAGGTGAAACATCGTCGAGACCTCAGAGAGTCGAAACGGTCTGCGAGACGTGTACATACTGGTGGTAGGGCTGACCACCCGTCGCAACACCATTCTTTGATTTTACTTAAGCATCTGCGCGTCCCCATCCCGCGGCAGAGTGACGTGTTGTTGGTCTGTAACACATTATACCTGTGTACACAGTAGACGGGGCGGCTCAAGACATGCGTACGTGTCTACCCGGGGAACCAATTCCAACTTGGTCCTGGGGAAGATATGGGATATCGATGCTGACTTATTTTTCGTGTTGCCATTAACCATCTGTCCTCTCTCTCTGTCTCTCTCATATCTGTTCTCTGCCTCGCTCTTTTCGCCATCGGTTTTGTCGGCATTGACAGAGTGAAACGGCAGTGCAGTAGGATTCGAGGAGAATGCCGATCTTCAATCGAAACCCCACATTTGCTGACGGTCCGTCGTGCCCACTTGTCCTGCACGCTTCTTTTTGGAGGTGGTCCTCAGTGAGTCAACTCGGCCAGAAGGGGCACTGACTGGCCTAACTGGCACCCGATTTGTTGGAATATGCCCAGAAAAACAATAGGTGATTCAGCTACCCCCACTGATACTAAAACCAATGTCTCGCACTCTATTTTCTTAGCTTCACCTGTGGAGTGAAAGCACAGTCACTGGTGATGTCGGGTGTGGATATGGAATTGGAAGAAATGGGTACATATCGATATGAGTTGAAACGACTGAATAGAAATGCTAGACCCCTATTTCATGCGTATGATGATTCTTCTTTGAAAATGATGTATTATTGACTGGGCATGTCAGCCAATCGATCTCGAAAGCGTGCCTTGAATGTGTCCATTTGTCACAATTGAATACTTACTACTACAATCTGCACACTCCCTAGCACGGAAATGTAAGCACATTTGTGTTCTTGGCAATGCTTGAGTAGTATGCAGACTTGAGGCCGGCATGTCATGATATCCTGATATGACTCGATTGCTCTTCTGTCGCAGGTTGATGATACACGACAGTCACAACTGACACTGAGCCAGTACTGTGCATAGCAGAATCTGTCCAATAATGCTCAGATGGCAGATATCCGTTCTGGGCTGTTTTCGCTGGCGCTGCATGGGACTTTGGGGCCAAGCACTTGGAAGGATCGCGTCGTATCCACAATGAGCACCCCATCTCGACTGCTCCCTCACATTTTGATTGGACACCATGGGCAACTAGAGTCTGGGAGGGATGGCTCAGCTCAATGGAACTGTATGTACTCTCCCATACTACCTGTATCTTGTGCATGGATTAATGAGGCTGTTCAGTAGTCGTTGAATTGTGCCAAAGCCAGGAATCCGCTGATTTGGTTCTTTTTCTGTACCCTGTCATGAGGCCATGATATGATGATTTGGATTGAGCATACACTATACAAGAGAAGCTCAAGACCTGATTTGACCATCAACCCGGCAGATTATTTTCAGGTAGGCCAAAACTGAGGCAGACGGTAGTGCAAATATTTCTCAGGTGGAAGGGGAAAAAAAAAAAAAAAAAAAAACTACGAACTTCGGACTTTTGGACTCTCCTAGCCGGACCTCGGGAACTCTAATACCTTGTACCTGCGCCTGGGAGCAAAGTGAGAAAAGCACGAGGCCAATTGATGAGCTAATTGGGACGGCTTGGACGGAGACTTTATTGGTAGCAGCTGTTGCATGTACCTACTGCTGCTTTATTTCCAATGAAGCGGTCGCCCAGTTTCTAAAAACATGCTGATTAATTGCAGGCGAGCCCTGTCAAAAGCTTGGCATTCGGTCCAACGCCACGCCGATCTTACAGCTGCGATCACCAATCCCTGCAGGCTTTCTTCCATTTGATTCCGACCCTTCGGCGGTGGCCGCGGGTTGCGTCGTTTGGGACGAACCGCTATTGTACTACTTGCAAGACGTACAGAGTACCAAGAAGAAGAAAGGAGAAAACCCGGCGACAAGAATTTCAATCTCGATAATATACGGGTATATCATGCAAGTGCAAAATTGCGAGCAAAATTTGCTCCTTGGGCAAAAGTATCCGTAGTCGTCCGAGATTGCGGAAAATATTCCATCTCGTCTCCTAAGAAAAGAGGAACGTAGTGTAGTGTACTGCTTCACTACAACCTAGATGATGAGCAACTAGGATCCGTTACCTTATCTGGCCACCGGGTTTTTAAGCTTCTACCTGTAGTAGCGTACACTAGGTACCTAGGACGTGGGTGGTCGTGACACTGCAATAAGTATCTGGCGTTATCACCTCCTTCCTACTGAGCCGCCAAGGATTGCACGGTTTGTGATGGGGGCCGATTCAATGCCAACGCAGATAGACTGCATCTTTTTGGTCCAGACACAGCCCCCCAGTGGAGGTGAGTCTTTCATTCGACGGTGACGCTGTTTTTCTTTCTTTTCTTTTGAAAAGTCAAGACAGAAAGTGGATAGTTGGCGGAATGGGCAAATTAGGAAACTGCGTCTTCAGAACGCAGCCGACGTGAAGACAGACGAAATCAATAGGTCCATCCTCGGCAGTATGGAAGCCGCCAACTCCTGGACGACTCTCTAGTCGGGTAATGTATAATGCAGGGTCCTCAAGGTAGCTAGGTAATTCTTACACTTTGTTTAGCAATACCCGTAGTGTACTGTGTACGGAATACGTAGTCACTTTGACAATCATATCATGGCAAATTCGACAAGCTGATTGATTTATGTACGGAATACACACAGTAAAAGAACAACGGTGCCAGGCGGGTTTCGGCGCGCCTCAATCCTAACACCGCTCAAGCGAGCGTTGAGCCATCCTCCTCCAGCTCAGTCAATCCCTCTAACAATTGGTACCCCGCAAGGTACATTGACACCCTACATAATCGGCACAGCCTCAGTCGAAACTGAGAAATGTCTCCACTTTTCTAGGCAGCCAACCTCGAAGGGCTGCGAGACACTCAAGAACGACGTCTTTCCTACATACGGTCTTCCCTCTCTCAAACCTACCTCGCACTCGCCCATTTGCATCTTTTGTCGTTGTCGCCCGACAAACTACCACGACAACTTGGTTTTTTTTTTTTTTTCCCACTTCGATCTGAGCCCTTCCTCGTCGTCTCAGGTCACCGTCTGTCGCTTGTGCAGCAACAGGAAGAAAACCTTCACTTTGGTTGACGCGGTCTTGTCCATCCTCATCGCTGGTCGCTCGCAGTCACTTTCATCATCCATTCGGATATCTGTACTGCCTTCCCCGGATCACAGGACAATCCACAGCTTTCAAACTGCTTTGGATCTCCATCCTCGCAGGGCTAGGACTACTACTAGGTACATACCACACTCATCATTCGGTGCTTGCGCCTTCCCCCCTCCACCTCGGTGGCAAAGCGCAGTGCTTGCTTCCCTAACTTCCACGATTAACAAACACCCTCGACCACATCCACTCCCACTTTCATCCTCGACCACATCCACTTCCACCTTTACCTTCGAGTCTTTTTCGCACAATCAGTGAGGACAGCTCTCGAACTTTTTGTTCTTCTTAGCCAGAATCGTCATCTCTCCACTTTGTATGGTCTTATGCCCATTCGTCAATTATAACATCACACCCCGAGTTCTATCCTGAGGCCACTATCCTGGTCTCGGTGAGGAAGGACTTTGGCTTGCGTGACTCATCGGCCATTGGACCTCTGGGTTTCTTAACGGTGCTAACCTGTACCGTCAGTCGACATAGGACATGAGCCACCCATCTTCTTACTCTCCTCTCTCTCTTATATACTACCCGCTCCCCACTTGCACACGGGAGGTCAACATGTCATCCAACCCTCGTAGGTCTCGGGCGAGTCGTTTCGCTTCCGAGGACTCTGATGGACTGAGCCTTAATACGATCAACTGCACCCTTAAGAAGGGTGCTACGTTCCACTCTTCTCCAACAACTTTCCAGAAGCCATCTCTGCCTCGGCGCTCTCAAACGAATCTGGATGATGTTATCATCGATGAAAGCCGCCGCCGTGCTGCCCAGACCATTGGCAACGTCGACAGCATTCTGGCTGGATCTATAAAGTCCTCGTGGTCGGACCTGAGTGACGAGAGCACCCCCTTCCCAAGGAACTTACTCGACCACATGGTTGGCACCAGCTGCCACGAAGGGAAAGACGCTACCATGTCGAACTCGGGCAGAAGCCGTTTCAACCCACGTCGTCGCTCTCCAAGAGAGCATGCGTCTGACAGTGGACTCGGTACTTCCATCGCTTCATCCAAGCAAGAGGGTAAGGAAGCCAAGTCATCCGGCACAGTCGCAGCTATCACTCGCTCTGCAGCCATTGCCGGCCAAGATGACGGTGTGCTGCCACTGAGCGACAATGCCCAGCAGTGCATTGAACAGCGCATCTTGAACCCACTTCTGTCCAGGCAGTCTTTCAAGGACTTTCATTCAATCGTCCGTGATTGTCCCAAGCGTATGCGAGAGAAGCAAATCGTTTGTCTCAGAGATTTAGAGAAGACTTTGTTGACCTATTTGGCACCGGTGAGTCAGCTTTTGAAAGATAACGGGATCTGGGGAAATACTTATCGGGCATTGTGCTTGAAGGGAAAAGCAAAGACAGCCGACCTGTACCTCGACTTTTGCACGGCATCCATTCTCTGTATTCAGGCTACCGTCGAATACCTGAGCCCCAGAGAACAAACTCAACCTCACGATCGGCCCTACAGCCCAGGCTACTTCACTGATCTTGTCGCTTCAATCGAGATGTACGCCGAGCAGCTGCGCAAGAGCCGAGAGCGCCAGGCCGCTGGCGAGGAGCTAGATGAGATGGACGTCCACCCGTATGTTGCCCACAATCTCGTCTATGATCTATTCAGACATGCTAATTCCCAATTCAGAACAGATGAGTTGAAGCTGTCTGGCGGTTTTGCCGACACTGGCCGACCAGCCGAGCTTGTACGCATCACGAAGAGTGGCAAAGCAATCTCCATCGCAACTGGGTTGCCAGTTGAAGATGCCGATGAGGACAGCAAAGCCCCAATTCGGTTTAAGAGGTCCATGAGCGAGCAGCTCGAGGACGAGGAGGAGATCATGCGTTCCATGGCGCGCCGGAAGAAGAACGCCACCCCCGAGGAACTCGCACCCAAGAAGTGCAAGGAGCCTGGATGTAACAAGGAGTTTAAGCGACCATGTGACCTCACGAAGCATGAAAAGACACATTCGCGTCCCTTCAAATGCTCTCACAAGGACTGCAAATACTACAACTTCGGTTGGCCGACACAAAAGGAAATGGAACGTCACGAGAATGACAAGCACTCCAACGCCCCAGTCATGTTCAAGTGCCACTTTGAGCCATGCCCTTACAAGTCCAAGCGAGAGTCAAACTGCAAGCAACATATGGAGAAGGCTCACGGCTGGAGCTACGTTCGTACCAAGACCAATGGAAAGGGTGGTAAGGCTGGCAGTTCTGCTCACCCTACACCTATGATTACTAGTCTGCCCACGCCTAGCAGTGGCCAGAGTAATTCTGCCATGTCACCACCTGAGAATTCATTCCCTACCATGGATTCTTATCAAGACATGATCCTCAATTATGCTTCAAGCGATCAATTCAACAATGATGATATCTTCGCCTTCGATGCACCAGAGCTCACGATGGACCTGTCCCCAGTTGACAACAACACTCCGTCGACTGATGGCCATCTCACCGCCTTCAGCGGACTTAGCCCCGACCTCAGCGAGCAGCTGAACGATTTTCATGACATCAACACGGATTTGAGCGATATATATTATGGCACCATCCCAGCGCCCACAGCCGCTATCTATGACAAGACTGTTCTTCCCATGGATAACTTCAATTTTTATCCTTCACCTGTGGAGGCTGTGCCGCAGGCACTGAACGTCCCCCATATTTCACCAGCGGGCCACGGCAATACCATGCTCTACACTCCTGCATCGATGGCAGAATCCATGGTGGACGAGGGGTTCGTCGAGTATGATGTCAACGACCAGATGAGCGGTCAGACAATGCACAACCAGATGCCTGACGACTTTGTACTGTTTGATCCGAAACGTGCCGATTTCGCTCAGGGCGGCCAATTCTTTGTGGATATGGACACGACCCCCAGTGCTGCTGCTGGCTTCACCCAGCCGTCGTCCCAAGACTACAGCATGGATTTCAGTCCCGACATGGATTGGATGAACACTGAATCTGGTGGTGGTTACAATTAATATAGAGACAAGATCTCTTACTCAAGTGTACCACCCTTGTATTATGACCGACTCGCGAAACCGCGGTTCATTTACGATGATATGATGAAAGAACAAAGAAAGGAAAGCGAGATTGAGAAAGAAGCAGATCAAATTGTACCCCAGCTGCGCGGGTTTTATTCAGGGAATTGTAGAGTTTGTTGAGAAGAAAACCCCTCAACGAGGATTGCTCTTCTTGCCATGTTTTCTGTTTGGCTGCTTCAGGGGAGACAACGATGACACAAGTCTCATTTCATGTAATTCAGCAGCACTGCCAGTGGTTGGCCAACTTTGATTCGAGAAGAAATAAACCAAACATATATTTCTACTAAATGAGCGAGTCAGTGTTACAAGAAACAGGGAAATATTTCCATTTGCAAGTGGTGATTAGTGACTTCTTCTCAAAACTGACAAGTTTCTTTCCATGGCCTGACTAACATGGCGTGAAGAAGCAGGGTGATTACCTGATTTCCATGAGCTAAAAACTGTGCGACATAAGAAAATGATTCAAACCACAAGACGATTAATATGCCATGATGCTTTGTACAAGCACGTTGCCTGTTGACTGGCGGCTCGGCTTGCGTGTCATTGTCAGGCAGCTGGCGGGAGCTGGCATATCACCCACCTGCGTTAGTACCCAGGTATCCACCCGCATTCGAAAATTTCCCATAACGCAAAACTACCCGCACATCCCCATTCTCTTCATAACCTACTCTCTTTTTTACCGTCTACACAGTAGCGAAGCCGTCGCCAGTTGACGGCGCACGCGACCACCGCAGCGGCAGCAGCAAACCAAGCGTGGTTGCTGTCGTTTGTCTTTTTATCCCTTTCTTCGTAAGTTTCATCTAGGTCCTAGTCCATCGCATCCTTCTCCCCAAACCCTTTAAAATGATGACCATTCGACGTTGACGCCGAAATGCGCTCGTCACCTCATAACCATACTTGAAATAGGAAGAGCCGTATGAGTGACCGTCCCCGGGCCTCGAAAACCCTTTGGCCGAGCCGCCCAATGCCGGTGCCCCAGCTTTGAACTTTGCGGCGAGGAGACTTGTTGCAATATCGTCATATGCTGCCTTGACTCCTCCCGCGCTGCTCACTGGGGATGGACGGGCGTGTGAGGTGGGGATCTGGTCGTGCTTAGAGATTTGGTTTCTGATAATATTCTCGGGGTTTTCAAACTGTTTTTTGAGCATCGCGCTGGAAAAGGAATCTTGGACTAATTCTTTTTCTTTCGCTAGGTCTCTGACGATTCGAGAGTGGACAAGCCGCAGGCTGAGTGCTGGTCACATGGAAGGCAAAGAACCCTTTGCGAGCATTTCTATAGTATCAAGAGTTCAATCAAATTATTCATCAACACATGTATCAACGTCTCTAGCATCATGAATCCGCAACTACCTGATCACCATCTTGATGTGCTTTTTTCGAGTCCTGCATGGTCACGATGGAGCTGTCATCGAACTGCGGTAGTGACAACCTCATCCCAACGATGTCAGCATTATCGACTCTGCACCATCAGCATCTTCATAGCTGAGGCCTGCCTGGGATATTTCCTTTCTTTCTTTCTTTGTCTGGCGTCAGGATCATCCAGATGGATCAATGTCTACCGTGCAGCTGGAGGCACGCCTGGATATAAAACTGGTTGTGTCGCCTTGAGGAATCAGGTCCGACCAGGCGAAAAGAGCTCTCATCATCCAGCTCTAGTGTCATGTATTCACCCTCACCTGCTGCTGATTTGCCTTCGGTCACTTTACATTTTATTTCGATGCTCTGCAAATGCAGAGCACACCGAGTGCATTCGCGAGACTATCATCAATGACGAACCATTCACGACTCCTCAAGCCACGGGCGCGAAGGGGACTGCTGTCGGGCAGTCTAATTTTCGAGGCATTTGCAAGAAACATACTTTTACATGGCTTTGGCAAAGGACAATGGGTGCTGGCCACTTGGGTTCTATTAAAGATGTAGCCAGACTGATAAGATAAAATAGCATCATATCAGAATACCACAATATCAATAGATTTTTTTTGGCCGAGAGGAATTCATGTTAAGCATCAAGTAAAAAATCTATCTATAGCAATCGATTTCTTCCACACGTAATTGCTCTCTCTATACAATGTTCACGTGAGCTACAGTATATGAAATTCTCCTCTAAGTAGCAATCAGCTTATGTGCATGGCCAGCATCTCCAGTGATCCTATACATGAATGAAACTTATTACACGGCGTCACTGGTGTGTATGATAGTGCCTTGTCCAGTTGCACGGGCATGGAATTACCAAGAGTTTTCCGGCCAGAAATCAGAAATGCATTCTGCAGGCAAATGGCCAAATGGCCAAATGGCCAATTCCCAGGTCAAGTTAGACAGAAGGAGCAATCCTGGCAATCTTTCATAATTCTATCAAGGGCGCTTTTCGTGGAAAGGAATGGCACCTAGGAGGTATGGATTGGGACGGCTCCAAAGACGTAAGTATAATGGATTTTCATTCGCGATGAACGAATTTTTATCCAGTACTATGTATATGCTGTATGGGCCGGCCCCACTGCATACTCCCCAATATCGATTAAACATCAAGTCTGCCAAGCGTACAGAGCTCGGGGCTTTCGGAGATAAATGATCGATGGTGTTGAGGCCTTGAACCGATACAACACCGACGGGGCCACCCGGCTACTACTAGTGGAGTACGGGATGCTATGTACCTATTTTACCATACGAGAAGATTTCGGCAATCGATGCTTGGAGCGTGTATACTATATACCATCAGCAGCAGTTACGAGCCCCGAGTAGCCACGTACAATCTTAAGTGGCTAGCGATAGTCTCGTGATTCAAATTGCTGGGATGCAAGCGTGTAAAGGCACGGCTTACTTTGGAGGATACCTACATATGACCAGAGCGAGCCCAGGGGCATCAAGCTTTTGTGGAGGATTAAGGTAGAGGGTACCTACGTATTCTAATTACAAGCATGCCGCGGTTGCACGTAGGTACCGCGTCTTCGCGCATCCCTGGATATATCCTTTGTAATAAGTGTCCCCTTGGGTGGAAACGATGCAAAAAGCAGGGAGAAGATTCCGATCAGTCATTGGCAATGAGCTTGAAAGGGGGATCATAACCTGGCATTTCCCTATGAGGCACAAGGTGAAATTTGCAAGACGGAATGCTGATGGACCCCGGCCCTCCGGCAGTAGTACTGGAAATATTATGACGTGGAGCTTCGGCCAATCGCAAAACACTGGCGTCAATGTGTGGTCCTGTCCTTCCTTCTGTACGCAGTGGGTAGTGTGTACTTGACGGCACTAGCCAACCTACCAGAGCTCCAAAATAGGTGCAGTAGTCAGCCGTTGAACACGATCTGTACTCTTGCGCTTCACTCAATTCCTTCTCGAACTTTTTCTTTCCTTCTTTTTTTTCTGTACGAACATTTTTCTTCTTTCCCTTCCTCTCTCCCTCCCTCTTCTCCCTCGTTCCCAATTCAATGCATTTACAATCATGTCGAGATTATGGACGAGAATAACGCCTTGGCTGGCCGTTTTCCTCGTCGTCTGCCTGTTGGCGAACACTGCCGAGGCGTCCCTGGGCGACCGGCTACCCGAGTTTCGCGAATGTGTAGAGGTTCGTGCCACAATGAGGAGCACCCATTGAGTATGAGACATTGTAGGGAACAAGAGCTAACCTTGCCCGCACTCATACAGGTCTGTAAGAGAGAGAATTGCGACCCCAAGAACAGCCCGACACACATTCGTGAGTGCAATCCTGCCTAGCTGCGCCTGCTTTCCTCTACTATCGCAGCAGCAAGCTGACCACGCGACCGTACCAGCTCTTCTCCATCGAGTCCTACTCTGGACGTGCCCGCAAGAATGCGACTACACATGCCAACACATCATTACGTCGAGACGAATCGAGCGCAATGAGCCGGTCACTCAGTTCCACGGCAAGTGGCCCTTTGTACGGGTTCTGGGCATGCAGGAGCCCTTCAGCGTGCTCTTCAGCTTGGGCAACATGGTGGCTCATCAAAACGGCCTGGCAAAGCTGCGATCATCCATACCAGCAAACTACCCGCTGCGTTCGTACTATTGCCTGTTTGCGTACATGGGCATTGCCACCTGGATCTTCAGCAGCATCTTTCACGTTCGCGACTTTCCCCTGACGGAACAGCTCGACTACTTTGCGGCCGGCGCTGGCGTCATGTACGGCATGTACTATACTCCAATCTTGGTCTTTCGGCTCGACAAGCCCACGCCTAGGCGGAGGAGCGTGCTGCGGCTGTGGACCGTACTCTGCTGTACACTATACGCATGCCATGTCATGTATCTGAAGCTATGGAAGTGGGACTATACCTACAATATGGCGGCTAATGTCGTGGTTGGGCTGACGCAGAACGCGCTGTGGACCTATTTCAGTTGGAGAAAGTACAGGCAGACGCGCAGGACGTGGGCTGTCTGGCCCGGATGTGTTGTAGCGTGGCTCATGATGGTCATGAGCTTGGAGCTGCTCGATTTTCCGCCGTTATGGGGAGCCCTCGATGCTCACAGTCTCTGGCACCTGGGCACGATATTCCCAACAGTTGTGTGGTACAAGTAAGTTTGTTCTGGACTTGAAGACAAAGACATATCTCAGATGCACAACGGCTAACTTGACCTACAGTTTCCTTGTTAAGGACGCCCAGGATGATATAGCAAAATCTACGAAATTGAAGGATAAGGAGATCGACTGAAGAGTCACAATGGATCATTATAGTCTTGATCAGGACATTATTGGATATGGAAACATTATTTTCCTCAGGGTTTTGGCGGTTAGCCCGCACCAGAACTCGTCCAAGCGAAACAAAACATATAATAATACCAAAGCTGAAGAATAAAATAACAGATCCAATTAAGAAATCAAGGTAATAACCTTTCCCTCCTTCCTTAGGACGCTGATGCACCTTTGGACTCTAGTGATCATTTTTCTCTCTTTCTCTTTATTGCAGCATCGTGGCAAGTGGCCCTCAGTTGGGCATGATTCCATGTTACGGTGATGCCGAGGAAGAAAATGAAACTACTACGTACTCGCAAGACAAGAGGGACGAGCTTCTTCTTCTGTGTCAATCAAGCGTGGTCGTGACTCGTTTCGGAGAAGAAAAGAAAAAGAAAAAGAAAAGAAAAAGACCATTCCAATGATCTAGCCAAAGACATGGATAACAAGCAGTCGTACACAGAGACAACGGTAGCATCATGTCAAGGTTAACGTAGATAGGGAACAATGTTCATTTCACTCAACAATCCGATCTTGTCTGCCTACATGTTCATGTGCACGCAGGTTCGTCGCAAAGAGTACGAGGGCGGCATACATAGCAACGCCTTACACGGCTTCTTTTTTTTTTTAGTCTCTCGAGTCTAGCCCGAAAAAAGGGAGTTTTTTTCACTGGAGTCGCCGCCTTGGTGGGGCCCGCGGGCGGTGAGGCCCGCCGAGTGGCAGTAAATTGGCTGGACGGACCCTGCATACCAGAAAAATTATGCCCGACTCAAGAGTAGTCGCGACTGTTGGTGACAATCTGTGTCTACTCCGTCCATCCCCGTCGTCCCGAGACTGTTTGGTTTTTTCTTTCTCTTCCTCTTGTTTCCTTCACTTCGTCGCCTTCATTCTTTCAGTCGGGGGGAAAAAAAATCCAATAATTCTTGTCGGCAATCAAAAATGGCTACCGGAGCAAACATGGATCTCGACAAGGCCGAGAGCTCTCTCAAGGGCATGGCCCATTCTGAGCAGCACTACTTCAACAGGTGGGTTGAGTTACACGTGCAAATCCCATTCAAGCCGCCCTCTTGACCCTGCTGCTGCGCATTGAAATGCCACCAGACTTGGGGCCTGCCGCATGATGAATGTCTTTATTGAGAATACACTGGCTGACTTTATTCCTCCCCATGATTTAGTTACAACCACCATGGTATGCATCCCAATTCTTATCATATCTGAGTCGCAATGGAGGGGTCGTTGATCTGTGTACTAACGTGGGGCACCAATTATCAGGTATCCATGAGGAGATGTTGGTGAGTACAACACAACTTTCCGGGAAAACTGTTGGAGGCCGTTTTCAACTGACCTGACTCTGTCGCTCTAGAAAGATGAGGTTCGCACGCGATCCTACATGAACGCTATTGTCCAGAACAAGCACCTGTTCAAGGACAAGGTGGTTCTCGACGTTGGCTGTGGTACTGCCATCCTTTCCATGTAGGTCGCTCGTCATCCATACTTTTCGATGCTTTTTGTATTCCACTGCCGTCTCTGTACTGACGCAATGTTCAGGTTTGCTGCCAAGGCTGGCGCCAAGCATGTCATTGGTGTCGACATGTCAACCATCATCTTCAAGGCCAAGGAGATTGTCGCCAAGAACGGTCTGTCTGACAAGATCACCCTGATCCAGGGCAAGATGGAGGAGATTGAGCTGCCTTTCCCCAAGGTCGACATCATCATCTCCGAGTGGATGGGCTACTTCCTCCTGTACGAGTCCATGCTTGATACTGTCTTGTACGCCCGTGACAGATACCTGAACAAGGACGGTCTGATCTTCCCCGACAAGGCAACCATCTTTGCATGCGGTATTGAGGACGGCGAGTACAAGGATGAGAAGATTGGATGTAAGTCAGAAGGACTTTTGTCGAATTGCGCAGAGAACTAACATGTACGTCACACAGTCTGGGATAACGTTTATGGCTTCGACTACACCCCTCTGAAGGAGACTGCTCTGGCCGAGCCCCTTGTCGATACTGTCGAAGTCAAGGCGGCCGTGACGGAGCCTGTCGCCATCCTGTCGCTCGACCTGTACACCTGCACCGTGGCCGATCTGGCCTTCAACGTTCCCTTCAAGCTGCCCTGCCGCCGCGACGACTTTGTCCACGCCCTGGTGGCCTGGTTCGACATTGACTTTACCGCCTGCCACAAGCCCGTCCGCTTTTCCACTGGCCCGCATACCAAGTACACCCACTGGAAGCAGACCGTCTTTTACTTCAAGGACGTCTTGACTGTCACCCAGGGAGAGGAGGTCGAGTGCGAGCTTGATGTCCGCCCCAACGATAAGAACCGTCGCGACCTGGACATCAAGGTCAAGTACCGCCTGGAGACTCAGGACCCGACAAGACAGGCCCAAGGAGAGTGCGAGTACAAGATGTGCTAGAGTGGCACTTGGTATTACTGTAGCTTTCGCGGCCAAGAAGACCTCAAACCTGACTACAGATATCGTCGACAATGACTGTTGACCACAGTGGGCATCTCGATTCAAACTGCAGACTGTTTCGGGAGACGAGGTCCGCGGATGACTCAATGTCGTCTTATTGAACTGCCACTCAAGGGAAGATGTGGCTTGAAGATTATGATACCGCCCCGACGCAAGATTTGAGATTAGATCAGCCATCAAAGAGTCAGAGACATAATCATAGGCAGGGTCCGTCCTGTCCCCGCTCTGTTGGATGGCGCTTGACACCTTGGGGGGACAGAAAGGAACAGAAGCGAGTTTGTAACGCTTCGCGTGTGTAGGCCCCAACACAGACTAGGGTGTCTGTTGTCAGATTTTACATAGCATGCATGCATGAGAATCATGAGATAAGAAGAAGAAATGCATTCCAGAACGTTTTCCAGGAACATTTACATTGACCCAAGGTGCGGTGTCAGTTGGAGATCATCAACACATTTACACTTTTGACATGTGAGGGGGAGAATCCGTGCCAAGAACATTGTATTGATCCATGATCTATTTTAGTATTATAGCAGAACAAAAGTCGGGCAATATTGTGGCGCCGAGTCCGTGCTGGTCTTTCTTTCTTCGCTTCCTGTTGATTTGGGGGTTTTATGATTGCGTTCATTTATTCATGATTTCATCGTCTCATCTTGAGCAGCAGCTTGACATCCTCTGAAGGGATATGCGGATTTTTGATTCTGGATGGTCTCCTAGATTCCACCGCCGTAGTGCTTCACGATGACTGCTACCTTGTTGGCGAGATCGTCCGCCTCGGACCTGGTTGCGGCCTCGGCATACACCCTGCAGGCGTTCTCGGTACCCGAGGCGCGTGCAAATGATCTCGCATTCGTGTACTTCTTGACGCACTGGTCAATCTCGTCCTGGGCCCCGGCGGGCTGGCTCAGCTTTCGCTCAGCATCGGTGGTCTGGAAGAGGTCCTTGTCGCCGACTTCGACTCTCACCAAGCGGTTGGGGAGGTCAGTGTAGGTCATAGCCCAGTCCTTGAGACCCCAGCCCTTGTGAGCCAAAATGACCTCAACCATGAGCATATCGGAAATGGCATCACCAACGGTCTGGTTGATGAGCTCACCGAGGGCCTGCAGCGTCTCGAGGGCGTCCTTCTGCGCAGGGGACTGAGGCTGCTTCTTGGCAAAGGTTTGCATGGCGTCGGACGAAAAGACGACAGTGCCGTGGCCGTTGGCCTCAAAGTATACTCCAATATCGAAGGCGCAAGCAGCGTGGTGCAGGTGCTTAACGCCGGTAGGAGTGCAGACGACAGGCAGCTGAAGGTGCTGCTCGACGTACTTGGTGCTTGCACCATTGGCATAGGCCGTCTGGACGATGCCAATGCGCAACTCCTCCTCAACACCAGCAGTTCGCGCCAGGTCAGCAATGAAGGAGGCAGCCAGCGTAGCGATTCGATCGCCATCAAACATGAAGAAACTGCTCGTGTCAGGGTCGACCCAGTAGTAGATCAAGCGGTCAGCGTCACCGTCCAGCGAGCACCAGCGATCGCCGGGCTGGGCCTGAGGCTTGGGAGGGGCTCTTTGGCGGGTCTTGACGAAGTCGGCGCCACAGTCGAGGTTCAGAATCTCGGGCTTCAACACATCGTCATTGACAACCTTGCAGTCGAAGCCGGTTTTCGACGAGTCAATGTACTTGAGGAGCTCGTTGAGCTTCGGGCCACCCACACCATTGGCACAGTCCACTGTCACGGAGCCAGAGATACGCTTGTTCTTCATGGCACGCTCGAATGCGCTGTTGAGCTTCTTGTAGTATCCAACTTCGCTAACCTCGCCGTACGAGGTGGGTAAACCCTCGGTGTTGACGCAGCGGGTCAGGTAGTGCAGCTGTGGTGTGGTCAGAACCTTGTAGTCGACATAAGCCGTGTTGGTGGCAGCGCAGGCATCGGCCAAGGCCTGGACAAGAGTGATACCGGAAGGACGAGTATCCCTTCCAGCAATGACCTTGCCAGGAGCGGCGAGGTCGAGCTTGAACTGCTGAGCAAGCTTGGCATAAGTATCAGCCAACTCGTCGTGAGTCTTGCAGTTGACCAGATCCGTGGCATATGTTTCCCACTCTTGCTCCAGCATGTCACCCATGGGGTCCACAATCTTGACACCGTTGTCCTTGGCCGGGTTGTGACTTGCAGTTACCATGACACCAATGGCCTGGCCGTTGAGCTTTCGTGATCGAAGGGCGGACAGCAGACCGACTCGGAAGGTGACGCCCTCGAGGAGGTCAGCAGCCATACGGAAACCAGCAGTTCCATACTTGTAGGTGCCGGGAACAATATCGTGCTTCTTGGAAGCCTCAATGATGGCGTTGCGATCCATTTTGGCGGTGATTTCTTATCGATCTGAATAAAGAACAAAGAGTCAGCGGTGAATAGAGCAAGTATATATGGCAGACCAATCCGGCGCTCACAACCGAATGTACCTGGGAAGGACGGGAACGGACCGTTTGGCAGTTGACTAAGTACCGTGGCTGAAAAAGACGGTAGCAAAGGCTAAGCAAGATGATGTAGTAGTCTGTTCAAATTGGCAGAAAGGTATTTGACCCCACCAACCAAAGTAAATAAGTAATGTGGTGATGGTTTGGGAAGATCAAAGTCAGGATTCAGCAACAAAGCTTCTCGAATGGGAAGACAAGGCGAATCAAGCTGACTGATTGATTGATCTTAGTCTACAAAATGTGAACAAGAACAAAAGGAGAGGGAGAGAGAGAAGAGAGAGAGGAAAGGAGCAGTCGTGTCGACAAATAGTAATACGACGACTCGCTTCGGATCGAATCAATCAACGTAAAACCCTTGGAGGCTTTGGGCCCAAGCAACGGCCGCAGTGAGGTAATAGCTTCCTTTCAAGCTTGAACCAACCGGCTTCTGCAAGCAACAGTAGCAGCTGAGCCCCTCGTTTTCTGGTGTCCATTTTCTCTTACATACGAGGTTCCCTCCTGAGACTAAACCACCAAGGTGAAGGAAAACCCCCCCGCCATCCATGGAATGACAGTGACTGGACAGGTCGGCGGGTCCGCCTACAAAAGCCCTTGGCGGTGGGGGGGTGGAAGTGAGCAGAAATAGAACATTGGCGGGCTGAGCCATTAAAAAGCCACGGGCGACACGGCGGGGGTCTTGAGGCTTGCTTTTTGTCTCACAGGCGGCAGACTCCCGTCTAATGGAGGGGCAGCACCAGTAACCCAAAGCTAAAAAGAAGCGGGTGTGTCTATTAAAGAAAAGTCACCTGACTTGGTGTTTGTCTACATCTCCCAGGAACGCGTCGAAATCTCAATGACGCGCTTTCGTTTCTTTTACGCATATTCCGTACTAGGCATGCCGTTCATGATATATGTCCGCAATTGAGCCATTCGTCGAACAGTATTTCGTGCTTCGACTTTCAGCAATGGGCTGTCTCGCCGTTGCCTTTCCCCATGTCAGCCGAATATGAAAAAAATAAAATAAAAAATTGGTCGTCTGTACGGATCTTACCTTGGGTCGCAACTCCAATTCCTTTCATCATTCACCAGCCTATTGGGTAGCAACAACCCTGCACTCCTATGATTAGTTGTTACTGTTGTGACTCTCCACCACGACAGATCGTCTCATACTTTTTCGAGTAAAACTCACTAAACGTTCATCTCAATCGCTTCAACTTCACCATCGCACCATTTTTTGTCAGTTGCTTCGTTTGTTTGCACCATGCCGGCCCCTTCAGATGAAGACTGCGTGAACCCATTGTACCTGAGCTGGGTGAAGGAATGGTTCGATCTCGCCCAGAGACGCAATGCAAAGAGTGTCACGGCGTATCGCAATGCCTACAACTCCCTGAGAGCATGCCCACTCGTCTTTACGCACCCTTGTCAGCTCGAGACTCTCAAAGGTTTCGGCAGAACAATGTGCGACCGGCTCACACAGAAGCTGCAGGAACACTGCAATGCCAACGGGTTGCCGATGCCGTCAAAGAAGAGGCCGAGAAGACGAGGTGCAGATTCGGCAGCACTGGATGGCGATGATGCCGGGGTTTCAGAAGACGAGGAGTCACAACCACGGCCCGCCAAGAAGGCACGAAAGGTCAAGGCTTACGTACCACAATACCGCTCTGGTCCGTACGGCATCCTATTGGGCCTTGCCGAGCACAATGCCTCTGGCATGACGGGCCTGAGTAAGGACGAACTCATAGCGGCTGCTCAGCCTCACTGTGATAGCTCCTACACGACCGCCGACCAGGCCAACAAATTCTACACGGCCTGGAACTCGTACAGAACCTTGGTCAACAAGGAGCTTATTGTTGAAAAGAAGAACCGTGCTCGAAAGTTCTACGTCCTGACTGATGCCGGCCTCGAGGTTGCAAGAAACATCAAGCGAGCGGCTGATCCCTCTGCACCGTCGCCTGAGCCTGATGACAGGTCTGGACCCTCTGAAAGGCGGGAGCCTCCAAGACAAGCAATACAGAAAATACGGCCAATCTCAGTCGATGATGACGATGACGACAATGACGCTCTTTTTGTGGAAAGCGACGTAGAGGTGCCTGCATCTGCCCAAACTTCTGCACCGCGGCCAAAGACAGCACCATCAGAGTTTGCAGACGTTGTCAAGGATGAAAATGGCTCTTCTGATCCTTCAGCTATACCAAGTTTTCGCCCGATTCGCCTACAGCCAGGATCTTTCACCATACAGCTCATGATTGATCAGCGAGAAGTTCGTTCCAAAACTGATCGCGACTATATACAGGAGGAGCTCTACAAGCAGGGCGTCAAGCCAATTGTGAAGCCTCTGCCGCTCGGTGATGCAATGTGGATTGCGAAATGCCACGATCCCAACTTCCTCACTAGGACTGGGGCAGAGGGCGACGAAGTGGCCCTTGACTGGATTGCAGAGCGGAAGCGTCTTGATGATCTTATGTCGAGCATCAAGGATGGTCGCTTCCACGAGCAAAAGTTTAGACTCAAGAATGTTGGACTGAAGAACGTTATTTACATCATTGAAGAATTCAATGTGAACGAGCAAAATCGGTCGCATTACGAGTTGGCGGTCCAATCTGCCATTGCAACCACACAAGTCACAAGTGGATTTTTTGTGAAGCAGACACAAAAGCTGGACGACACAATCCGCTACTTGGTTCGCATGACCAACAAGCTCAAGAAATTGTACGAAGAGAAGCCGCTCTTTATCATCCCGACAGATATCATCACCAGAAAGAACTATCTCCCTTTGCTTCAAAGTCTTCGTGAGAAGGACTCGTCCACCAATCATTACATCAGCTACCAAGCGTTCTCATCCTTGGCATCAAAATCTGAAATGATGACACTCCGAGATGTGTACCTTAGGTTTCTCATGTGTATCAGGGGAGTCACTGGTGAAAAGGCTCTTGCAATTCAGAAGAAGTGGCAGACCCCACGCGATTTCATTGAAGCGTTCGAGGACCTGGGTTCGGGCGAGGTTGGAAGGAAGAAGAAGAACGACATGGTATTCAATGAATTGGGTAACCAACCTGGAGGTAAGAAGATGACCAAGGCTTTGAGTGCAAAAATTGCTGGTATTTGGGCAGATATTCCATCGCAGGCCTGAATTATGCATCACGCATTGCCCGACTTATCACTGGCACCGCGGATCGGACATCAGACTGCTCTCGAGGGGATTCCATGTAAGATATGTTAATTTGCCTGCCATTCCATCTTTTTTACTTCCTTTTTTTTTAAAAAAAAAAAAAGTCACGACGAATCAAGCCAGCAGTGTCATTCTCCAGGGGAAGAATAAAGAAACAATATTGGTCTATATCCTGCTTGCAGTCTATTCACAGTCATTTGTACCTCAATAATCAAAGATTCGTCATGCCAATGTTTATGCGGAATGCGCCCCCATGGCCTGGGCAACTAGATCTTGCACAATCTTTTCGACAATGGGCTTGAGCGCACCTTGGTCGCCCTGAAGGTATCCGGCCATACTCTTCTCGGCGTATTTTGCCAGTACGTCAACCTCTACGTTGACGCTGTCGCCTTCCTTCTTCTGGGCCAGAACGACCTTTTCCTGGGTGTACGAGATGAGCATGACCTCCCACCAGGCCTCGGCATCGTTGACGGCAGTAATAGTCAGACTTGTGCCATCGAGGGCAATGAAGCCCTTGTATACAACATAGCGCATGATGTCGCGGTTCTTGGGCTGGAAGCGCAGAGTAACGGCATTTCCGTCGGGGGCACGGCGGGTAATGGTAGCGATGCTGTCAACGTGACCCTGGACAAAGTGGCCGCCCATGCGGGTGTCGGCGCGGACGGCGCGCTCGAGGTTGACGCGCGAGCCGGCCTTGAGCTCGCCGAGGTCGGTCAGGCGCAGCGTCTCGGGGGCGATGCCGACGGTGAAGGAGGGCCGCGGGTCCGCCTCTGGCGAGAGGGTGGTGGCCGTTAGGCACACGCCGTTGACGGCGATGCTGTCGCCCAGGATGGCGTCGGACAGGAGCGAGGACGAGGCGGGCAGCGCAATGGTCAGCGAGGTGCCGCCGGTCGCATCCTGCGGGTTGAGCTCGGTGACCTCTGGTTAGGTTTTGGTTCTCGGTCAGCGCTTTACTGTTTCTTCCTTCTCCTTGGTGATGCTTCCCTTTCCCTGCAGGTGACGGCAAGGGGCCCGGACGAAGCGGAAAGGTGTCTCGGCGCCTGGGAATATTGCTTTGCACATACCTCCAATCTCTTCGACCAATCCTGTAAACATTTTGGGCGACTTTACGTTGAAAAGTTCCGGCGACAGTTTATCACGAATTGAATTCGGTGAGAGAATGGCGGCCGTCGGCGGATAAAGGTCAACGGTTACTGGCAATACATGATGACATGACGTTTCGCAGCGGTTGAAGCTGCCCCGCCATCCGTCGCCAATGCCAGGAGATGCCCCGCCATTGCACAGGGGGTCCAGGGTGCGGCGCGCGTAGCAGCACTGACTGGCAGGTAGCTAATGTGCGTGTGTCCAGGGATCAGTGTGGAGCATTTTCTTTCTTTCCGATGTGCATCGCTGGGCATTCTGTAGTGTAGATCTAGATCCGTTGGTTGTTCGATCGTAGCTCCAGATACTCACATGTGATAAAAGCATAGATCTGTTCAACCACGACTTCAATTCAAGAAAGTTGATTTTTTATGGTCTAGGTCAAATGGAACATGATGACCGTATAATAATTCATGGCTGTCTGTTAGGCTAAAGTAATGATAATGTATATGGAAGGAGCTGAGCGCCACAACATGATTGGACTACGGGCACTAAGACAAGACGATGCTGCCTGCGCGCTCATCATTCGCTTTCATGATTTCGTTTCGGGAAGTGCAACAAAGGTAGTTTGCTCGATTTCCACATGACGCCACTTTCATGCCCACACAACACAAACTCCATGGCCGCGGAGATCGTGTAATCATAGCGCACAAGCACGAGCACGAGCCCAACGGCAAGGCACATGTCTCATTTTCTTGGATTCCATCATCATATTTGTTTCTTGGAAATGAGGTGACCGATTTGTCTTGTTGTACCTCGCAAGCACCTTCTCCGGATCCAAAAATGATTGCGCGTTCATTGTCAACAACTGCCACTTCGACATGACGGCATTGGTGTAAGGATATGGATCCAGACTTGGACGACAAAACGGCCCTTTTCAGTCGACTGCAAGACTTGGAGCAAATCGATGAGACCGACGACCAGATCCTTGAAGCCGAAGAAGCTAACCACCGAGCCAAATGCAAGGCCTTTGCACATTCTAGTCCGAGGAAACCAACACCAAGAACACGATCAACTGTTGGCGGCACCAGTACCCCACGTCTTGAGGCTCCTCGAAGAACAGCCTCTGACTCTGCCGCTGTTCAGAGGACACCAAGAGCTACCCCTCGAGCAGACGTGATCATCATTGAAGATACGCCCGAGCCCGAAGGAAATCCGACAAAGAGGCCCCAACTTGCGTCGCTGCTCAACGTGACTTTTAATGAGGAAATTATATCTGTACCAGACTCAGTGCAAGCATCTTCCAGCCAACCGAGCCGGAAAGTCTCACGCCCGCAACTGCGCAGGACGAACCGGTCATCACCATCAGCTGAAGACACACCATCAGTCACCATGGGCAAACGCAAGAGACCCACAAAGCTCAATATGGCGCCTGAGGCACAGCAATGGTTCAAGGGCTCGTCATTCTTCTACTTTCCAAATAATGACACCAATGCTGTGCGAGAGCGGCGCATCACCAAAGCCCGTGAGCATGGCGCCGAATGGGTGCGTACCTTGAGAGAGGCCACGCATTTGATTGTCGATGCAGATCTCACTCACAAGGACCTTGAAAAGGCCTTTTCTGCCAATGAGTTGGCGGATAAGATTGTTGTCAATGATGTATACCCCATGGAATGCATCAGCTACCGTACCTTTTTGAAACCAGATCGGGAGAAATTCAAGGTCCAAGGATTATCGTCCACGCTCAACTCGTCAGTCGATCCTCCACAATCATCAGAGACATCGGAACGGTCGTTGCAGCCCAAGGCACCTAGAAGTCGCGCCCGAACTGGTCATCTCGATCCGGCCGCCACCCCTCCGAGGAGTGATGCTTCTACACAGAAGAGTACTCAGCTATCTTCAGGCAACGTCATTTCCGATTCCCAATTGGGGAGTCAAAAAGCCACTGCGGACGTTGATCACGAAAACAGTGTTAGCCAAGAGGAGATGCCACTAGACGTGTCCCAGGCAGGAGCAGAGGGTAAGGCGGATGAAGATGAGCTCGCGCAAATTATCCATTTCGCCAAAGCCAATCCAGATGCCAACGTTGATGCTGAGAGTGAAATGGAGGACGACAGGCGCCCATCGTCTGCGGACATTTCGACTGCTCCTTCTATCGAACAAACCGCAGTTGACAATGGGAGAGAAAGTTCGGATGATGAACCGCAGAGGAAGAATCCCCGGAAAACAAAGGCCAAACGCCTCAAGAATGAGAATTGGCAAGACAAGTTTGCTTGCATGAAGGGGGGCACGAAGGACGCCAAGCCTGATAACCCCAATGCTGATACAATTGCCATGTTGCAGTCCATGTGTGACCACTACACAAGAAATAATGAGCATTGGCGTGTGACCGCCTATCGCAGAGCAATTTCAGCCCTTCGTCAGCAGTCAACCAAGATTCTCACATCAAGCCAAGCAAAGGATATTGCAGGTATTGGTGATCGACTCGCCGACAAAATTGAAGAAATTGTCACCACTGGCCGCCTCAGGAGGCTGGAAGAAGCTGCGAATGAACCAAATCATGAGGCCCGTGAATTATTCTTGAAGGTCTATGACGTCGGTCTCCAGACGGCAGAGAAGTGGATTGCTCAAGGTTATCGGACCCTAGACGATTTGCTCGAGAGGGCCAATCTCAGCAGGAACCAGCGTATAGGCGTGGAGCACTTTGACGACTTGAATACGCGCATCCCACGCGCTGAAGTTGAGGCTTTGGGTGATCACGTCAGGAGAGTGGCCCGGGAATTAGACTCTAGAGTCGAGCTGCTCATTGGGGGCAGCTATCGACGAGGTTCGGACAGCTCAGGAGATATAGACTTTATAGTCACCAAGAAAGGAACAACGGCAAGTGCTGACCTTGGGCCATTTCTCGACGAACTAGTCGGCAGATTGATGCGTCAAGGCTTTCTGACAGCCGGTCTTGCAACATCCCGGTCCGATACTGGAAACAAATGGCATGGATGCTGTGTACTTCCCAAGGAAGAGTTTCCTGGTGATAGGACACAATACAAGCCAATATGGAGACGGATCGATTTCCTCCTGGTTCCCGAGACCGAGTTTGGTGCGGCACTGCTATACTTTACCGGCAATGACTTGTTCAACAGGAGCATGCGCTTATTAGGGGATAAGAAGGGCATGTGCCTGAATCAGCGAGGGCTCTTTCGTGGCGTCATAAGAGGCCCAGGCAGGGTCAAATACACTGATGGAGAGCTAGTGGAAGGGAGAGATGAAAAGAAAATCTTTGAGGCTCTGGGGGTTCAGTGGAGAGAGCCGCATCAAAGGTGGTGCTAGACGTGAATCTGGTTCCACGACGCCCATGAAGATGGTGGTGGTGCCTCGAAGAATGACTTCTTCGAGACACCAAAGTCGTACAAAGGAGCAACATTGGCCTAACATCGATAGCCTGTTAACTTGGTATACGTCTTGCAAACAAGGTACAGGACAGATAATGATTTCCATCCTGGAGGCCGAGCAGACCCGTGATAGCACGTCATCAATATAGCAAGGTCTTACACCGCCATGATAAAACAAGAAAAAGATTTACAGCCTTGTGTCAAAAGTGGCTGTATCCAACTCTGATACTCGTGGACCCCTGACATGCCTAGCCGCCATCTGTACATGCATATAACACAGTTTCTGCAATCCGGGTATCACGAAATGCAAGAGAAAACCTTGAAATATGACGTGCATATTGATTGAACCAGCCATGCCAGCCTAGCCCATGCCAGCCTTGCAACCTTGAAACGGTTATGATATTGCTTTTTCTTCTTCCCCCCCCCTTCTCTCGTTTGAGTTGATGAAAGCTGCCAAAAATGCGCGCGCGTACAACTGTAACACCGTTTTCTTTCACCGCCTCCGTGTTTCTCCCCGCCACTTGCAATGTTCATCAATTAGACTTTGTGATTACACGTGGTCAAGCATGCAGCCACGGGCGATTTCTATCCCCTTCTGAAGATCCTGCCGCCCGACCCCCTTTGCCTCTCCACCTGAGAGTGGATGGATAATTGTGTCAGATGTCAAGATGTCAAGTTTGTCTTGGGCTGTCGAATAGACGGAAGCATGTCTCACCGAGCAGCAAGGTACCTGATTGACTAAGTGGAAAGATTATGGTAAAGAGAATTGTAGAATTTCTTCAAGGAGCTCTAAAGTTTGTATACCGTGATAGCCTAAACATTGAATGGTATTTGTCCTCCTCTAGCCATTTAGGTTTGTACTTTTTGTACTTTATATATTCAAAAGACGGCATGAATAGAATAAATTTAGAAAAACTTTTTTATGCAAAATGACACGCTGTTTACCTCACCAGCGCAGAGCGGTTGGTATTCCCTGCATACGCCCTTGCGTCTGTCAGGGGGATACTATTCTTCTCGCGCGGATCAAAAGGGCTGGCCGTGTGGTCGCGGGAGTAGAGGCTGGTGCCGGGTACGTCATTGGCGCCGCCGCCGACGACGACGTCGTCGTTGAGGACCTCGCGGGTCAGCTCGACATAGTCATAGGCGAACTCGCCAATCTCGGCGTCGTCGATGCCGAGGATCTCGGCCTCCTCGTGGGCGCGGAGGCGCAGGCCGGGGATCATGTTGATGAGGAACAGGATCAGCGTCGTCAGGACAAACGAGTACAGGCCGCCGGCGACCGAGTCGGCCAGCTGGTAGCCCAGCTGCACCCAGTGGCGGTCGAGCCAGCCGCCCGCGATCACGGTGCTGCCGTCGAGCGCCGCCACGGAGCGGCTGGCGAACAGGGCCGTGCACACGTTGCCCACGAGACCGCCGACGGCGTGCACGGCGAAAATGTCCAGGGCGTCGTCGACTCCGACGAGGAACTTTAGCTTGGTTGCGTAGTTGGCGCACGAGGCTCCGAGTATTCCATAGAGGACCGAGGCCCAGACTGGGACGAAACCTGGTGGGATATAATTAGTATATGATAAGATATTCGCGAATGCCAGGACACGGAATTTGGAAAAAGTGCTTACCTGATCCCGGCGTGATGGCTACGAGCCCAGCAATGACCCCCGAACAGAAGCCTACAGCCGACCACTTTCTCTCCAGCCTATAATCCAGGAGACACCAGGTGACACCGCCGACACAGGCTGCCAGGTTGGTAACGGTGGCGGCAATGACGGCGCGCAGGTTGGCGGCCAGGGCGGAACCGGCGTTGAAGCCGAACCAGCCCACCCACATGAAGACAGTACCAATGACAATGTGCGTGACATTGTGCGGCCGGTAGTTGAGCTCGTGGGTGCCGTGGCCGCGGCGGCGGCCCAGCATCATGGAGTAGGCGAGGGCGGCGCAGCCCGAGGCAATGTGCACGGGGGTGCCGCCGGCAAAGTCGAGCCCGCCCATCTTGTTGGACCAGCCGCTCGGGTTCCAGGTCCAGCAGGCAATGGGGTCGTAGACAATCGTGGCCCAGATGAACATGAAGATGACGCAGGGCAGCATGCGCCCGCGCTCGGCCACGGCGCCCGTCGCCAGCGCCACCGTGATGGCCGAGAACATGCCCTGGTACACGGCGAAGAGCAGGTCCGGGATCCGCGTGGACCCTACCGACGGGCGCGCCAGGACGTTTTTGAAGCCAAAGTTGGCCAGGTCTCCCAGGAATGGGCCGGCCGTGTGCGAAAAGGTCAGGGAGTAGCCCCAGAAGAACCATTGGAAAGATGTGACGGCCGTTGCCATGACGGACAACCATATGAGAGACAATGCCGACTTTCGCCGTGCGAGACCAGAGTAGAAGAAGCTGTATTGGAGGGTTTCTTTGTTTAGTATACGAGGGGCAACCACCCGGCCAGGAAGAAGGTCTGAAAACTCACCCAACACCAGGTATCATGAGAAGGACGAGAGCCGTGGCTGTTATCATCCAAGCAATATCTCCCGACTCGTACCATATGTTCAAGTTCTCCGTCGTGGGATCCCCTCCATCTGCCTCGGTGCCATTGTATGGTGTTTTGCCGACATAGTAGTCATCGAGGTCTATACCGTCCACGACGACCATTTTGAATATGGTTGGGGGGGACAAAATCCTCTCAAGAGCCGAATCAAATCGAAATTGGCGGTTTAAAATGGAGAATCAATATCGTCGACTTTGAAATATCGAAAGAGGTAGTCAGTCCACCGGAGTCCAGGTCAAGTTGGCAGCCTTTTTTGGGGAGGTTTTCTTCAAGTATGGGTTTTCGTCGTCGTCAAGAAGGGCGGTGGAACATGCAGAAATTGATGATGCCGCCTGCAAGAAGGAGTGGATTGTCAGGCGTTGTAGGGGGGAGTACAACAGTGTCTCTGAGGCAAAACACACAAGTGACAGCTGTTCCCAGAAGAAGCAATTCCAGAAGTGGCCGGGGGGGAAAGAAGGCTGATCAACTGAAAACGTGGAGACGTTGGCGGCGTCCCCGGATGCAAGAGAAGCAAAAGTTGGTATATATATGAGAAAATAAATTATAGTATGGATGGAGCACGCGGCGGCAGGCTTGTTGACGGCGGCTGGGGGTGGAGAATAAAAGAGGCTCACTCACACGCCCATTTAAGGTATTATACAATGGAGGGGCAAAAGAGAAAGGAATGGAAGTGGGTTCTGCAAGAGCTGGGAAAAAAAGAAGGAATCGTCCACAAATGTACTGCAAAAGGGCCGCGCAAAACCACACTTATCAGAGATAGATGGTTGAAGACGATGCGAGTTTGTCCGTCGGTTTCCCCCCCTCCAGCCTGTATCGTACCTATGGTACCTACATGGACGACCAGGGCCGGCCGGACCCCTTGCAAGGGCTTACGAGGGGTGGGAGATTGACCGGATCGCCCGTCAATGACTTGTGTGTGTGTGTGTGTTTGCTCGTTGCATGTTATCGCAACGCTATACCAGCTTAGGGGCGACAACCCAAAGCAGTATGATCGCATGGCAAGTGGATCCCGTTCTATTTTCTAGTCTAGTGTAGGGATGAGTGTGTACGTTACGAGGCCAGTACGTGGGTAGGGTTGGTACGGAATATATATATGTGTGTATATATATCATCTCTCTTGTATTTGAGGAAAGTCTCCAGTCAAGAGCCAGTCTGTCTATCTGGGTTGTTGTAGTAGTAGTAATGGTTACTGTTGTCATTCCTTTTGCACATGGAAGGCAAGAATGTCATGGTATAAAGAGGTCATATATCGCTAGAATGTCAGACAGACGGAGAGGAAAGAAAATGAAGGAGAGAGGTGGCTACTTTGCCTGAACCTGAAGCATGACCTACCAAGGAATGGTACCCCAAATACTGCGGGAACAGAGAGAAAGAGAAAGAGAAAGAAGTCGAATTCCAACCGACACGCATACGATTTTGAGCTGGAAGCTAAAAAACCAACAGCCTTATCAACCGACCGTTGGAGGCGCCGTCTCACCCTCCATCGTGTGGTTCGAGAATGCGCAAAAAGACGCCTTGCAAGCTGGTCCTGGTCCCTTTCCAGGTCCTGGGTGTCCAGCCCAAATGAGGAGGCGACCATCCGGGCTCGGCAAAGCAACCCTGCAGGTCGCGTCACAGCAGCGAATCACAGCCTCGGTTCGGTCATGGACTTTCAATCATGGTCAACTCTCTCACATAAGAAGAGAAGCAAAAAAAAAATAAAGTAAGAGGAAAAGCAAGAAAGGAAGAGAAAGAAGTCATTGGCCCTCTTGTCTTTCTTTCGGCGGAAATAACCTGGTCCCAAATCATCCTTTCCATCGTCCTAGCCAAGTGTCTGTCTACTCTTTGCGCCGTCGCAACCAGTCGCGTGTTGTATGTATGTTGTCCCTCTGTTGACGAAAAGTGTACTATAAGTTGAGTTCAGGGTAGTCGGTTAGTCTAGTTCTAGTGTAAAGGGTCGTGGGGTGGCATCAATAGATAAGGGAAATGAATTAAAGCCAAGTATTAGTTTTGGTGTGTTGCAACTGGTAGTACTTGGCTGTAGCGTATGTACATTGTAGGTGGTGGTAGTAGTGGTAGCAAAGAGGGGGCCAGGGCTGAGTGAGAGTGCATTAAAAGCGTCCACTGGACTGGGTCTTTCTCTCTCTCTCTCTGCGCTGATGGGTGGTGGCCTGTGTCATTCCTGTCGCGTGGGGGCCCTCTGCTGGTTTCTTGGGATTTTTCAATGGGTGGCACGTTTTTCTTTCTTACCTGGAACCGACTTTCATGTCCCTTGTTGCCTTGTGATTTTACTTATTACTAGTCATGATTACCACCCTTTTCCCAAAGGATCTGATACACACCGGCAGTTGTGAGATCTTGACGTCAATGTTCAACCTTGACAAGTATATCTCAATGGCTAGCTGTCGGCAAAGACTCAAGTAGGATATATACTTCAAAGAAGTTGCAATTGTGGCAGACAGACATCATACAAAGAACAAGAGCAACAACAACTACTATTAACAAACTTCAACCCTTTGACCCGACCCCAGGTTTATTTCTTTCCGCCCCTCTTGCGGAAAGAAAGGCCGAAATGGACCATCAGCAGCAGGGATTCCAACACACAGACAGACCCCAAAGCTTACATAGGGACTGTTTCGTAGGTAGGCATGAATACACAATTTATATTGCGCCGCGCGCGCCCAGAACATTACATTAAATCCGATCAATTAAACCGAACGACTATTTGCCTTATGCACCTCGTACCTGCGCTGATGTTGTTCCGTCTGGGCATAATACCCGAACGTAGGTACGAATGCAACAACGACAAACAGAAGCAGCAGCCAACCGATTGGAGGGGAAGCGGCCGCTGGCTTGACATGCAAAGATGAATTCATTTTACCTTTTTCATTTTTCACCAAGGGCGTATCGTTGGGTTGATGACATTTGTTTCGTGCACAACTAACTGTCTGCTGGAAAACAATACTTCTTCCTCCTTCTCTTCCAGTCTCTCTACTATGTATAGATCGGAAATATATCGAGGCACACGCTCACTGTTCCCGCATCGGACGTTGCCGTGGAACCTCCCCCTCTCCCTCCCTCCCAGCGCTAGGCTCCGGGTGGCACACTTTGAAGGGGACTTTTCTCGAATAGTACATAGTCACCCCTCCAAAAAGTTGATCACGACTCTTACGTGCCCGCATACGTTCTAGTATTCCGACGCCGCCTGCGTTCTTGCATACAGACTACTGCAGCGTGTGCCAAGTCAAGCGGGCTCTAAAAAACTGTGGCACTTTGTACATTCAGAGCTATTCCGTCGGACGGCTAGAAAGGTCGGAGAAAATAAAAGAGAGGACAGAATGAGAGTGGCCAAAAATCCGGCACACAATAGTCTTTGCCTCCATCATTGCTAAAAATTCCTCCGCCGGCGGCCAGACATGATCATGGTCTCTGGCCAAGGCAATCACAATTACCACCATTGCTTATAGACACAATGAAGCTACAAAAATACCCAAAAGTCTAGTATGTATTTGCACACAAGTACGAAGCCATTCTTGAAGACCATCTGCCTTTTTTCATTTTGGATATATATAGCAAGCAATAGAAGGGGGCAAAAGGGTGGCTAGTGTATAGAGTACAGCAAATCCCCTGAATCGCGTTCAACCCACCAACTTCTTCTTAATGGTTTGCGGCAGTTTGCGGCAGTTTGCGGCAATCCAGTCTTGATGGGGGCATACAAATTGCCCGTCGCCATGAGCCACTCGATTCTAGGTTGGAACCGAAATGCAGATAGATACACACAGATTTTTGACTACTTGCCGCAAGCAAAGCCCGCGGCAAACTTCTTTGCCAGTCTAACAGCGTCCTTGATGTCACTTGTTCTCCCCCCTTCTTGTTGCAGCGCAAACAACCCTCCTCCTCTAGCTGTACCTACTGATATGATGACTGTATCTAAACACCCCCAAAGAATCGCGTGGGGGAACATGGGATGGGATGGGATGGGATGGGATGGGATCGACGGCGGGACACATCCCGTCAGCCTCAGCGACGCACCGGTTCATATGACGATCTCTCTTGTCATTTCCTTCATGATTCTAGAAAAGACATGTAAACCTTCCCACCCACCCCGTTACCTTAGTCAAGGCTTAGGCTTGGCAGTCCACGAAATCCATCCACGCCAGCCCCCGTCCCGTCGTCAATAGTAGATGGATGAAGGTTGACTTTTGACAGGTAGGATCGTCATGCAACGAAACGTGTTTTTGAGCCAAGATCTGCCTAGTAGCCGCTCATCGTAATTGCCCAATCTTGTTTTCTACTGTCATACAATCTAGTTTTAGCTACTATTTGTTTTTATTTCTCTTATTAGCCATTATACTTATTGAATCTATTGAATGTTGAGATGGCTCGCTGTGACAATAGTAGAAGCGATTGACCCAGTTCATGTCCATACTTGTCCCGTCTTCTCCCTCGGAATTGACAGTAGCTTCTTGAAAGTGTCAAACGCAACATGATAGCGATCGCAATATGAGAGATCATATACGCTCTCATGGGCACCTGTATGTTTTGTTTTGCAAAGCGGATTGACGCGCACACCGCGGTTCAAACTTGTCAAGCATCAAACAGAAGAGCCATTCAAAAAGCAGAGTTTCAAATTATCTACTGTACATTGGAAGAACAGACTGAATTACCATTAGCCCCTGCTAAGAGACAAAGTGTATGGGTATCTGAAATTATCGAATGAACCAGCTTTTTCACCTCACGTAATGTACCAAGATTGTGCTGCTGCCTGGGGCCGATAGTATACTGTATTTGCCAACGATTGAGAATGAACGCAAACCACCGATGCCACTAACCATCGTGAATTCATATGCAATGATATATCGACTGAATCCTGGGTATCAGTCCTTGGTGTAGGAATGTCTGTATCAATAAAGGTCGAGCCGTGTGTCTACTTTACCCCAATCCGCCAGCTCTGTCTTTGTTTCCGGTGCTGTGACTTGGGAGCTTACGATGCTGATATGTAGGCCATTGATTGCATTCGGGTCCATATATGATCCATTCTGATGTAACACGAGGAATCCCAGGCTCTGTTTCAGAAAAGGGCCAACGTCCACGGGGTGCATACTGGGAAGGTTTCCTGAGATTACCAGCTCAGCCAGCACTGATGTCAGAGGGATGGTCCCGCCGACTTGGAGAGGTCCCAGACCGGCATGAGTGTGATGACCGCCTGCAAATATGCCCAGTGTTCCAATCGTGCCATTTGACATTTCAAACTTGCCAAAGTATTTGGGGGCATGACCGAGAAAGAGGTGAACGGTAAAGGATGCACCCAAAGCGAATTTATTGACATGAATATTGGCAATCCACTCTCTGTACACTCCGTCTGTGGTGACAAGATCCTCAGAAGACCTTTCCTGAAAGCGACGACCAAAGTTGGCTTGGGCTCCATGCACATTGTGCTTGGTGGGTGACAGTGTTGCAGGAGTGAAGTCAGTGTACAGTCTGTTGATGGCCGCGATCACGTCACTTCGATTTCCACTGACCACATCCGCATAGCTGTACCCAAACACCTTGTGGTCACGGACGTCGTCAGAATTCCAGAACTGTGTTTCGTTACGGTAGAAGGGCGTCAAGTCTGATAGAGAGGTTTGATTGTCTCCAGTTCTGATCGTCCTGGTCGGGAGTATGGCCTGTGTCGGCTCTAGCCACGATTCATTGTAGACCACCTGCCACATTGCAAACAGCCTGTCAATGTTTGCATGGTGCAGAAAGAAACAAGGGTCGAATGACGAGTACGCGATAATGGCCATGTGTCCAAAGTTGCCTCCGCACGTCAAGTGAACAGTATCATGGAGAGATTCAATCGAGTCGAAGCTCGAGTTGCTAGAGTCTGGAATCCACGCTTCATTGCTCCATTCACTATAGTTGCCAGAGGTCGCAAAGAGTGCGTAGAGTCGTTGCTGGATGGTGGGCAAATTCTTGCTGAAGGCCTGCGACACCCATTCGTTGTCCGACGTCGCATTTGGGCTCTGCAGCGGATTCGGTCTTCGCTTTGTCTCGTTCCAGTACATGAACTATGGCTCAATATCAGTATTTTCTAAATTCGTCCCAACTACTACGTAAAACCTACGGGGTATTCCTCAAAAATGCCAGGATTCAAGGGGTTGAAGACGTAACTGAAGAGGGGGTTGCTGATATTCTGTTTCCCGTTTGGACCATCAACTTCTATTTTCGATGAGCCCCAAAGAATAGAAGGAAAGACACTAGATCCGTTTGATGGCTTCATTGCCCAATCCCAATAGGGTATACGGAAAGTATCGGCTGCACGCTGAAAGGTCTCACGTTGCTCATCGGGATACCATGCCGCAATGGTCTGGACAATAGTGAAGAGAGTTTGCTGTTTACAGTTAATCAGTGAGGACCTGACCCATGGGCAACTGCTGCATACTAGATATAGTCGCCTCGTGGACCAGTGCTTACCTCAAAGAGGGCCAGATATGCGCGATGCCAAGGAGGAAAGAGGATAGACACGTGGGTACAGTATCCATTGGCCTTATTGCCAGGCAATGCTTTGACACCGCCGTAGTCTGCAAATGGTGCGCCGTGTATACCTTTTCATGAATCCCTTTAGTCATTGTACATGAGAAAACAAGGAAAAGAAGAGTGCTGACCTGCGATTGCGTACCAAGAAGCGGGATCGCTCTGGTTGAGCCACTGCATCCAGCTCAGGGCCAAGATATAGAGATTCCACTGCTCATGGTAGTCTTGAAGTTCGCGCAATTCTGGTCGAAGGGGAATGCTGCCATTATAGGCTATGGGCTGCACCAAAGCATTTTGTGAATCATTCTGGGAGATGTCGCGCTTTCCAATGGTTTCCTGCGCTGTAGGGCCATAGTCATAGCCTCGAGGCTCGTTGGCGGCCAGCAAGGGGCAAGAGAAAAGCCCAAGGAGAAGAAAGAGGTGGCGCCACAAGACCAACATTGTAAGTTGCCGAATCGAGGATCTGGGGTTCTTGTCGAGTAGCAAGTCCTTCGCCAAGATCGCACAACAACGCTGAAGCTGGAGTACACAGCGAGCCCAGACGCTGAGAGCGCACCTGGATAGTGATCAAAGTGCTGGCTGGTCGGCTTGCAGTGAGCAGCACAGGGAAGACGGCGAGAATGAGGAGATTAGATTAGTCTCGGGAAGTCGAAGCAGAGCCCCAAGCTGCCTGTAGCAGGTCAGACATCGATATCTGGAGGAGCAGATACAAATGGTCAGCTGAAGGCTCGGGGATGCCGAGAAGTCCGAAGAGGAGGCGGAGGACAAAGATCAATTAGAGGTAATCAACGGGCGAGGGGAGGGTCTCGTCTCGCACGAGTACGGGTAGACGCTGCCCTCAAGTGCTCCTCCCAAAAAGGAAAAGAATTGATCAAGTAAGACAAGTTTGAGGATGGACAAAATTATTCCACCTAGTGGTTTCGTGTGTGAGGGTCGAGAATTTTTCCGTTTGTTCATTTACCTGTTTGTCTTTGAGGGCAGGTGCAATGGTCACCGGCTTGTCGTTGATTCGTGAACTTCAAAACACCTCATGTAGGTATCGCCTTGCCAACCATCTGCACCTGCCCGGTTTGTTGATCACTGACCACGCCATTTCTGTGTTTGATGTTGATATTGTTCTTTGTTTTTCCCCTCTCTTTTCACATTCTCCAGGCACTCTTCCAAATATCTTGAATATGTTGGCTTCATGACTGGAGAATTATGCACCTTCCAAAGTCGAACCAGTATGGATGACTTTGAGTCTCGGTCTCATGACAGCTTCACCTACCATGTCACTAGTTCTCGGAGAAAATACAACTGCAAGGGCCAGCCGAGTTCAGGATTCCCCAATTTCTAATTATACAGTGCAGAGACAGAATACGTATGTTTCGCTGGCCACGGCTTCAGTCAGGAAGAACAAGGCTCTGTATCCCACGATATACCGCAGAACTTCAACCCAACTTCATGGATGTTGTGACACGCAGATCGTGAGGAACTGCGTACCGCTTCTCGGCCCTCGGTGATTAAGCCTGTTTGATTCAAATGAAGGGGTGCAATATCGGCTACGTGCAGAGCTGGAACTTGTGCGCCGGAAGGGAAACTGGATTTATTACACGCCAATGCAATTTCAATGTACGAATACGTTCTTCTGTGGCTTTCTACCAACAGGCCAAAGTGTTTAATGTAACTACTGTAACGACTACTGTGCGATAAACTCCTAACTCACAGATGTGGAATCATGACAGAGGGAAACCCGAACCAATTTTGAACTCCTTTCAATGCTTAAGTGACTCCAACATGCTGTTGCACAAAAGCTATGCGGCCGCTTCGAGAGCAGGCTGCGCTTTCTTGCCAGCCGCCTCAAGCGCATCCCAGGTGGTCTGTACAAGAGGGCCCTTGCGAGCAGCGTCCTTGGGGTCGACCCTGTACTTCAACTTGATACCCATGGCCGCAAGCTCGACATCGAGGTACTTCAAAGCACCAGGCACGGCCACCAAGGTGGTTTGGTCACCACCGACCCATTGGTTGCCCTGTCCATCCTCCCAGATCTCACCAGCCACCTTGCTCAGATCGGCGTCTTCTAGCTCATCGATGCGCGTGGCACAGTTTCTGCAACGCACGCTGCTGACTGTCTTCTTCTTCCCAACATAGGGAGACACCGTGGGCTGCATCGAGAGGAACGAACCACACTTGCGGCATATCCACGAGCGTGAGTAATCGGAACAGTTCATCAGGCGGTCCTGGAGCAGGAAGGCTGTACCGTGTGCCAGCAGTGCATCGCGTTCCATCTCTCCCACACGGATACCACCACCACGCTTTCTTCCCTTAATGGGCTGGCCCGTTGTTGGCACCACAGGGCCCGTTGTTCTGACTTGGTACTTGTCGTTCACCATGTGACGAAGACGTTGATAATAGACAACACCAATGTAGATGTCAGCCGCCAGTTCCTCACCAGTGATACCAGAGTACAATGGCTCATTTCCATGGTAGTTGTAGCCAGCCATCTTGAGCTGGTGCCCAAAGTAGTCGCCTGCCGTGTTCTGTTCGTCGAATCGGAAAGGCGTGGAGTCCTGGGCCAAGCCGTGAAGAGCACCGGCTTTGCCGGCCAAGGACTCGACAAACATACCAATGGTCATTCGCGACGGGAAAGCGTGAGGGTTAATGATGACATCAGGCTGGATTCCTGACTCCGAGAAGGGCATGTCGACGGCTGGCCACTTCTGCGAAGCAACACCCTTCTGTCCGTGACGAGATGAGAACTTGTCTCCGATAACAGGAGATCGAGGGATTCTCAGCTTGATGGAGATTGTCTGCATTGGCTCGTTGCCTGTCTCGCTACCAATGACTCGCACCTCCTCAATGAAAGCAACTTCAGTCTCTTTGTACTTTTCATAATGGGTGATGCCATCTCGGTTAACCAGGTTGCCGCTGTAATCAGCAGAGACAGTGTGCCATGCGCAGAGAATGTCGCCCTCTTGGATGCAGCGACCGACAAACGGGAGGCCATCCTCGTCAAGCTGTGTCCGCTCCCAACCCTTCTGAAGTGTGTTGGGCGCATGTCCGAAAAGCTTTGTTACATGCTTGGCGGACTTGGTACGATTCTCTTCCTTCAGAGTGATCTTTTTGGTTTTGTAGATCGTTCCGTGACCGAATCCTCGTTCATGTGCAGATTTGTTCAGAATCATGGCGTCGTCCATGTCGTAACCGGTGTACGAGATGACAGCTACTACAGCATTGGTTCCGTTCGGGAAGTTGTCGAAGCCGTAGGCGTTGTGGAGAGGAGATCTCACAATAGGGGTCTGGCCGGTCTGGAGGCGGTACATCTTGTTGTCTGTTCTGTATCGAAGGGACGTGCCTGGTGTTCCCATGGTTTGCTTACCCATCTGGCACTGGTACATGTTTCTCGGCGACTGGTTGAAGTCGGAAAAGGGCGTCATGTTGGCCAGAATGGATAGAATGTTGGTGGGATCAAACTCGACGTGTGTAGACTCTCCGGAAACGACTTCAGATTCGGTACAGGCAATCGACATGTAAGGTTGTTCGAGCGGGCCGACAAAGTCTTCCTGCTCAAGTGGGAGGTACTTGGTAGGACGGACCATACGAGCTGGCTCAGATGACATGAAGATACCAGGGTAGGTTCCACCATTCGATGCTGGGACAAAACCAACCTCCAAGTGCAACGGCACACCATGGGAACCCTCCACCTTCCAGTGGCGGAAAGTGTCTGCAATTCTCCTCGACTCTGCTGGCTTACACCAGCCGATGATTTTTCCATTCAGCATGACAACAACACTTTCAGAAGTGGCAGCAGAGGAAGTGTCAACGACTCCCAGCTCAGCTGCCAAGGCCGGGATTGCTGACGCATCAACGGAGCTGGTCATGATCTTACACTTGTGGGCAAGATGGTTGAGCAAACCACAGGGAGATCCATCAGGTGTGTGGACAGGACATAGGAATCCCCAGGACTCCGGAAGCAATTTTCGTACCGTGGTTGTCTTCAGCTGAGCGAAGAAGCTACCTCTGTGAACCATGCGGAAGTGGCTGATGAAACGCAAAAAGTTGAGCTTCTCGGCCACAACAGTGAAGCCGGATACTTGTTGCAGATCCAAGCCCGATGGACTGGAAAGGTTTCCGGTAGACAGGAAGTATTCAAGAAGGTTTCCGATGTTCTCGCTCATCTTTGTGAAGATTCGTGCTGGGAAGTCGTTCTGGAATTCTTGTGATGTAAACGTGCGACCGGGAAACCTTCGCCAGTATTCGCGTAGCGACAGACGCAACCCGCCAGAAATGAGCTCATCCAGGCGTTCCTTCAGAATCTGGCCGTAGAGGAAACCTCCCAGGAGAATTTCCTGATTCTGGACCGCATCAGGGTTATCAACGGCACAATCGCCCGCCACCAATGAATAGAGCTTGCGGATCATGAGAAGAATGAGGCGGAACTTGTCAGAGTCCTGTTCCTCGGTAACGTGTACATTTCCAAGATGGACAAGTACGATTTTCCGCAAAAATTCGGTTCCCACTTCATAGTTTGAGAGAGTTTCTGAAACACCCAAGACAGGCCTGAATTTCTCGCCAAGATAGGCCCTTGTCTGAGCTTTGGTGTAGATACCATATGCCTTGTACGTCCGCAGCAGGAGCTCGACTCGATCCGTAAGGAAGGTGTTCTGGATTCCCTTTGAGTCGGGTGAGCCCACGAGACCCTCGAAGATTTCCCGATCATTCGTTTCCACCAGAGCCTTGAGAATCATCATGGCGGGCACGAGGAACTCGGACTTTCTCCATGAAAATCGAAAGGTAATGTTTCCATCGTTCAGGTAGTGCAGAGTATTTGTCTGGGAGGTTTCGTCTGGTCGGACGGATCTCAGAATGATACCCTTGGAGGTGTAGGTCGGTCCTCGGTTCGCGAAACTTGGTCGGTCAATGGCCAGGGGGAAATTCCTTCTGTTCATGAGGAGAAGACGAATGATCTTCTCATTTCCATTCACGATAAAATAACCGCCCAGCTCTTCTGATTCCTCCTTGTTGGCGACCAATTGAGCGGGTGTGTTGTTTCTCAAGTGGCAGAATTTGGACTGTGTGCAGCATGTCAGTTGGGAGCTTTCTTCCCGGGCTATCATGGAATTCTCTCACCTTGACCATGATGGGAAGGTTTCCGATTTCTCGGGTGAACTCCTGCGGGTCGCCACCATTGATTCGGTATTCAAAGGTAGCAGAGAGCTTGCCACGGTACGTAGCATGTCTCTCTCTGCATTCGGCGGGCAGGATCTCTCGCTTTTTTGCAAATTTGTTGCTTGGCGGGACTTGAGATTTGAGGAGCTGTACGCTCTTGTATCTAATGCTCAACCGGTTCCTGCCGGCTGTTGACGTCCTGTCGTCGCCATCGAGGAGGACTCTGGTGCCAATGTCGGCGAGACCCCGTTGTAACAGGCCATCAGGCTCGAAGATAGCATCAAACGATTCGATGTGTGGGTTGACGGCAAGCTGCAAGAGCGGGTAGGCCGAGTGGTCTTTGGGTGGCTCGCGAAACAACTTCTCTCGGCGCAGGGTGTTGTATTCGTGATCCCATGTGGTCTTCGTCGCTGCAGGCGCCATTGTGGGCTGATGCAGCCGCCAAATGCGGCAAGCTGTTACGACAATGGACGGGATATTCTGACGGTGAGAACAATTCAAAGACTGTCAGCTTGGCGCCAGTACGGGGGCTGACAGTTCCCTCCAGCGGCCGAATTGAGTTTGGGGGGAAGAAGGCGAGGCTTAAAATTTGAGGTTATCGCAGCATGTTATCGAGGCTCCGTTGCAACCGACCCGAGAAAAAAAAAAGTTTCCTTATCGCGGCTAGGAAGTAGCTGATAAGCTATCCATTGCACTGCGCTAGTGGTGGGGATACTGGGATTATTCATTGATCATTGCAGCCCCGCCATAAATTGTAACAGCAAATCAATTCACTCAGAGGCCGATGCGAACCAAATCACCTCGTGTCACCGTAGACACCAAAATAGAAGCCTGTATTAGAGTTTCAGGGGATCTATATAATCATGTATGCTAGCAAGGATCGGGATAGGATGTGTATGATATAAATTTCGAGCTCTCGTGATGGTTTGTAGGCACTCTCCCCATGTTTTGCGACTTATAAAGTGGGCAGCCCCGCCGGCTTCTGGTGTGGGATTTACAAGATACAAATACATATTTGTTTTCGAGATTTCCCGGAACATGAAATATGGCCAGATATGCTGGCAGATATGGAGAACTTACTCCAGGCAGTTCAGCGTAGATTGTACAGGAGATGCATAGTGCTAGCGGAAAAGGTCATTGAACAAACTCTCGGATATTGGCACATTATGTATGCATGGCATATAGTTCTCCAGCGTGTCGGTTCCTGCAGGAATCACGAGTCTCCGAAGGCAAAGCAGGAAATGCCGTCCTGGAAAGAAACATACTCTTTTTTACTTTGTGTGTACATGTCAGGTGCTCGCCCTGGCTGTGCCGGGCTATATGCTTGTCATTTTTAGAAGATATTCCACTACACGAAGAGGCACAGAGAAGCGGGCAGAGCTGTAAGTGGCTTAAACGTCCAGGTTACTATTGCCAACAGGTCGAATCAAAATCATGGTACAGTGAGCGGTCTTGTGTTAGTGGCCGCTGCTACTGCAGCTTGGGGGAGATGTAGCGAGCATATCACGTAACGTTTTTTTTTTTTTTCAATCACAGCGTGAGTACCTACATTGAGGTACCTACCTTGAGCAAACGCTGCCGCCATCGCGGCTAGGTTATATACTAGATACCTATCTAGCCTCTTTTTCTTGTATGTTTGCATAGGATGGCCAACTGGTGCCGGCCTACCTAGGACCTCGATAGATTAGATAGGCGCTTCTTGTGGTATAGCTGGTTTATGCCCCTCTTCATCAACGTCCTGTTTTCTGTTGAGGCCGTTAGTCTCCGACCCGTAAGTACGAGGGGGTGGTTGGTTTGGTCCCAGTCGTCGTTCCCGTCGTCGTCGGCGGCGGCCTTGAAGTCAGGCATCATTGCAACACATTTTGAACACTTGAGGAAGCTTCTTGCGGCCCGTACTCCAGCTCAGCCCACCGATCCCAAGCAGCTTTGCCAGCCAGTCATTTTGGGAGGACGCACGCCGTACGACGTGCATCGCCGCGTGCAGGGCACAAGCATCTCGAAGCCCAATCTGCCCGCCGTGCAGGATACATCATCACCTACCTCCCCTTCCCACACTCCAGGATTTCTCATATTGCACGACCATACCTAACCTACCTACATCCATACCACATGCGTACATACATACATTACCTACATTGCATCGCTTCTCAACTACGTACATTGCCTTTGGGGTTAATGTAGGCAAGGTAGTCCAGGCAGGCAGGCTGGCAGGCAGACAGACAATCTTCGGGTCATCGGGTCTCTTGCTTCAGCCCACTTATTAGTATTCCCTACCTTTCTTTGCTTGCCGCATATTACCATTACCCTGCCTCAAAACGTCCGGGGCCCGGGTCTTCTCCAAGGAACATAATCCATCAGTAACCTACCATATTACATACCATCACCTCACCAGCTACAAACCGACTGCTGCTGCTGCTCTACTCGGTTCTGCTCTTTCTTGCGCTGCTCTGCTCACCGGATCACAGCTGCCAACGTCGCCGTTCTCCACCAAGCGGTCGGCCTGTGTTTCCTAGAGACAAGATTCATCGATCGCAAGATTGCACCACCGTGCTTTGAAGTGTTTCAACACTTGCTCTATCTTGTGCTACGTTCTTCTGATTGCTTCCCCCCCCCAGAGCAAGGGTAGTGGAGTCTACAGAGGACGGCGAGAACTCGACCAGGCTAGGACCATTTCTGCTCTCTCCGCCGTGTCCTGGCAAAGAAGAACTTGCTCGAATTATCATTTACTTGCAAAAGCAGAAGCCAATAGCTTCCCACTCTATTGACCAGTCGAGTGCTTTTATATACGGAATCCCGGATCCCAGCGAGAGCGGGAAGCCTCCACGCACACGATCTGCAAAAGACCCCCAAACGAGGGACCGCATCGGCTCTTAGCAACAGCGGCCAAATCTACTGCGCCCGGCTCTTGTAATCTCATCACAATTTGATCTGTGCAACTATTGCTGTATTTGCTATTACTTTGTCTCTTTATTTCCCGTACGAGGAAGACATTGGACCATTTAATATCGTCTAATCGGTGTCAGCGTCAATCAGCACAAGCTGCGCACTCTTCTCTCCGGTGCAGCACCACAGCTGCCTGCCTGTCTATTTTTTACACACCTTCTTCCCACGGTACCTACTTTACGTGGGCACCCAGGGCCGCACTCTACGTCAACCAAGCATCAGCGTCAATCGCAGCTTCAGTCGCTGCTCTACCCCAACTCGAAGGTCTCACGGGTCTCGACCCGCCGCGCGCCCCGTCTGCCGCCGCCGTCCCGCACTGTTCGTCTTGGACAAGGTCTCTCTGCGCTTGCAAGTTGGACCGCTGCTGGGGCCGGTAGAGATCAGGCGAATGAAACCCCGGTCACTCTAGCCGCTGCCTTCGTCCAAAGTGCAAGGTTCAAGCTCAATTCGCTTCCGCTTGATCACCACCCTTCCGAGGCACGGTGCGCTATACAGTTTTGCAAACCTCGTGGTGGGGACTGGACTGCCATTGCGACCCTCTGCGACTTGTGAGCTCCTCGAGGGCGTCACCGTTCATCCCACCTGCACAGCTCCATCATTCTGTACCTACCGGCGTCCCGTAGAGGTACTGTACCTACTTCACCTGACCTGCCTACATACCACATACATACTCGCACACACACGCCTGCTTCCCTTTCCTGGACCACCGGCCAGCCAGCCAGCCAGCCAGCTCGGTCTTGTCGCCAGGCGCAAGAATTGCTCCTGGTCCCAGCCTTGCACCCATTTGACCCGGCAAGCGCTACAAGTCTATCGTCATACGAAGCATTTTATTTCTCATGTCACCAGAGCTTCAGGAACCGAGCGCAACTATTTAACACCTTGTCTGAGAACCCCCCCGTCACATTGGATCTCGAGTTCCCCACTAGTCCTCTGACACCCTAGCCTTGCGCAACTTACAATCACAGACAGCTTGCGCAAAACCAAAAGTTCTTATTCACTTAGGTGCATCTCAAGAGTTTGCCACAACTAGCTACCATACGCTCAAGCATATCAAGCGTATTGCCAAAAATGGCGGGCCTTTTCCGGAAAATGTATGACTGGTTACTGCGAACCTTTTGGTAAGTAGTACGCGACCCGAGCGACAAAGCTGCCCAGCGCGGGGTTATAATTCTCACCGCCGCATTCGCTCCTTGCGTCCGCGTGCAAAAACATACTAGCCAGGGCGCTTTATTGGTGAATCAACGACTGATCTGTCCGTGTAGGGCGACCGAGATGGATGTGACTATGATCGGATTGCAAAATGCTGGCAAAACATCGCTGCTGCGCGTCTTGGCGGTAAGTCGCTTCGGCGGGTTCTGGAGCTACGTGTGAGATGCTGAGTCTTTTCTTGTGTTAGGGCGGAGAGTTCACGATCGAGTAAGCGCAACCACCTCTTTTGCTTCAACGCAGATGAAGGAAAACCCTCCTCTTCATGCTTGTTCTTCTTCATTTTTGGGGGAGCATGACTCGGTGGCCATGAGCTAACATTTCACAGTTCCATACCAACAGTTGGCTTCAACATGAAGAAGGTGACTCGTGGCCATGTGACCCTAAAGTGCTGGGATCTTGGTGGGCAACCTCGTTTTCGACCGATGTGGGAGCGTTACTGTCGCGGAGTAGACGCTATAGTATTCATTGTCGACATTGCAGACATCCAAGTCCTCGGCCAGGCCAAGGACGAGCTTCATGCTTTGATGTCGCATCCAAGCCTCGAAGGCATTCCTCTGCTCGTTCTGGGAAACAAATCTGATCTTCCGGAAAAGCTCAGTGTAGATGAGTTGATCGATGCCCTCTCATTGAAGAGCATAGGGAACCGCGAAGTCTCTTGCTACGGCATCAGCGCCAAGGAAGAGACCAACCTAGATGCCGTAGTCCAATGGCTCGTGAAGTTCTCCCGGTGAAGAGATGCTCTTTGCATTCTGAACCACCCGTACACTCGAGGGTGAAAACATTCAATCTCCAATCGGCAAGGGCGAAACGATCTTGGCCCGCATGCTGATCGATGTACTTTCTGGGGGGGCAAAGAGTTTGGCGACGATTTTACGAATACTGCCGGCACCCGGGATGCGAGGCAAACACGGGCGTGTTCCACGGCTGCTCATGATCGGGTATATATACAAATTCTCTCGCGAGCTGAAAATCCCAACTGAGGTTTTGCTGCAGCGTTAGTTGTAATCGGCGCTTGTGCGCCTTCGGTTCCTACGAATAACGTATTTTCTTTTAGATGGGTTTTCGGATTCGAGTCAGGGCCAGGCTGCATAATGTTGGCGTGGGTTGATACCACTTTTTCGAGTCGCGAGGGTTCTGGGAAGGGTTTGGCGGGCTGCTTAGCACCTATTTTCCCCATTATTTTCTTCTTTGGAGGGCTTCCCTAGAAGCTGGCTTCAGCTTCCGTGGCACTACTCAATGCCGAGCATTGGAAAGCGAGCATCAGTATCTGTAGGCGCAAATCTTGATGAGATAAATGATGACATAATGAGAGCCGGGTGTTAGTCTTCTTGTTCCCTGGGCGCGTCATTCGGGCCCCGGTGATGTTGAGACAGTGCATGACATTACATGCCCTCGCCTGATAGTAGATGAGAGCACGGGCTGGACGTGGAGCGCACACGGTGAAAATGAGCGCAACATGGGGTGGCGCCTCGAGTATAATGGCTGCTTGCTGTACGGCCGACACATTGAATGAAGCACGCTGAGAACCCGCCCCATACCAGGGAGAGCGATTTTGGAAAAGTCGAGGAAACCAAATAAAGAGTTGAGCAAAAGAAAGACCAAAAATGGCCGTCTTTTTTGTTTCTAGGGGGATGGTGACCAGGAAGAGCAGAGAAAAGAAAAGAGGTGGGAGAAAAAGCAGACAGAAGAAAGAAGACCATCTGAGAGCCTCCGGATGGGGGATACTACTACTTGAATGCTACACACAGACCACACTGATGCGGTGATGCGTTGGCAGAAGCGTCGTGATTTGATCCGCGGGCGCGCGGTGCTAGATTTGATGCGTTGTCAAGACATGGAGTGCAAGGCGTTGCAATTGGCTCGACAGGGCACGCAGAGTGGATTCCTCTGGGAGATCCTTCCAATCATCCACGTAAAAGAAGGTATCAGCTTGTACAGACCCGACTGGCCTTTTTTGCTGCCCTTCTCTCAGTCTCCTCCATCTTCTCTTTCCGCAATAATAGGCGCGCTACTTGGGCAATATAGTGGTATATTAAGTATATATGTGTGCGAAATTCAGGAATCCGGATAATTAATGGGAGTTGCATGTTAGTGCTGTGACGAATTGTGCTCTAGCTGCAGGTCTGCTTAGTTGGGTTCAAAAGAAACAAAAAAGGAAAAGAAAAAAGTCGGGATCCATGGGCTGCAATTCGATCTCGCAGGAAGGGCGCGAACTACTGTACAGAGTACACCACCTACTCACCTAGGTCCAGGTTATCTACGGGACTTGCTCGAAACCCCCCCAAAACCCAAATTCGAAGCGCACATTGCACACACTATTACCATGCCCGCAGGTCACACAGCCTATCACAAAGAGCGGAAAGCAGGGGAACACGAGATCGGAGATATTTGACGTGTTCGCGCAAAGCAGCAGTTGCATATGCAATGCGCTTTGTCGAATCATGTTACCAGAACCTGGGAACCCCCTACAGAGAGTACTTACCTGCCACTCTTCAACAAGTTCTCTTACACCACCTCAAGTAATTCTGCATGGCTCACGGCACATGGATTGCACGGCAAGTCTTTCTTAGCATCAGCAGCAGGCATTAGTATGTAGGAGGAGGAGCAGGAGGAGCAGCTACATCGTCATCATCATCATCATCATCACCATTGCCACGCGTGATGTTGTAGCAGTGTATACACATGAGGCACGGTAATGATTCACTAACTTTACATATCCTGAACTTGTCTTTCGCTACGTTTCCGCGGGTCTGCTGTTTCTTCTGGAGCCAGTGCAACAAGTCGACTGCCATACGAGACCGGCACTCGCCCCCAGTCTCTCCCAAATCACCGACCTAGGTGTTTACTGAACGCCCAAATAGTACAGATTACTGGCCAAGAGGTATGTCCGTCATATGGCGCTGTGTTGAGAAATGCTGGACTAGGGTCGAGGCACACTTTCCAGAACCATGCCATGAGTGAGTGGCTCGGATATCCACATGATACGCTATTCTCAGTTCCTGGTTACTGTGTAGAGGTGGGAGTTCTCCATGTTATTGTAATCCAATGTACGATATACATTGGCTACCAGGGCCATGGTAAAGGATCGTAATGATTTCCTTTTCCCTCCTTGTCTTCTTCCATCGCTTTCGCATTCATCGCGCACTATCTCATGATGAGTAGGTAGATATTTAATGATGTTGGTGCCAAAAAATCACTGCTCATACCTAAGATGATGAACGAGGTAGCATGGGGAACAACGTATACGCCATTTGGACTTTTACACAAATACTAGTATGTACATGTAATCAGCAGCTCCTACAGTTAGCCAATAGTGCCCCGGGCGGGGGCGTGGAACAAGGCGCACGTCAGAATGATCACCCACTTATTCAGGGCTTGATGGATCAATTGATCGTTGCAAAGCCTGGGCCATCAGTGACCTACCCAGTACGTTTGCTAGTTATGGTATTACCGCTTTGGGGCATGCAAGTCCGAAGGAGCCTAATGGATGTTCACGATACAAATCATACGACTGTTCGGTAGATGCAAAAATGTACGCAAATGGCTGAGTCATACCATAAGCTGAGCTATGCTGGACTCTGACCACGTCGAAAGATTACACTATCAAGGCCGCACAAGGCCAAAACAGCCCACCGAGGAACAGCAAAACCCGGTTATCCGAGGGAGTGTCTAGTGTTGCGTGTCGGGCTCAATCGTATCCGACGTTTCCAAACGACGAGGCAACACTAATGTATGGTAGATCAGGCATTAGTCAATCGGACGAAAGCTGGGTAAGTAACTAAGGCTGCAGCTATAGCTCATAAACTGGGGATTGATTGATATAGAGCTACAAATGGGTATCATCATGCAATAGCTATGTCTGTCTGCGTATTGAGCAGCAACAGGTGATAGGTTGGCTGAATAGCTGTCAAACCAGATAGCGAAAGGCTATTACAAGAATTTGGAATGCGATCGTTGTGTTAGCAGCAAAAGTTTGACCACACAGCGAGTGTATTGTGTCGCCCTATCGTCGTCAGCATGCTCAGCCACTCCATCCACGCGACCTCCTCAGCACTTGGGCACAAAACCCAAGCAGCAGCCAGCTAGAAGGTGCTAGCAAATACGTCAATCGAATACGCTCTTCCATTCTTACTGATCATGGACAAAGGAAAATCAATGGCACGAGGTAATGACCCCTCTCTTGCCTCTAGCCAAGGAATGCTAAGACGATTCTGCACAAAAGGCCAAGCTTCCAGTCTGCACTGCACAGCCACCTGGAATTTGAAATGTTTGGATTGGTTTTAGGCGTGGAAAAGACGGGGGAATCTTGGAATCGCCACGCCACTGCCCCATGAGCGCCCCGGCAATACGGCAGCGGATCCCAGTGTAGAAGACTCACCTATCAGTCTGCTAGGCATTTCACCAAGAAAAGACGTAAAAAGAGACCATCATTCCGGTTCTTGTGCCAGCTTCTGGCTATTTTAGCTCGTCCTCTCATGCTGTTGTAACCTCTTTACACCGTGATACTGTAACTCCCTACAAAATCGCCCGGTGCAACCATAATAACCTGTAGCGTCGCATTCACAGACTCTACGTCAGTCATTCATACTGCTTAGGTGTAATCGACGTCACCAAAAGCATCGACCTCGTAAGGTTCCGATCCTCTTTAAGCTTCATAGCTGCCTACCTACTGCCCACCGGCTGCCTCCGAAATTATTGTCTGCTTGTCGTCCGTGCCGCAAAACACCAAGCCAAAACTTTTCCGCATCCTCCCAATCTGAAAAGGGAGTCATCGGTTTTGTTTCTTTACAACCAAATAGTGTCAAGCCATTTGACAATTCTTCTTCTCCCAATCACACGCGCCTGCCGCCTGTAACACCGACATGGCGCCAACAGACTCAACGTCGCTCTTGAGCGCGCGCCTCTACTACAATGATGGATACTACCATCACTCGAACTGGTATTACTACGGTCGCTGGATCTTTGCCGCCGTTGTCATTGTCGCAGTGGTATTCCTCTTCTTCATATGGGCGTAAGTGACCCTCCATTCCCCCCCCCCTTCTTCAACCCGCGCGCTTAAGGGCGTTCCGCTGGGGGGCGCTTTTCGTCGCAACACGCGAGTATAGATTCATATATGCTGACATGTACCCCTGCAGTTGCATCAACTCGCGCCGCCGCCGTAGACGCGGTCTCAAGCCCATGTACGGAACCGGCTGGATGGCCAACGGCCAGCAGAACTACCAGAACAATCCCAACGGCTACTACCAGAACGCCCCGCCCGCTTATGGTGCACCTCAGGGCCAGTCGTATCCGATGCAGAACCAGTACACGGGCAACACCTTCAACCCCAACGACGGCTATTACGGCCAGCACGAGGGTGTCCAGCAGCCCAAGGACGCGCACGCTCCTGTCCACAATAACAACACTGCTGCGACTGGCGACTACGCTCCTCCTCCAGGCCCGCCGCCCCCGGGCAACAAGCCTACCTACTAAATACGAAAGTGGTAGGAGTCGGCGTCGGTCTTGTATGATTGGAACGGAGAAAGTGTTTGATATTGGCCGATAGTTGCCATGAATGAGAAACCGAATTGACGGAGAGTTTGGATGGAGACATGGATGATATACCCCCAACAACGAGGCATCACAAAAACTTGACAATCATTATGGCGTTTGAAGCTTTTACTTGGATTTTTCTACTTTCAAAGGGATCAGAGAGCATGCGTTTGCCTACCGTCCTTTCAGAGAGCCTATACATAATGATATTATTACTCTTCATCACCTAAGTACCTACTCGCTTATGCATGGCAATGTGACAAAATGTTGGCAAATCTAATACATTGACAACTTGGCGCGTCGAGCTTAAAATCCCTTGTGACTTACGTTTGACAGCCAAACCATTCAATGCTCAAACTCAACATGAACAAAAAGAAAAGACAAGAGGTCAAAAAAATTGTTTTGCTCTGAGAGCCAGTTGGTTTCCAAAGATTATTATTATATTTTGCAATCCGTGAACAGATTTGCAAATCATATAGCATTGTTGAAATGCCATGTAACAGAAGCAGGACACTAAAGGGTCCAGGCAGACTGCAGAGGGGCCAAGTAGACGTCAAGTCAAGTTGAGTAGCAGGCTGAGCCGTGCATGTATGTAAAGTGTCAAGAAGAGTCTGTTGTCAAGAAGTGTCTGTCAATGACACAAGAATGAGTCTCAAGCCGTAGTCTGACGAGCTAGACCACTCTGCCATGTTGGTTCAAGAGTGGATTACCTTCGGGGTAGCTGTCTGTGCTGTTTCCCCGAAGGCGAAAGCAAGACGGATTATTTTCATTTATTAGGTCTTCTTTCTGATCAAGGGAGACAAGAAAGCAAATCATGGCTTGGAGGGCTTGAATGTCTTGAGTGGGCTGGCAGAGATAGCCAAGAATTAGACGACATGGAAGCTAGAATCACTTTGGGAAATGTGTCTCGGGACGGGACAATGCATATTATGACCAGTCGAATCACCGCCCAGGTAAGGGGTCCTTTGACTGACCGAGTATTCTCTTGAATATCTTCTTGTATAGTATTTTGTCATCATTGCCATGCTTTGAACTGCTACAACTGAGTTCATAAATCCCAACACCGATGTTAATAGGATAACTCAGCACATATGATCTTTTGCCATGAGACTAGATCATATATGACTTGTCACATCATGAGTATTTAATATTACTAGAGCTATATTGGCCATCGCCAAGTAACCCAAGAATCTCAAATATTCTCTGACGACCATAGAGAAGCTAATATTATCTTCTTCAAGCATCAGCAAGTCGACTGTAACAGTTCCTGGCAGCCATTCTTGAGTTGGAGGTTACATCTTCCACATATATAATGTTACTCATAAGCGAGTGTGTAATTCTGCTTACTCGTTGACTTTGCTTGGAAATCTTGATCAACAGCCAAGAAGATGGACTCCAAGGCTCATGCCTATTGATATTGCTTTGTAACTCTGGTATTTGAGAATATGATAGCTAAACCGACTATATGCCTGGGTTAAACCCCATTCGCATGATTTGACACTCTCATGATTCCGGTTCGGCTCCATCTTTTACTTTAGGGAATGTCCTTGATTATAATACTAATTCTTTATTACCGGTTATAATCATGTTGTCCACACCCTATTCTTTGTACTGGCAATTACCTGGCCGTCTACAGTCTCATTCTTATTATCGGCAATTGCCTCATCGTCCATACCTTCATTATCAGTATGGGCAACTACCTCGTCGCCTAGCTTCTCATTATCAGTATTGGCAATACCTTGTCGTCCACAGATTCAGTTTCTATAAAAGGTAATTGCCGCATCGTCTACGTTCTTATTATCACAGTAGGCAATTGCCTCGTCGTCCACATTCTCATTGTCATTATGGGCAATTACCTCGTCGCCCATAGGTTCATTTTCATAGCAGGCAACTGCCTCGTCGTCCACATCTTCCATGCGAGCCAGAACCTCATCGTCGATCACGTCCTCATCGTTGGCCAGAAGTTCACGACAGCCGTCAGCTGCCCAGCCTACCTGTCGCTCTCTAGGGGCTGCCACGACTACAAAGAACTTCACAGACCCCCGTCAGCTGGCCAGCCTACCTGTCGTCCTCTAGGTGCTGTGGAAACCAGAAATGCGGATCCTTTTGGCTTGCAAACAGCCAACTGGCACAATCAGCCCGCAAATTTTTCTTTATTTATTGAGGCCATCGTGGGACCCGGTCCTTGTTTGTGATTATTCCAACCCCATCGCACCCCAAGGTCTTCACACTTCTGGACTTGTCCACACAACTGAAGCCACAAATCAAAAATCACCACTTCCACTCCCACTTCTATCACTCTTCCACAAAAGTCCATGACTTTTCCACACAAGTCAACCACTCTTCTACAGATCCATCACTCCTTTGCAAGAAACGCACTTCCCAAGTTCAAGGTCCCAGTCCCAAGAGCTACAAGTCTTCAAGCTCCGACTCAACTCCACTCCGTTTCCCCTGTCACTCAACAGCCTTTTGGCAAGATTCTTCAGAAACACACATTAGCAGCAAATCACCCCATTCACGCTGACAGCTGCTCAAGAAGCAGTCACTGAGCGACCCATTGGATCAGAAGGTCATCATCAATTCCCATTGCCCAGATGCATCGTCTTCTCCTCACCTTCAAGGCACCCCCCTCCCAGAACAGCAATGGACTGCAAGCAACCTGCCCGACCGCGAGAGCCCCAGTAAGTGATTTTGCGCAGTATTTTCTTCATTTTGCAGTTCTTCCACCTCTCAACTTGCCCGTTTGACCATTGTGGGGTCTCCTGGCGTCTGGAACTTTTCCGTCTGATCAAACTTGATCCGTCCCATCACACTTCTCGTCCGATTATTCCTCCACCCAACTCCTTTTCCCACGTCCAGCAATCCTCTCGCCTTTCCGACTTGTCTTCTTTACTTAAGTCCCTCCTCCATTCTACATTTGTCATTACCCCGCTGCTCCATCTCTTCAATCCATCACACACCTTCTTCCACCAACATCTCCTCCAACAAACACCTCACCCAGCCAGCAACTCTTCCAATCAGTATCACTTCACTTCTATCCAGCATCTCGTCCATCCCGTTCTTGTTCTTTCCATGGAGCTGTTCCATCAGTACCATCCTCGAATCAATAAGCGTGACTTCTACCAGCAATACTGGTTGCGCGGGTAGAAATCTGCTTGCTTGAGCCATGACCCATCTCACCCATCACATCCAACCACTCCATCCTTCCATCATCTACTTGACATCCAACAACACCATATCATCAAGTCAGACTCGTCCCATGGCAAGAATTCGTCCATCCTCCAACGCCCGCCCCATCTCACGATTCCGTCCCAATTTACTTGATGACTCTCGTGAGGAGACCACCGTGGAATCCATCGTGGGTGATACTGACCACGCGAGTGATCAACAGTGAGGAAGAGTTGCAATCACCGCCGAAGCTTTCCTCGCTTCACGAGCTGCTTGGAAGATCCGAAAAGTCTGTTCCCAGACAGAAAGTCATCTACCCCGCTACTTCCATTACAAGTAAGTAATTCTCCATTTTCCCTTTCCAAGTTGGTATGCCATCAAGAATCGTGTATCAACACAGGTTTGTCGGCTTCACAGTTTGAGCACCTTGGAGTTGTCTCTTGCAAAACCAGAGCTTTACTAACACCGGTTTCCATGAGCAGCGACCACATCTTCGTTTACGGAATGCCTTCATCAATGGCAAAGATCACGTCGATCGCTCTACCTATGCTGAGCTGTTCCAACTAGAGTTGTGTGATTTGTGAGACCAGGGAACTTTTCCAACGGTCACATTAAATCATCTGCTACAGCTTTCGCAAGCTCTACTAGCACTTAAGGTCTCTACACTAGCATGCCAGACACAATCATAACGCTTGCGACATCTCAGCATGCAGCTGCCCTCATTAGTAAGTACGGTGAACTTCGTTTTTTCATCATCGTGGATCCATTCCCCCCCTCCCCCCCCTTTTTTTTTTTTCCCTCTCTCGCCAGAGCGTTCTTCCAGGTTCTTTGGAGAGAAATTTTAACCAGATATTCATCTGATATACACCATATTTATCAAAGAAACTCGCTGACGTTGTGTGTCTTTAGTGTCCAATCCTTCGAGAGCTACAAAACGGCAGACATGAGATTGAGATGTTTGCCCCCGACCCGCACTACCCATCCTGAGATGTCAAGTTGCTGAGATCGTTCAGTCATGGCTGATGGCATCTCATGATTCAATGAGTCAACCATTGCTCTCTTAGTCAGTCACCCCTCTCTTGCGACATCATGTTCATCTATAAGCCACAATTTCAATTGGCGAATCGGACAATGTTGATGTTCGCTCGGCTTGTTCACTTGAAACCAGCTCTATTATCACTTAGAGTCTATCGGACAGCAGGCAATCGACCACTACAACACCTCCCGGTCTCCACAACATTGACAATACCGGCTGTTTGAGCAGTCTATTGGAATACCCCTTCTCTGTCACCACTATGTGTGTCATGGTGGTACACTATCATGATCAGAGTGTCCACTTCTGTGCTGCCTGCCAAGAGCGCAGCCAGGCCTGCTGTACCCCCCTTCCCTAAAAAAAAAAAAAAAAACAGATGACACAGCCGTCTGCCCAGGCACGTTGATCTCGCGTGCGCTGAGTTGTCTTCAAATTCATGAGTGACAAAATGGCATGTCTTATGGATTCAACATGGCATCTTGGGCGCTCATTGAGCCTCCCCTGCAACGACACTTGCAAATACTTGAGGATGGGACGAAGGCGCTCCTCCGGGAGGCCCTCTCAGTTGGTGTGGTTAAGAGTTCGTCACAGACGTCTCCCCTCCGCCTCCTCAAGCGACACAGTACGCTGTGCCTTTCAGGTACGTCTTGTCTCATCGGCTTCCAACTATTCGTCATTTCATCCATCTCAAAATGTCATACCTTTTGCAAGAGTTCATTCACTGACCCATTTTCAGGTAGCATCACTACCAGCCGCACCAGCAGCCACACCACTGCTGAGCCTACTGCTTTGGCAGTGGCTGCTGCTTGGGAGGGCGCCTTCGATGACGCCATGGACGAGTGGATGCAGGAGCAGGTCTACATCGAGGCCGATGAAGCTTCACCGCCGCCGAGGCGCAGGTGGCTGAGGCCAAGGATGCTGCTCCTGTCCTTCCCAGCCCGTCTGACCTGGCTAAAACCGCTCAGCTGCTCGTTTCTGCCGTCGAGAATGACGATTCGTTTGAGTTTCGAAACTCTATTCGCCGCCTGCTTGGGCGCTTTCAGGAGCTCCCCCTCCCTCCCATATCCTCTCTCCAATTCTTGCTTTTCCTCTGTGGGTCATAAAGCAATGGAAGAGTGGCAGAATTCTTGATGAGATCATCTGGTCTCCCCCGGCTGGTGTCCGCGCCGCCCCCCCTAATGGGACCGGACGAGCCCTTCGGTCTCGAGGCTCGTCCGCTGGATCGTCGCATCCAACCGGTCGTCGATCGTTCAGGTCGACAACGTGGCCATAGTGGGCGACGATAAGGAAGACGCAGCTTCCCTAGCTCGTCCTAGTGAGCGAATTTCCGGTGTCGACGGGATGATCCAGTTCCGTTTTGCACAAGGATCGCCTGAGAAGGAGGTAAGCTTCGACAAGGAGTTGAAGACGGTTATAAAACCGCCCAAGACAATTCTTGGCTGGCACGGCAGCAGCCTCGTGAACTGGCATAGTATTATCCGCAACGGCTTGGATTTCAAAGTTATTGCGAACGGGCGAGCATTGCTCCCCCTCCAGGAAGGTGTCTCGTGCACCGCCCCCAGGAGTCCGGCGTCTCATGGGATGAGCACTGCTCCCCCTGGTGGCTTTATGCTGACCAAAATGAGAGCGCTCGGAACTACCAATATCTGAAGGCGACCATGCCAGACCAGAATGCGTCTCATGAGAGCCCAGGACGAATCGTCGTTGTGATTGCTGGTAGGTGGCCACTGTCTTTTACAGAAATCACATGCTTGAAGATGCTAACGCAATGCAGGAAAAAACAACGAGCATGCCAATATCTCTCAAGAATACTGTGTCTTGGGAGAGTATCAGGTGACGGATCTGTGGCTGGAGAATTTTCCCGACTCTGGCTCGGTACAAGCTTCTAAAGCTGTGGCCTCTTGGATGGTGAGGCTGGAAGCCGAGTTCAACAAGTCATCATGGGCTGAGCATTGCTCCCCCCCTCCTAAATGGTGAGGCTTGAAAAAGTCGAATTCAATGAACCATCATGGGATGAGCATTGCTCCCTCCCCCGGTCATGAAGTTCGCAATCTCATTCGCAAGGGTTTGTGAGTATATCCCTGCTATTACCTATTGGCTGTCTCAATTAGATCTTCTGCTAATATTCCTGTATGTGGTGAAGCCAACATCAACGATCGGCCCGTTCACATCGTCCACGACTACGTGCCCGACGCACGTAATGCCATCCTCCAGGCATTTCACGAATATCAGTGATCTGAAACGTGAAAAAAAAAAAGAAAAGAAAAGAGAAAAAAAACGGGGTAGCCTTTCGCGGTCATCAGTTATAACGAATTCGTGCCCTTCGAGCTCGTCTACTCACCGTTCTACACTGGCCCTGGTAGACAGCCGGGAAGATCAAGATTTTCGTTCGGGGATATGGATGGTAAGCAAAGATTTGATCGAAACCAGTGATGTCTTTGGCTGACTGATGTCAATTTTCAGATGGCTACAATCCATTGACAGAGAGACGAGCTCCGATTATGCGTACGTCGTGCCGAGTCCCCAAGGAGCTTCCAAACACGGGTTGAGCATTGCTACCCCTTTGCTGGAATTTTCCAGTAGCCAATCAGCCCTCGCTGAGGCCCGTATGAACTCGGCTTTTACACAGCCGACGGGCAACTTCGTCAGCGAGATGAGAGTGAAGAGGTCGACTCCTTCAGGGGGTACGTCGCCTCCCCAGCTAAAAATTCTCTAGCTGACAAGCGCAAGATTCTTCCCGGCTCAGTCCGATCATCAATGTACTAAGATGAACAAATAGAGACCACTAGGATAGATCCCGGGTCCGATGACCCCAAGGAGACCTGTCCGCCTTTGAGCGGCCTCAAACAGCACCAGACCTTGAGGGCATTTATGCTGGCCACTGGCCGCACCCCACGACTGTAATGGCAAGCCCCATTTGCCACTTGGAGGCAATGATGGTTGTATCTGCCCACGGCATCATCCGCGAGCTGCCCATGGGCGGCTCCTGTGCCACCAAGGTCCGTCAGAGACGCCTCGGGTCGACTCCTTGAGTCCCCATGCTCTGATAAGAGGAGAAACTCATGTCAGAAGGGGGCTTCGACAGCGACCATGATTGCTCTGCGCAATATGATTGCCTTCTTGGCCACCGCTGTCCATTGTGTCGGCGTCGGCATCTTCGCCCATCCTGGCGAGGACATTGAGCTTGTGAACCACAAGGCTGCCGTTCACAAGGCCACCTTGATGGTTGCTCACGCTGCCATCTCTCGCTGCGACGACGCCCCCGCTGCTCTGCTACTCAAGCAGAATGCCATTTTTCGCCGCTATGGATTGACTGATGCTCTCCAGTACGAGAACTCGCTAGGACGTTTCAGCAGGAAGCAAAGCTTGGTAGAAACCAATGATGTCTTTGGTTGTAGTACTGCTACACCCGCTCTGGTCGATCCATGTGGATGGTGACAGAATATTGTGTCGGTCGTAGCTCTGCTACACCCTCTTTGGTCATCCCATGTGGATGGTGACAGAATATTGCGCCGGTCGTAGCACTGCTACACCCCAACGCATGGGATGAGCATTGCTCCCCCTCATGGTAACTCGATGGATGAAGGGTACCCGGCCTCTGGGCGTTGCGTCTGTTCACCCCACTACAACCACGATGACTACCACAACGGTCAGAACAACCAGGGCAATCACATTGATCATTTACAACGACTACAACGATCATAACGGCTTCGATGACCACTGCAACCACGATGACGACAACAGCCACCAATACCACGGTGACCATCACTACCACGGTAACTACCACAACCACGGTGACTACCACAACGGTCAGAACAACCAGGACAGTCACATTGACTAGAACAACCACAGCGGCCTCAGCGGCCAGGACAACCACGACAACCACGATAATGACCACAAGGATCTTAATAATCACGACAATTACTACAATTATAACGATCAGCAGACTGGCTGCGTCTGTGCTTGGGGCATGGGCTGAGCACTGCTCCCCCCTCCAAGGAATCCCTAGACACAAAGAAGATCAGGCTGCATAACCGAAAAAAAAAATTTCATGGTTGCTTTTGAGAACGACTTTGATCAATCGTGGCGTTCGCTTGGCTGTATCTTGTAGAGACTTGAAGACGGCAACGAGGCTTGGGCTGAGCATTGCTCCCCTCCCCCAATATGCGAACGAACTGTCCTAGGAGTCTTCGGTGCCAGATGGGAGGATGTTGTGGCCGGAATGCAGGGCTCTAGGCATCAAAACTGGTTGATGCTGCTGGTCGAGTGATTGGAAACGATGATGGACTCTTACAAGAGGACGGAGGAAATGTTAGGGGAAGAACGAGCAACAAGTGCGCAGACAGCAGGAACGAAATGGACTATTCAAGCAATTTTCGAGTGAAATTCAATATGGGAAGGTTGAAAGACAGCAACTCTTGCACGGACGATGTTATTGTGATGTGATTACTACGGTACCCTATAAATAATTCGACCAAACAGTCAATTCTGTGCGTTCCTTCCTAACTTATCTGCACGTCAAACCCCCCCATTTTTTGAGGGTTTGCCATTTCTCAACCCGACGATCACTTATATCCCATTCCTAACTTCTTTAGATCGCGCTCAATACGCTTGTAATTACGCGGGCGCCAGTCGTCAGTCTCGGGATTCGACGTGAATGCCCTAGCAGCCTTGGAGCCCTTGGAATCGCTGTTGGAACTGTTCATTTTGCTTTTTATGCTAGCCATGAGGCTCTCCAAGCTCTGACCAGAGCTGGATCCAGAAGTGTTGCTACTGCTGCCTTGGGCGTTGCCGCTTGAGCCTCCCGATGAGCTGGACCCTCCACCGCTTCCCAACGATGAGCCTGATCCTCCGCTTGCGGCGTTGTTGGAGCTGCTGCCACCTTGACTGTTAGGTTCGCTGGCAAAGTTGATACCGGGACGTGAACGTCCTTCGGTGTACTTGGTGATCGCCATTTGCGTGGTCTGATTTATTTCTTGTTGGCGATTTCTCAGTAGATCGCGGTTGAGTCGTAATATTTGCTGGTTGCTCTGGTGTTGGGGGAGAGGTAGAATCAGCAAGAAGTCTGTGGCTTACGTTGAGTAATATAGACATTGAGTGTCAATGATTCATTCACGGCCAAATCAAAGCTGAATAGATAATTATGTAGAGTCTATGATAGGCATGATTAGATGACTATTGCAGTCTTCACCATCGTTGGGATTCTGAGATTACGCGGTCAATTCACTTGCGCCTCGAGGAAAGGTATAGATCACGAATTCCGACCCAACGCAGGATTGCGGACGTCTGGCATTGTTGTACAATGTTCAGGGAACCTTGCCAACATCCTTTCATGTGCTTCACTTAAGGTCAAATGCTATGGTTAGCTTGAGTACAAATTATTTCGGTTACTTTGTAGCTGTATGCTGTGGCAGCTGAGCTGCGAAGCCTGGTCAACTGTAATATGCCTCAACTACTGGCGGTGCTGATTCATTCGGGAGGGGGGAAGAAAAACAGCACACGAACAAAGCACCATGAGATTGACTTGGACACGCTGGACATCTTCTTTGACTAATTCGGCTTGTTGCCAACATGCGATGATTTAGCTTGAAAAATGTTTGTCAGTGAAGCGAGGAAAGGTTAAAGTCTGTCGTGACACAATGAGGAGACAATTCGCATGCAGCTTGGCTGGAACTTCTACTCGAAGCATTTATGAATGGCCGTCCAATACTCGTGTCCAAGTGTATCATTCACAGGTTGCAGTTAGTAAACGCCGGGCTATTCCCGAGAGCCTTTGAAGACAAAAATAATCACAATAAGCGTGGTTGTTACCTGATACAGACCCTTCGGCCTATCAAGTGCACCAAGATGGAACATTGTGAAGATCCCCCTGGGGTTATAAACTTGTACATGCTGTAGGTAGGTAGTATTGACCCAAACATTTGAACATCATAATGCTTCGCCAAGTGTCAAGTCTTTCCGGCCAAGTGTTCAAAGACCATGGGTGAGTGAGGAATAGGAAATGGATCATTGGCACAGACTCTTTGTCAAACCGGCGGCCCCTGCGCGCGCATACGTCGGATGGGGGGCCTCGGGGGGCTTGTCTGGGTATGACGAAGACGGTAATATGGTTCGGCCCTCCTCCAATCCCAAGACTCATCTCCCGTCCTTGCCGATATGTATCGTAGTAAGAGCACTAGTATATTGAAAGGGAGCGCCACGTTGCAAACACAGACCTTGGGGGAAACATGCGAAATAGGCGCCCATGAGAAAGCATCCAGATGCCTAATCTACCATGTATGATTGACTTCGGTGTTTTGTGATTTGAAAACGTCGACTAGCCTCGCTACAAAGTACATATATGTATGTCTCACAACCGACCACTAGTTGTGAGTTGCATCCTGTACTCCTCTTTTGCTGATCATCTGCGGCCTCAGTGGTCACGGATCCCGTGCACCTTTTTTGTGCTGGTGCGGTGCTCCGCTGGTAGGCCCAGTCGTCCCATGTTTGCGCAGCTCTGTCGGTGACAAGAAACGTTATTTGCCGCGGTACACTCGCGGTGAAGTGTTGAATTTCTAGTGTAGTCGTCATTTGTCGTGAGGCGCAGTATGCAATTCCAAACTCTCAAAGCGGTGCAAATGCCAAAATATGGACCCTTACGATATACTACGGCAACGTTAGAGCCTTTCGAGACGGTCTCCCACCCCGTAAAGATTCCGAGATCTGGGCCACTTCTGCGATGACACTAAGCCGAAACAATATGGCAATTCCCATTTTGGCCCATAGCAGTAGGCCCATTTGAGACCTCGTCTCCGTTTACACGTACGTACGTACCGACCGTGTACGACTTGCCAAAAAAATTCAAACCTCTTCATGGAGGGCATTTGACTTGTTTGGGTTGCGCACAATTGCGAATGCCGTAATTGACATCTGTCGCGGGGAATTGCCAAGCCTCGCTCTAGTGCCCTGACGGGACCATGCTGGTTGGTTCAAGTGCTTGCTTGGCCTTTTGCATTCGTTGGCTTATATTTCCTTCCATTCGGACAGGCGCTTGCACAGCCTCTTCTTATGGGTTTCACACAATGCTAGGCGGAGGTGATTTCTGGGTAACGGAACTTGAGACTGGCACAAGACTGGGGCCTCGCATGTCTGTCAACATTTTCCAGAATTTAGTTTATTTTTTTTTCTGCTCGGCGCGAGACTGAGAGACATGAGGAAAAACTCCGCCGATCAGATATGAATGCAGGGCCCGGACGGAACCCCGGCGCTGAAAAGCGTGAGAGAAAGAAAGAAAGCATGGGCACAATCCACCAGCCCACTTCCATCAGCATGCCCACCAGGACGGTCCTCCGCTTTCAACGGCGCAGGACTTGAAAGCATCAGCTGCGGCCAATATACTGCAATAGAGGCCCCCAAGTTGAGCACGAGGTCCCTGGTACTGCTGTAGTCTGCAGGAATTCGGCCCCCGACGCACGCTACCTAGGCGCAGCGGAGCACCTTGTCAGGGGTCTGGCATTGTGCAACTTTTGACCATGGGAGGGTCGTTGTCGTCGTCGTCGTCCAATGGCGAAATCGCAAGCGACGAGACCCGCGACCCTGCAATTGCTTCTGGGCATTTACTTGGCTGGGTTCAAGGCCTTGTCCAACCTTTAATGGGCCCTGATCGGTACGTACTGTTAGCTCCAGGTGCCACTGTACCAGGCACAGGAACACTCCCACGATGAGCCCCCGGTCAGTCATCCAAACGCTTGCCAACATGGGCGACTTTCGATGATCCCAAACGCATTGAGTTAATTGCGACTTGCCCATCTTGCAGCGGCGTTCCTCATTTCTCTGCTCCATCTTTCCATACTCGAATCCACAGGGACGTTCCCTTCTTACCTTGCGTTTTTTTTCCCACTTCCTTTCGTTCTGTGTAGGTAATAGGTGCTATTCTACCTGGCTGTTAGTGTAGTAGTGTACCCGAACCGAATACGCACAGGAACAAGAAAAGATCGCTACTACTAGTAGTACCTTGCCTACCATCGGCCCTCCTGGCTTTTTCCCCCGACAATTTCGTTTCGCATCCTTTCCTCAACGCAACCTCGAACACCGAGGACGAAGGAACAAAGCCTCCTCCTGTTCCTGTCACACTCTCTTTTTTCTTGTCTTCAACAACGGTAGCGCAACCGTCTCGAGTCATTCCTTACCTAAACGTCCACACCACTTCGTTGTATTACGACCCAACTATATTCTATCTCTTTACCTCTTCTTCTTTTTCCCGACCTTGCGCGGGAGCCGGCTACTGCAGCAGAGCCACACATCGGCCGCGACGAAAGTATCCAGCCATCTGCGCCAACTTTGCAACTATTTGGGTAAAGGCGGGATCGGCGGACGATTGAGTTTCGGGTTGTCTCTGTGCCTTTTCTTATACCGACCATCTTTACGATTACCGGGTTTCTGCGTGCTATATTTGCGAACATCTTATTCACTACCTCCCGACCTGCCACCCTTTTACCTCTTCTGGAGAATGGATTCGTAGTGGTCGCTTCTGTTTCGAAACTTTTTTTTTTTTTGGACAAACGAATCAACGCAACCGTACACGGCGATCGAATTACGCGACACACGGTTTTATACAATTTCGTTGGTGATATCGTCACCACACACCGCCAACATGCCGCACGTCGGAGTAGCCATGCAGCGGAGTCTGGCGGAGCCGCGCGACTTCGCGGACGCTCTGAGGAATCTTCTTGCTAGGAGCATTGTAGCAGGAACAAGCAAAAGGGATATCACATCATCTATTGCCGACGCAAAGACGGCGTTCTCGAGTTGGGATAATTGTATGCAGGCCAGCTACTGCAAGTATGTGCCCGTACATCTTCCAGAGGGGAACTCTATTGCTGTGTTGCGAGAACAAACTGACAGAATGTTTCCCTTAGGTGGCCAGTGATCGCCGTGATAATCATCGGCGGTCTCATCGTTTTCTCCATTGTTTGGTGTATTGTCCGTTGCGCTTGCTGTGGTCTCTCCTGCTGCTGCGAATGCTGCTACTGCCTCAAGTGCTGCGGTTCCTGCTGTGGCATGTGTGACTCGCCCAAGAAGAAGAAATATCTCGACGACCCATACATTCCACCACACCATGACCAAGGCTACCGCACGGAACCAACGATGACCGCTGCTCGTGCTGTGCCGGCTTCCACCTTTGACCACAGTTACGACAAACCCATCGCTAAGCCTGAGCCACCCATGTATGCCGAATTCGAGACGGGTAAGAAGGGCGGAGGTGACGAATTGCCTGCCATGCCCAGCTGGGAAGGATCTAGCTCCAAGAAAGTCGCACTTGAGGATGCAGTAGAATTGGAGCAGCTCAAGAAGCCGGAAATTGCACAGAACGCACCGCTAATGGCACCGGGAGCTATGTCTAACCCCGCAAGTCCCAACCCAGCGTCGCCGATGCACGGAAACAGCCCATACGGTGCTCCTGCTATGAATGGTTCTGGATATATGACGCCCGCTCGTAGCGCAACCTACCCCTATGGGGCGGACCCCAACTCTCAACAACAAGGCTACAACCAAGGCAACTTTAGCAATGGTGGCTATGGCCAAATGAATGGCAGCAACGCGGCTCAGGGATACGACCTAGGCTATGGGAATACAGACTATGGAAATCAAGGCTATGGCAACCAGGCATACAACAACAACAACCCGAGTTATGGAAATCAAGGCTATGACAACCAAGAATACGGCACTCAGGCCCACGATAACCCAGGATACGGAGCACAAGGCGCCTATGATACTCAAGGATATGGTGCACAGGGCTATGGAGCCGGAGCCGGAGCCGGAACCGCTGCCGCTGCCGCGACGGCTGCTGCCGGCCCCATGGCTCAAGGTCGACGAACGCCACACCAGGATTATGGAAACTACAGACGTGGCACGGCAGACCAGGTCTACCCGCAATCTCGAACACCGAGAGCATATGAAGACTATGGGCGCAGCGTGACTCCACGTATTGGTACACCACGCAGCAATACACCTGGAAACGGATATAGACAACCGCCGCGCCATCAATCACCAGCACCACAGACTATGCCCTACGGCAACATAGAACGCACGCAGTCTCCTGCGCTTCAACAAGACGCTTACGGACTTGACCGAAGCAACACTCCCAACAGCTACGGGCGTCGTAACCCACCCGCCCCTGTAAGACAATATTCTGCCGCATCGAGTCAACCAGTACGTCATCCTGAGCCGGAACGCTCATACACGGAGCCTTCATACGGACAAACAAGTTCGGCATATCAGCAAGAACCTGCTTCGCCGACGTCCCCCATCACCAACTCGGGAGGCTTTGATTTTACATCTGGCTACAGTCGACCACAAAACTCAGGTACAAGCACTCCCGTCCAACAGCCGGCTGGTGGTGGAAAAGCGTACCCTGGCTACCGTGCATACAAGCCTCAACAATAAGCAAATAGAGCATGAACAGTGAAGTGGAGCAGCATTGGATATTATGACTACAACTGATGATCAGTTCTTCTTTTTATTTTTTATCTTAGAAATAGGTGGTTCAGTTGATACCCCTTTTATACTGCGTCAACAAGCATCCTAGGCATGGGTGGCTGTTATTCGATTTCTTCAAAAAGAGGCGTCACCTTTTGGATTGGGGCGTTTACATCATATTTCACAATTTCGCATATGGGCAAAGGTAGATAAGCCGTGGCTCAAAGGGGAAGAGGCATTATTTCGCCATCGATTAGCATGTTGATAAATGTCGACCAAGAGCAAATAAAGAAAAAAATCTTTCAACCTGACTACATTTCCAAGACCCGATGAATGAATGAGTATGGATAGGCGTAGTATTGGAGCCGATATCAAAATAAGCGACTGGCTACCTATATCAGAGTGGGGTGTCTCACTTGCCCAATGACATTCAAGTGCTTGTGAGTATACACACCCATTTTATATGCTTTGCAACAAGTGGTAACCTTAATAAATTCAAACTTGCTGGATGAGAATTAACCTGCACGTAAGCTGCATCACAAATGGGCATCGAGATTAACTTGCCTTGTCGGCACAGCCGAGAGTTCATCACACCACCCAGACGGCACCGGATATTCATGGTCATGAACTTCTCCTTTTGACAAACGAGCAATCAATAACCAACGAGCAAATAGGGCCACCCAATAGAATTCGAGTGATGAATAATGGCGCAACAGGATGTGTCAAAGAAATACAGAAGATCATAGACAAGGATGACATCTACCTGGACATATTGATACGTTGACCGCCGTTGCCATGGAATTCGTGCGTAAGGTATCCATTAATGTGCCAGGTTAGTTCAGGTTTCGAGTTCTTGATGTGTTGGCTTGCATGGGATACGGTATAGGGTGCGGTATACTCTGTACTTGGATAATGCCTGATCTACCCGAATTGACCCGAAAGGCGGAAACGCGTATGATAGCTCTGATAAGAGAAGTGCTACTCCCACCATGAATGAGATGCATGCGTTAATATTCTATATGATGCATCCCATCTTCCCTCCAGAGTATCATGGAATGCCCATTGCCTAGTGGTTGGCAAAATATACATGCCGGGTGGGCGGAATGGCGAGGTGGTGATAAGGAACTCGTTTTGTTTGATGTTCTCTGGCGGTCTTCTAGAAAATGGGCTTTAGACGGTCGATCGAGATACATACGTGGACCGCCTCAGTGAATCAAGAACCCCACTTCGCATCGCTGCCTGAGGTCGCGAGGCGAGCGTGTAGTCCAACCGTTGCGCGAATGGGTTGAGCTATCCAGGGGAGGTCAAGGTATTTAGAAGGGCTTCAGTTTTTGATCCAGACACAGAAGTAGGAAACAATACTTTGTTTAGTCTACAAAAACACAATTATATATATTGTAATTGTATTTGTTTTTAGAGTTTCGGTGGCTTGATTCAACGGTCACGAAGTCCAGTCACAGTCCCTTTCCCTCCGATCAGCGCCGTGTTTCCGTGCGCCCTGACCCCCGACCGATCCCGGGTTGGCCAACTTGGCAGTCACGCCAACCTGCTTCTCCACCTTTGGTCTTATCGAAACGTGCTATCACGTGATCCAGCTGCAAGCCTCGCCCGCCCAGAACTGCACGTGGTGAATCCGAGCAATCCATCCTCTTAGTCCCTTCGACATCTCATCAATCCATCCGCGGCCAGCCCGTACAACCCCCGAAATCTACACCAAGACGACTTTGTCATACCCGACATCCACCGAACCTGGAAATTTACTGTCATATCATCGAGATATGAGTCGCGCCGGCAAGCTTGCCCCCGAGGTCAATCGGTACGTCTTTGATGCCCGCGAATCCTCCCGGATCCCCTGCCCCGAAAAGCATGGCCTCAACGGCTGCATGGCCCCTGCTCCATCTCATCCGAGGATCATGATATGCTAACCCGTCTATAGAGCTTTGTTCGTGAAGCATCTAAGGTATTTTGCGCGCACTTGTCGTACTTGCCCCAAGGATAACAGTCACTGATGCCTCCCTTGTAGCTACACTGTCACGCCAGAGGACCTATTCGAGCTCTTCGGCAAATTCGGACCCATTCGGTACGCTCTCTCGATGTCGCAGAACACTCCTTCTTAGACACACTGCTAACAGACTGCGCAGCCAGGTCCGCCAGGGCATTGCTACCAACACCAAGGGCACTGCCTTCGTCGTCTATGAAGATGTCATGGATGCAAAGCAGGCCTGCGACAAGCTGAACGGCTTCAACTTCCAGGGCCGATACCTGGTCGGTACGTAGCACGCGACCACCTACCAACGTCCACGCTCGGTCGCTCTCTAACACTTTTGCTAGTATTATACCACCAGCCAGAGAAGATGGTCAAGTCAAAAGAGGACCTCGAGGCCCGCAAGGAGAATTTAGTGCAGCTCAAGCACAAGCACGGTATCGATTGACGATTAGACGGGCCTGCGGCCGCTCTTCAGACTACCAAAGCCCGTCGTACGTCTGCAGACCCGTCGATATCTTCCACCTCCACCTACACCTCGTCCAAGGCGAGCCCCAAATCTAGGCCCCTCTCGACACCGATTCCAGTGAAGAAGAAGGAAGTCAAGCTGGCTGTTGCAACCAAGGTTGTGACAACGACGGCGATGACGCCGAGAAAGGGCAAGCCGGACGAGGTTTCCGAGCAGGCACGAAGAACAGTCCTTAGCTTCGTGCGTGGCTTCCTGCCCCAGAAGACAAGCAACAAGATGGTCATGACCTGATACTCTTTGCATGCCCTATGCGTGTGTAAGGAGGAATGGGACAACCTATCTGATTTATTGCGTGGACTGGCTCTTTGGGATTGCCTGGTTTTGGCTACCCCTTCACGCATTCTTCCGAACCTCCTAAAAGGAGTCTTTCATTCGTTAAGGGGATGCCTGAGAAATTCATGGTTATAGCGGACGTTTGATCATCCCCACTCATGATCAATCTGGTTTTTTTACTTTTACTTTTATTGACGTTCAGAGAAGATGGCAAGACGCCAGGTACTTTTTGTTTTGGGTTCATTTGGGCTTGACACGATATATTGCTTCACGATGACAAAGCAGCGGACCCCTTTGCGGTCGCTCTGGCGAGAATTCGAGGTATTACACACCAGTACCAGACCAGCCTCGTTGATGATCTGTATAAGCTTGTGACCTTTAAGTAACATATGGATCGCATGTGTTAGCCAAGCTCTGACTTGCATGATGACAACCGATATCCTTAAACGTTGTCTTTTGAACTTGGCGTCGTGTTGAATGTTGTCACTTGCGGCGCGGATATGATACGAAGTTCGAATCTTGCTGAGTGCCGCAAACCAGTGGGCATCTCTACGTCGTCATCTAGGGACGGGCTGGAATTCATACATATAAATTGCCCATGTTCCAGATTCCAGAGCGGAGCCGTTTGAGCATGTCGACGGGACGGAGTGTCATCTGAAACTTGACCCTGCTTGCGGTATGCATATATGAATGTATGGCTGATGAGTAAGGCGTAGTACTTCCTTGGACTTCTGACGGCTCGTGCAGACGCCAACTAATCTGTACAGCCATGGCATCAGTCCAAGGAAAGCGACACAGGACCCTTGGACCCTTTATTGAGCGAGGTACGATGGATATCCTATTCTTAAGTATCTCATATAGCAGTTAAAGTTTTGCATTACGCCGACCTTTGCAATCAATGTGCTTGGTATGTGTTTGTAGGTTCCTACGCTGGCTAATCGGCAACAAAGAGTGGCTGCGCTTTGGTGCAGACTGGCTGTGAACTGAAGCCTAGCGCCTGTTTTACGCTTAAAAGCCCCTGTAGAACCCACCTAAAACAGTCCAAAATGGTAGCAATGGATGACCTACAAGCGCTTACCTTAGCATTTGGTGGGCATTCGAGGAGCTAACTTATGCTTAGAGGATGCCAAGCCCACAGCTAGAGATTGGGGCTGTACTTTACATGACACCTACCCGAAGTGCCTCGATGCGCTGTTCGGGTCAGGTGCTGGCCATTCGGTCGATGCCTGCGAGCCTCATTACTTTTGTCCTCTTGACTCGTCTCCTACTTTTCCCTTTAACCTAAGGAATACCACATCTCAACAATTGATTAAGCTCACTTATTATTGTTTCTTTGTGGCGCGCCAACGTACGACTTTTCTTCTTCCTCTGAAACACTTTCATCGATTCTGGCGCACGGTGGGACTTGCCGATCGATCCACTTGCAGCATTCCCGGGGTATTTTATCTAACATACAACTGCGTCATCATTCTTTGCTGCGAACTCAACTGTTGTCTAAAAAGACGCGCGAGCACCAGCTTACTGTTTTATTTACTCGATTTTCGATACAAGGCATCACAAAGAATATCTCTTGTGACAAATGAGCCCGAAAGATATCATCGGCGCCGCAACTACCGCTCTCTTCCAAGACGCGCCCGACGCCGTCGTTACGGCCTTATCCAAGGCACCCATCGGCGTAGACGTCCCCGCTCCCACAGAGGTTCTGTCCACGATTCTCGCCACCACCACGACATCGCTAGCCGCAGCCTCGAGCGCGGCCATGTCTTCGTCGGCTGCCCTTGTGGCAGGCTCGGAGAACGGTCCATCAGGCGGCGATGAGGGATCCGGGGAGTGTCGCCTGTTGGGCTCTTTTGCCCTACTCGTACAGCTCGCGCTCGGCGGCCTGGCCCTCCTCTCACTAGTCTATAAGCGGTGGCGCGAGCGGCCACAGCGGCCCCTCAAGATCTGGGCCTTTGATGTCTCGAAGCAGGTCGTCGGAAGTGTCCTGGTGCACGTGGCCAACGTCTTCATGTCGATGCTGACGAGCGGTCGGTTCTCTATTAAGGTCGAGCCCATGAGCGTACAAACGGCAGCGAGGCTGTTGAGGAGGGACGACGACGCATATGTGCCGAACCCATGCTCATTTTACCTGCTCAACTTGGCTATTGATGTAAGTCGCTCTTTGGTTCTGCACTGCCAGAAATCATGGCATAAGAGTCATGCTAATACATTCGACAGACAACTCTTGGAATACCAGTGTTGATTATATTGTTGCGCGTATTCACCGGCCTGGTATCTTACACATCATTCGGCAAGCCCGCCGAGTCCATCCAGTCTGGTAATTACGGCAACCCACCCAAGACCTGGTGGTGGGTAAAACAGTCCATGATCTACTTCTGCGGCTTGTTTGGCATGAAGATATGCGTCCTGATCTTGTTCCTCATGATGCCATGGATTGCGAGAGTTGGCGATTGGGCACTGGGCTGGACCGATGGCAACGAAAAGCTGCAGATTGTATTTGTCATGATGCTGTTCCCCCTCATTATGAACGCCATGCAGTACTACATCATCGACAGTTTCATCAAGAAGAAGGAGCTGGAACACGAAAGACTACCTCAGGAGGATGACGACCGTAGCTTTGACAACACCTTGGCTGATGATGATGAGACCAGCGACTCGGAAGATGGAGCACGCCACTCGACTTCAAAGCCGTACAAGGGTATGAAGAGGAGGGACTCAAAGACGGCAGCTGAGGAATACGATCCCGACCACGATCACGAGGTAGTTTGGAGCAACAGCAGCAACAGCGAGCAGGGAGGAAAGACGGGCAAAGTCCTACCCAAGGAGCTATTGCCCCGGGAGTAATATTATCTTGATTTGCACGAGGCGTTTCGGGGAAAACATTGGGAGCACAAGATTGCATTAGAGGCGTATCATTTTTGAGTTTTGGACTACCGGCATGACATTCCTCACGAGAATATGTGGCAATTCATCTCTTACTTTTGGCGTTGGTGTCAACAATTTCAGAGCGCTCGAATATGGCTCCACTGTACTCGCAGTCAATTCCGTACTTGTGAATGAAACTGAACATTGAAGGCTTCGATCATGTGTGAGACTTTTGAAGGAACCTGGAAACGACACCGCCCGTGTTCTCTAAAGAGTACCCGACAGCAGTGCAAGTGCGGCTCAAGTCCAAGGCGGCGGCAACGCACACATGACGGTATATTACTGGTTGTAGCAATGCGAATTTCCTTTTCCGCCGTGGCATTTGGAAGTGTGGGCGGATGTCTCAAGACAATTCGTATTGCCGAACCGCTACCTTCATACCACGTGGGCTTCGGCTCACCTACCTTTGAGATGGTTCATTTGGGTGTATCGGCAAGGTGACATGGGGGATAGCGGGTGGTGATATTGCATGCATACATGGGGCTGAAAGATCAAGCACCTTTTTTTCTGTCATCTATTTGAAAGAGAAACTTCTGATTGTAGAGTATATTGCAATACTGTTAATGTGTGTGTTATGTTGAGGGAGTGATACTAGAATATTTCCGGATCTTTAACACTTTGGGATGGGCATATTTATCCATGTGATCGTTTATTGTTTGTTGGGTCCTGTAGGTGAGAAGCAAGTAGGCATAGCGTAGTATAGATCCCTTCAGAAACGACCAACAATCTACCTAGCGTTATCAATTGAGAACCACCTGACCCTTTACCTACTCCATAGCATGATGTCACGATGGATTGAAGCAGTTCGGAGGACAAAAGTAGAATTGCAAGATGTGTCTCGCATGACTGATTGGACACATTGATTGGCTAATATTCTTCTTCTGTTTTCTCTCTCTCAAAAAGACAGCCTGAGTATACGGCTGCTACAAGAAAGTGAATAGTAGCCCATACAGAGTTTAAACTCTCTGATAGGTCCTTTACCCCGGAAAACACACCAAGGTAATGAATAGTGATGCACTGGCGGAATTAGCGAATCGACGGCGGAACAAATGCCCCAGTTTGCCAGTGGGAGACCCATTGTCCCTGCAGGCAACCACTACGCGAAGTGGTTCTCAGCGGGCTTTGGTGGAGTTGCTTTTTCGTCCATCTGCCAGGGACCGGGGCCGTCATCGCCCAAAAACCTCCGGGCAATTGTTCCGCGCCGCCAAACGGCACTTCAACAAAGACAATCTACCGTCCTGTTACACGGACGGCAGTGAGCTTTTGTCAGCTCTTCACACTTCAAATCGCCGTTCATCACTACTATAAGCACGGCTGCCCATCATTTGCCCGCCTACGACGACATTCTTGCACAGTTTCACTCACCAATCGGCCCAAAGCAGCGGGCGAATTCCCCAAAGCTTTCACCCCCCCCGAGAGAGCTGCAAAAGGGCTGTGGCCATGCCATCTGCAACATTTGCCGAGCTTCCCACGCTCTCTCCGGGCAAGAAGCGATCTCGAAACGAGAATGAAGAGCTACAAATGCCAATGTATGTAGCTTATAATTTGAACAACACGCCTAGGCCGAAACCCAGCTGAGCTAACCACATGTATACAGTTTTGCCCACGCAGGCAACGAGGCCCATGCCCAAGATAAGCTCGGTCGCCTAGCTTTTCACAACATCAGCAACAAGCGATCCGCATCCAGCTTTGCCGGAGAGGTTCAGAGAAAGATTCTCCCGCTGCCTTCCAGCAAGCGAGCTCGAGTATCGGATGATGAAAGCGAGGACCATGCACACTATGGCTCCTACAAGGATGATATACAACGCAACAACCATGCTGTTCTGAGCAATTATTCGACACCACCCATCTCGCCACAGCTCCGACCTCAGGGGTCATACCAACAGGTCCCCGTGAGGCAGACTCTCGACCCTTGCCACATATGCCACCGCAAGCCTACGCGCAAGTCAGATCTGGATTCTTTTGCCGATTGCCACGGATGCGGACAGAGGACTTGCTATGTCTGCATCAGACAGTGCCAGGGCTGGCTACCCAACGCTGGAGGAGATAATGATTCACGACAACGACGACACACCATTTTCCGAGAGGAGCAGCAGCAACACCAACACCAACAACCAGAGGAAGACCCGCTTTCGCGATCATTCACAATGCACGACGTGGACGATGGCGAACGAGAACAATGGACAACTGCGTCGCTATACCACGCCAACAACAGCAACAACATCAGCAGACGAGACCCTTCGCACGACCATGAGGTGGGATGGAAGGGCCATGCCTCGGTCATTTGCAGTCGCTGCTGCATAGAACGCGGCAGCGAGGGCGATGTCATGTGTCTGGGCTGTCTCGCTGGCGTAGAGGGCGCTTGAGGAGGGCCTTGCCACCAAAAAAGGCAGGAGAAAGACCTCATTTCCAGAATGGGGTTCACGACGCTAATGAGGAGATATTCGTCTTTGCGGAAATGACCTGTTCTTTTCTTTTTGTCTTTCAAGCATTGCCGTCCTTCAGAATGTCTTTCATGTTTTTCATTGTTTTCCTTTTTCTACACATTCTTCATACCCGCCAGCCTACTCTGGTACAAAGGTATTTGCATCATGCATTAGGGGGAAATTCATGGAAGATGGAGTTTTCCCCCGAGGACGCAATTCTGATCGAGATGATATTCTTTTCAAGCATAGGCGTTTAGGAAGAGGGAAACATAAGTAGATACCAAAACTTTCGACAAGGCCTATTCTGCGCCGTCGAAATGTGCCAAACTGTATATTGCCCAGGCAGCCACGACTTGCCCATGGTGGCGGAAATAGGCGCTGGCATAGGAGATAGATGAGATAGATAAAGCAACTTGATAATCAAGAACCTTGCCATGCAGCGGCTTCCTCTCTCCCAATCTCGTTTTCGTAAGGCCCCTTTTGGACCATGTTTGGATCCACCGTACACTTGAGAGGGCCGCCCCCCTTTCTCAGACACGAGACACCAAGCACACGCAAAGTGTGTAAATGGCCTCCCAAAAGCACGGCTACTTCCGACTATATAGATATCCGTGCAGCTTTTGAATAGAACTGCTGATACTCAGTAGTTACAGCGTAAGAATGTTTGGAATTTGGTATTTACTCTTTCATTGATATGTCATTACGAGACTCTTTTGCCTATCTATAAACCCTGCGGTAGGATCTTGACAGTCATACCAGTCCACTTCTATCCGATGCGGCATCAGCACATTTACACGACTGCACATAAGAATCCGTCGTGGTCATGTCCATCCTGCCTATTCTTTTTTTTGGTACAATCCGTTTATATGACGTATATGCTTGAGTCAATCCCTCTTGATATCTCTCTATCGGGTGAGTGCGATATCGTCAATGCGCAGAATCATCTTGACTGTCTCTGCGGCCAGCTCGATCGCACTTGTAGAGACCAAAAGGGGCTGCAGCACGTTCTCCTTGGCAATGTTGTTGTTGACACCGCCGCTCTTGATGCTGACACCGGCAGACTTCTCGCCCATCTCGTGGCGATGTCTCAGTTCCGTGACGACCTGAGTCTGGTTAGTATAGTGTACACATTAGATCCCATGTTCGAATGACTTTACCTTGATGCTGTTGAGGCCAGCGTTCTCTGCAAGAGTCGTAGGGATGATTTCCAGAGCATCAGCGAATGCCTTCCAGCAGATGGCCTCAGTGCCAGTCAAAGCACGAGCCTGCTTAGAAAGTTGTGCGGCAATCTCAATCTCAGGAGCGCCTCCACCAGCGATGAGAGCCTTCTTCTTGACCAAGCACCGGATAACGCAGAGAGCATCGTGCAGCGATCGCTCAGCCTCATCGAGAATCAAGCTGTTGGCACCTCTGCAGACGACACTGATGGTCTTGCCTGCGCTCTTGGTGCCCAGGATCTTGACCATTCGTGCGCCGTTTGCCTGAGACTCTTCGATAAGGTCGGCAGATCCCAGCTTATCCTCAGTGAACGAATCAATGTCGGCAATGGGCTTGCAGCCAGTCGACTTGCAGATGAACTCAACCTCGTCTCTCTCGATATCCTTTACGGCCATGATGCCGAGCTTGGCAAGGAAGTGGAGGGAAAGATCGTTGACAGCATCGCGTAGGATCGACTTCTGGATAAGGAGAACATTGCACTTGGCCTTCTTGATCTTCTTGACCAAGTTCAAAAGGTACAACCGCTCCTCCTTGACAATCTTGTCCATCTGGCGGTAGTCATTCACGGCAATTGTGTTCTCCATGTCGGGCTTGGGCGGGCTGAGCTGGAACTGGATCAAGCCAATTCGTGCCTTCTCGATCTTGGTGGGACCTCCTGCTGACTTGATGACGGGCTGGTTGAGAACAACACCATCAACCAGTTCGCTGTCTTCTATCGTGCCTCCAACCTTCTTGATGATTCTAATGTTCTTCAGGTCGACGTTGTCGGCATTCTTGATGTCTATCGTCTTGGTAACGGCATTGACGGCCATGGAGCCAAGCAGGCCAGAGTACTGAGAGACAATCTTGGAAGACAGCGAGGTGTTTGCTGCCTGCAGAAGTGTGGCATTGTCGGAAAGTGATACCGGTTGTGACATGTCGTGGAGGATCTGGACCGAGGCGGCGGCGGCTCTCTGGAACGACTCGGAAATGACTGATGGGTGAATACCCTTGCCCAATAACCGGTCGGCAGCGCCCAGCAGAGCACCGCAGATGACAACTACGGAGGTGGTTCCATCTCCTGCCTCTACATCCTGCGCTCCAGAGAGGTTGACCAACATCTTGGCAGTTGGGTGCATGACAGACATGCTCTTCAACATGGTGTTGCCGTCATTTGTGATTATAGTCTCGCCCCTTCCATTTCTGATCATCTTGTCCATACCTCTGGGACCTAGAGACGTCCGGATAGCATCGGCGACAGCTCGGGCAGCGACGATGTTGGAAGACCGCACTGCAATCGGCTTCTCCTTATCCTACAGCCAACAGGGTCAGCCAAACAGGGGCTCCGGGGTCATTGGGTAGGGTGACAGAAAAGCATCTTACTCTGAAGGTGGCATTTGAGTGGGAGGACGAGCCAGCGGCCGGTGCTGCGGAAGCCATCTTGACTGAACCGATCGAGGGGCAAGGATGGGTGAGGTGCAAGGGGTATTGTGGTGTTGAAGGGTTGGTCGAGCTTCTGTCTGAATCTCTCCCTATGGCGCCCCGCGTTGAGGCTGCCAAATAATTTTTGTAAGTCGCAAAAATGTTCTGGGGAAAGCTGCGAGGCTACTAGCTATCAATGCCTCTTCGGGTTAGACTAAGGTTCAGTCTTACAGCATGCAAACAGAATAAAGTGCTCTATAATACTCAATGATATGTCATAATGATAATCAACTCATTTTATGTGCATATTATTTGAATCCATCGATTTGCAACCAGTTTTGAGAGGTTGAGACAGCGTGAATCAATCATTGAACTCCAGCTGCTTGATTGTTCTAAGCACAGCGGCTGATTCATCACGCTAAGCCATCTTTAGCAATAAATTCAGGCTTTCTCAGCAACGGCAGCTGCCACTGCCCGTACCTTCGACACCCCTGCCAGGCAAACAGAGCTTATGCAATACTCCCCCAGTGCTCTCATCAGTGTCCAGTCGTCACTCGCCTCGCCTGGCCCGTTCAGCCCGGTCAATCAACTTCACACCCATCACCCCGTCCATCGAATATCAAAGCTGCCCAAAGCCGACTCGAGCATCGCATCACCACCCCCAAGCTGCCTGTCCAACTCACAATCCGAATCATCACATCTAATAGCAGCAACCTCCCCATCGGGCCCTCGTCAAGATGGTGCGTCAAGCTATCGCCTGTTTACCCTAGAGCTCTGCTAATCGAGAACAAGCCGTCCGCCACCGGCCAGAACTGGGAGAAGTACCAGAAGAACTTTGCCGATGACGAGGTAGAGGAGAAGAAGATCACACCTTTGACAGATGAGTGCGTAATCGGCATGCTTTACATCTGTATCAATACCCGCGGGCTAACCTCAAAGCCAGAGATATCCAAGTCTTGAAGACGTACGGCGCCGCCCCCTACGGATCGGCCCTCAAGAACCTCGAGAAGCAAATCAAGGAGAAGCAACAAAGCGTGGACGAGAAAATTGGAGTCAAGGAGTCCGACACAGGTCTTGCACCGCCACATCTATGGGACACAGCAGCCGATCGCCAGCGCATGGCAGAAGAGCAACCGCTTCAGGTAGCGCGGTGCACCAAGATCATCGCAGACGAGAAGGACGAGTCCAAGAGCAAATATGTAATCAACGTCAAGCAAATCGCCAAGTTCGTGGTCCAGCTCGGCGAACGTGTCTCGCCGACCGATATCGAGGAGGGAATGCGCGTGGGTGTCGACCGCAACAAGTACCAGATCATGCTGCCACTTCCGCCCAAGATTGATGCCAGCGTTACCATGATGACCGTCGAAGAGAAGCCCGATGTCACGTATGGTGATGTTGGTGGCTGCAAGGAGCAGGTGGAGAAGCTGAGAGAAGTTGTCGAGATGCCCTTGTTGTCGCCAGAACGATTCGTCAACCTCGGTATCGATCCCCCCAAGGGCGCTCTGCTCTACGGTCCGCCAGGTACTGGAAAGACCCTTTGCGCACGAGCTGTCGCCAACCGAACAGATGCTACATTCATTCGTGTCATCGGATCCGAACTGGTACAGAAGTACGTCGGTGAAGGTGCACGTATGGTTCGTGAACTTTTCGAGATGGCTCGAACCAAGAAGGCCTGTATTATCTTCTTTGACGAGATCGATGCCATTGGTGGTGCTCGATTTGATGACGGAGCTGGCGGTGACAATGAGGTGCAACGTACCATGCTGGAGCTTATCACACAACTGGACGGTTTCGACGCTCGTGGAAACATCAAGGTCATGTTCGCTACCAACAGACCCTCAACCTTGGATCCTGCTCTTATGCGACCTGGTCGTATTGATCGAAAGATTGAATTCTCCCTTCCTGACTTGGAGGGACGTGCCAATATTCTCCGCATTCACGCAAAGAGTATGAGCGTTGAGCGTGACATTAGATGGGAGCTGATCTCCCGATTGTGCCCCAACGCTACGGGTGCCGAGTTACGCAGTGTATGCACAGAGGCGGGCATGTTTGCCATCCGAGCAAGGAGAAAGGTTGCCACAGAGAAGGACTTTTTGAGCGCCGTGGACAAGGTCATCAAGGGCAACTTGAAGTTCAACTCGACTGCTACTTACATGCAGTACAACTAAGGGGTTTGAAATGGGTACAATGGCAACGGAGTCTAGGTGTACTATTTGTATCAACAAGATCAATCAGTCTAGGGGTCTCAATTAGACGAGTGCTTGTACTTGGAAGCATTGACGATTAGATAATGAGACATATCGCCAGAGTTTGGATCTGGCCCAGACGAAATAGCGTTTCCTGTTCGCACTGGCACATGACATGAGGATCTTAGCAACCTGAACAAATTACACAGCATTTTCAGTAATTCAAACGCCCGGCCACCAGGGACTTGATTACAGTCGACATCGATTTCTCGGTAATTTTGTCTAGGTTCTATGTCTCATCTCGTTGGAGGACAATACTTGTCGAGGAATTGGTCGCAGCCGTCTACTCCCTTTGACTTCCAAGAAACCTTTCGGCCATTTTCTTCCCACTCTTCATGAGCGATACGTCTCTTAACCTCTTCTTCCCACTCATTAGACTGCTCATCAAGATTCTTGAATGGACCAGAAAGTTTGGCTTGGGCTTCCACGACTGGGGTGATTTTGGCACCCTCACCTCTCAAACGTGCGTCTATTGAGTAACTTAGTACCTTCTATTTGGCAGTAAGGTCATGTGATAAGAGGTGGAAAAAACCATGACGCGACGTCAGGAAGTAATATACGTACGTTGATCAAATGCACCAAAGTAAATATTATACTCGGCTTCGAAGACGTACTCTTTCCAGGCTGCCAAGGCGTGTTCTAGCTCCTGAAGGGTCTTTGTGTGCTCGTCATCATTCTGCAATGTCTTTTCTTTGCTCGTACTGCTGGAGGACATTGTTACGATGGCGACGAAACTTTTTTCTCGAGGTTTTTCTGTGCTTGAAGATTCTGTCTCCAATAGTAGTCGACTGGTATCTGTCAATTCGTTGCAAATCGGAGAATTGCGTCCCTTTATTCCTGAACGCGAGACAAAGAAAGCGACAATATTCAGAGTTCCCTGCAAATGCCATTGATTCAGACTCGACGGATCAATAACATGATTCACCCAGCCGCATGCTGAGATGATCCCACAACACTGGGAATTTCTTTCTACCAAGTGTATTATTGTTGATGATGCGAGAGGGAAGAGAAGCCTTTTCATTTGTGCGAACCTCGAGGCGCAGCTTAAGCTCGATTTATTAGCGTGCGGCTTACCTAGACTTGCATTGGCTGATGTCTAAAACGGACGTTTTCTTCAGTTATATCCTAGATGATGGGCACACCAAATATGGGTTCTCGCTGCATCTCTCTGATGCGTGTATTCTATCCACAAACGTATCCGGCAGGGGTGGTTGCTTTCTTCCGGTATGGAAGTGGAAAGACCTCTACCTCGCACGCTCGCACTTGTCAGGTATCTCACTAGGGAAAGTCAGGATACCTGAGTTAAGCGAGTAAAAGTATGTAGAATAATCGAGAATCTTATTTGACTGCTTGCAGATTGGGAGCATCGGTTATATATGGATTACTTTGAACAGTGTAAGTAGATCTAAATGAGATCGTACTGCCGAGCCGTACTTACAAGTGATGATTAGATGTAATGAGTCCACACATGAGTTTTCTCAAATTCCGACATGATTTAACACATTCGTATATTTTGACAGAAATCTATTTTCCACATATTTACTTATTTTCATGACATGCTCATGTATTACCGCTGGCTGCGAATTAGCGGAATTGGATTATACATGAATACCGTATACTCTATCACGGCAGTTGGCGAGTCTAGCGGGCAGCTGGTCAAAGCTCAATGCGGCAGGCAAAGGAGCTGTGGTGCACATCAACACCACCAAAGCTGCCTACCTAACTGATAGCTCCTACGCCAGCAAGCTCCCAACTACGTCCATTGGCTACGTCAAAGATTCCGCATCGAGTGTCTCTACTACCATAACCAACGTCGGCAATCGAAATGACTTTGATTTCTAAAACGACGACCACTTTTGGTCTCATCCTTTTGGCGCATGCGTAAGCTGCCATCGCTCGGCAAAGCAAACTGACACAGATGAGGACACACGCTGACACAACTCGTTCTGTTTAGCTGTTACTCTGCCCATGAGCACTCGGCGCTACAGGCACACCGCGCTGCCTCGCTTGCCTCTCTGACCGCATCACAAGCTGGCATTCTCACTTCATTGCCCATCGATATCGCGATCGAGACTGTGGTAGCGACCTTTGTGGTGGTTTTCGGGCTGGTGCTGAACACGGCTCCGCTGCGGCCAATCCGATGGCGCGTCTGGGCAGGCCAGATTGAGCGAGAGGGCGAGCAGGCGTTCAAGAATGCCAACGGCGAGGTGGCCAAGGACTTTGTGGGCAATCCATTCAAGCTGCTAGAGTCGCGGCCGGGATTCGTGAATATTCGGAAGCAGAGAGAGGAGTTTGCGGAATGGGTCAAGACGCAAGGTCAATGATAGGGGAAACTACATGGGATTCGGGCCAGGCTCATGGGAGCGATATGCGAGAAACAGCACATAATACGTGTTGCCACATCTGTACAACAGGACGAAGAAACCTACAGCACAAGAGGCTATGATATTCTTGTCGTGGGCGACAAGGTCGCCATTGCAAATTAGCTGGGACAAATGCGGCCCTGGAGAGCCTACGTGTGCTCGAATGCCCAACCCAGACTACATAATATGCGGCGGGAATCTCGAGTCGATGGCGAGTCGAGATTGCCTTTGGTTGTACTTGCATAGTTGAGTGGGCGGGCGGCCGCACACATGGCAGGAGCAGCCGACGGGGAGCCTCACCCCCGTCCCGTCCCAACTGGTGGGAAACTGGCGAGAATAAATGATATTCTTTTTGTTTTTTTCATGATCATAAGAGACCAATTCTTCTTGCAATAGCTGATCAATTCGTTTCCCGCTACGTCCCTGCATACACACAATCACAACCCGCAAAGACAGCTTAGTTTCTCGACTGGTTTGAAAGTGACAGTCATGTATTCGAGAAGTACCTCTGGCCCGTCGCAAATACATCGCCGTTTTGCTGGTTCCTCCGATCGCGTTATTGCCAGCTCCCCGCCGATTCCTCGCAGAGGCCCGACGAGTGCGTCATCTACCTCAGCATCACGCACTCAAGGATATTCAGTGTCATCACGCACTCGTACGTCAAAGGCTGCTTCTCCCTCTGGCTCAAGCTCTGCACCACGGTCCGCCATCTATTCGCCCCAGCTACCGCCGCATCCTCTGCGTCAACGCTTATCACAACGCCCAGCGCCACCCCGAGGAGCATCCACCACTCCCGGATCAAGTGTAGTGGACGGGGACGATGATGCCGATCGTGTGTTGGAAGGGGATCATCTTGATGCGGATGCCCTGGGCGAGATCATTATGGCCATAGATATGAATAAGACTGGCAATCTTGGCTGTGCATATTACATTGCTGCTGAGGAAAAACTCCTACTGCTCGAGGATGTACCAATGGCAGGACCTGAGATAGTAGACACCCTTCTATTGAACGCGGAGCCGACAACCATCCTGACACCTTCTCGGGCCTCCGAGACACTACTCTGCATACTCCGCAAAGGCGCTCAGGGTGTTGAGCGAAGCGATGGAGGCGGTAAGTGCTATCAGATTCTTGAATGGCCTATGCTACATATCTGCTTATACACAGTAAAGGTGCCAACTTTGGATCCTACGTCTTGAGGTCTCTCACCACATCCGAGTTTAAATACGAGTCAGCTAAAGAAAAGCTTCTTGGTCTATATATTGAGTCACGAGAGGAGCAGGGAATGATCTTCGCATCTGTTGTCGATGAGCAGGCAGACGACCAGCACGACCAGCACGGCTCGATGCTAGGCTCGCTAATGAGACTTGGCACCTCAATCAACCTCGAAAGCCAGTTGAGTGTGAGATTTGACTTCTGTTCCTGTTGTGTCGGAAATCTAATGCTTCCAGATTGGATGCGCTGGTGCTGTTCTAAGCGATCTTAATCGAAGGAGGACTGCAGAATACCTTCCAGGTGATCTCGATGCAACCATTGCTTTCAGAATCAAATCGATCGAGATGTTCAAGCTGTTTGACTCAATGTTTGTCAGCGCAGATACATTGGCCTCATTGCAGATTCTCCGATCAGAGTTCCATCCCAACAGTCAGATGCGAGGACCAGATGGGTCAAGTTCTGGAGCAAAAGAAAGCCTGTCCGTCTACGGGCTTTTCCATTACCTAGCCTGCACACCACAGGGGAAGTCAAAGCTCCGTCAGATCTTCTTGCGACCCAGCATTGATCTCGACTTCATCAAAAGCCGGCAACTTGCAATATCCTTTCTTCTGAGATCTGACAACTCAGACCTAATCAAGAGACTCTCGAAGGAATTGCGCAAGATCAAGAATATGCGGACAACCATTGCCTTCCTTCAAAAAGGTGTAGATTTACCTGGAAAGAAGGCCTCGATGGCGAGCAATGTGTGGTTGACAATCCAACGTTTCGCCCACAATGCCCTCAACATTCAGAGCACTCTTGCCGAGATGCAAGGCTCTGCGATGGTTGAAGTGGTCACGAAGGTTTTACGCACAATCCAAAGTCGACCTCTGCACCATATTGGAGAACTCATCACTCGAGTAGTCGACTTTGAACAGTCAAGGGAGCGAAAAAGAACTGCAGTGAAGCATGGCGTTGACGCCAATCTAGATGAGCTGAAGCGAAGTTATCATGGAATGGAGCATTTCCTGACAGAGGTGAATATCAAGCTTCGAGCAGATATTCCTGAATGGGCTCAGAACTACGTCCAGGGCTGCGTATTCTATCCCCAACTGGGCTTTCTCACAGTTGTTGCGGTCAATCCTGAGAATGGTCTTCCGAGGTACGAAGGGCAAAATGCTCAGGATATCTGGAAGTGCATCTTTACAGATGACAACGTCGTGTATTGCAAGAATCCAAGAATGAACGAGATGGATCATCATTTTGGGGATGCATACTGCATGATCATCGGTAAGTGCATTTACCCTTCTACATGTGCGTCACTCGAGATATCAGACTGATTATTTCTAGACCGAGAGATAGAGATCCTACACCAGCTCTCGGCCCAGGTACTCGATCACGAGAGTGCCATCCTCGCTGCCTCAGACATCATAGGGGAGCTGGACAGCCTCCTCGCTCTCGCAGTTGGCTCACGCAAGTACAATTGGACTGCACCAATGATGACCAATGAAAACGTCTTGCACATTGAGGGTGGCCGACACCCCTTACAGGAACTTGTGGTTCCGTCTTTCATCGCAAATGACTGCCACATGACTGGTGGCAGCGAGCGCCTTGACGAAGAAGTCGCTCAAAGGGAATCGATGGTGAGCCAGGGCGTCCCAAGCACACTCATTCTCACAGGTCCCAACCATTCGGGTAAGAGCGTGTATCTAAAGCAAGTCGCTCTGATCGTTTACCTGGCGCACATAGGTTGCTATGTGCCAGCCGAGAAAGCTATCATTGGAATCACCGATCGGATCTTGACACGGATAGCTACCCGTGAGAGTGTATCGAGGAACGAGAGTGCGTTCGCGATAGACCTCAGACAAGCCGCATTCGCAATCAATTTTGCCAGTCGTCGAAGTCTCATCTTGGTGGACGAATTTGGGAAGGGCACAAATACGGTTGATGGTGCTGGGTTAATGGCAGCATTGTTGCACCATTTTAGCGCTCTCGGATCAGAAAGACCGAAGCTTTTGGCGGCTACGCATTTCCATGAGATCTTCGAGGCCGGTTGCCTCCGAGAGAGTGTAGAGCTTGCCTTTGCGCACATGGAAGTCCATGTGGATTTCGATACGCCAGTCGAGGAAGACCAGGTAACATACCTTTTCAACTTGAAGGCGGGTCGGAGTGTCTCAAGCTTTGGAAGCAGGTGCGCTGCAATGAATGGTATTGATCAAGCCATTGTTGACAGGGCAGAAGCAATAATGCTATTGCTGGTTCGCGGAGAAGATTTAGAGGCTGCTTGCTCGAAATTGTCAGAGGAAGAGGAGTACAAACTCCAAAAAGCAGAGGACATTGCTCGAGCCTTCTTGGAACAAGACATTGAGGTCCCGAGCCGAAAGGGCAAGAGAAGGGAAGGGCATTATCGCAACATTCTTCGGGGCATCCTGGCTGCCAGTGAGGAGTCGTCAATGTTGAGCTTTGCATAAAACCTTGGGTTGCTTTGTCAAAGGCTTCGTACGCGGTGCCCTGATAATGCTGGACTCGTGTCCTCAATCTATCCGAACCGACACAAGACTGTTATTTCTTTCTACGTATTCAATCTCGCTGACGAATATTCATCATCCAGAACACGACATCTCAATGCATTCAAAGCAACATCTTTGTCATGCAGTAGGAAGGCATTCATGGGCCAGTCTGGCTTACCCTGAATTGCAGCTGTAAGAATAATACCATGGCGTTCTGTGTATTGAGATGGGAGAGAAAAGCTCTACAAAACGTAGCTGAAGCCTAGCCATCCTTGCTTTCGCGTTTCAAAATGTCGCCCTTTCAGTCCGTGTCAGAGAATAACCCACTGCTTAGGATGTTTCGAGCTTGGCGCAAATTCAGACAGACCCTGGCCTCTGATTATAGTATGATTTTCAACTTTAAAAAAAGAGCCGCATCTGTTAGAACATCCCTGCACGGCCTATATTTACTGCCTCTGCGACACTAGCTTAGAGCTTTGGACTGGAATTCGCCGAGCCTCGACTCAAGTCACCATGAGACGACCCCAGACTTTTTGTAGAGGCTTTGATTGACATGACTCGGATCCTCTCCAAGTCTGCTCGTCTGATATCCTGTAACATGCTGCATGCATAGTCTATTTTCAGCCATCTGCGAATGAGTGACCTGGAAGCGGACGATCAAGGGGAATCGTGAAGATCCGCCTTTCTTACAGAACGACATTGAGACGGGCTTCAGCTTGAAGCATGACACTTCGGCAAAGCGATCGTGGATCCCCATGACTGACTATGCACGTCCCATCTAGGTAAATCATTGGCGTATGTCCGGCATACCTCCGGAGCCGTGAATTGTGAGACTATCGTGAGGGCGACAAGCGTATAAGAATCTAGACGACTCGCTTTCATAGTTCCGACTTGGCATCTCAAGCTCAATTACAACGACCCAACCGCAATAACAACATCAACTCTTCAGATTTTTACTGATCCTGAATCTTCCATCATTGACATTGCATTTGAATAACAGAAAAAAAAAATCATCTGATTAACAACAACAGCAAAATGCATTTCTCGACTGTCGCCCTTGTCAGTATTGCAGCTGTGGCTGTATCAGCACAAGTAAGTGGTTCAATATTCTTATCCCGTATCGTGTCTGGTGTCAAGAATATCAGCCCGACTAACACGTCTGGCAGCAATATGTCCCTCACCACGCCGCCATGGCCGAGCGGAGCGAGATCTTCATACGCGCCAACCACAAGGGCAGCAAGAGCAATGACACGGCAGCCACAGCTACAGAGTCGGGAGCCGCGACGGCCACCGAGACGGGAAGCAGTGGTAAGGGAGGCGGCAAGAACCACGGCGGCAGCAAGAATAACTCGACCGGCGAGGCAACGGGAGGCTCGGACAACAACAGCGGAAGCAATAGTGGTAGCGGCAAGAATTCAACAACTGGTGGCACCAGTGGCAGCGGGTCGGGTAGCAGCAATGGTGGCAAGAACTCGGGATCCAACAAGGGCAACTCAACCTCGGGAGGAACAGGTTCGGGCTCGGCCTCTTCGTCGGCGGCTCGCGCTGGTGCCTCGTCTACAAGCACGAGCACGCCTGTTGTCCAGGGCGCGGCTGCGCGCTCCGAGATCCTCTTGAGCAATTCTGGAGGGTTGGTAACGATTGCTGGTGTCGGTATTGCCTTTGCCTTGTTCATGTGAGGTGAAGCGGGGGAAAGATTAAATTCCCTGGTTGTGGTTTACCTGACTTGTATCTCCATGTTGTCATGATTTATACGCTCGTTTATTATTGGGTCCTGGGTCATGAATTTGAATTGCAGAGCTGGGTGTTTCGGTTGCATCTACTGAGATTAGAGTTAAAAGAAATACATCAAGTTTGTCACTTGTGCTGTTTAATTTACAAATTTTTGAAATTTATGAATACATGCGGCCTTTTCCTGTGACCTTGGTCGTTGCAACGAATGAACATGTGTAGGATGTGTAGTCTAGAACGACGCGATCACGGCTCATGATTCGATCAAAATCAGTAGCCCAGATTTTCATCCAAATGCACCATGTTCAGTCGAGCCAGACAGAACGTGTATGTTCTGACAGTATAATCTAGAGGTGTCTTTATGATTAGCTACCTAAAGCTCTCATCATCCAGCATCATTACCAGTCTTCTCAATCCCACTTGCTGTATCACGGTAATACATGACCACTTCAGGGCGAGCATCGTCAGTATCCTCGTCGACGGGCCGGGGCCCGCCCACCACGAATCCGCATTTTTGATAAAAGGCAATAGCAGCCGTATTTGTCGTGTACACGTCCAATGCGAGCCGGCAGCGGCCGCCGCGCCGTCGGGCGTCGGTGTGCGCATATTCGGCCGCGACTTTACTCAAGGCCTGGCCAAGTCCCTGACGCCGGACCTCGGCGCGGGTGTAGACGCCGGTAAATTGGTAAAGTAGGTGGGCGCCGTCGGCATAATTGCTCTGTTCCACACTGGCTGAAGTAGAGATGACGGTTATGTCGGCGGCAGCAGCAGCCGCCGCCGCTGGATTGGACATGACTTCTTGGCTAGGCATGGGCCCAAAAACAGTCGTAGCAGCCAGGATTCGACGGTCTCGTAGACGGACGGCTATGAATGTTTTGGCAATGGGTTTGTGTAGGCGCCTATACCAGTACTCATCGACAAATGCGATTTCTCTCTCGTAATTCGAGCCAAATGCTGTTTTCGACAGTGTGTTATTCCCGGACAGAGGTAACGGTCTTCTGACCTATACAATTGTAGTGTGAAGGGGGGTGGTGCCCTTACCGTTGGGGTCCTCGCGCAAGGCGGTCAGTCTGAAGGGTTTGTACTCGCTCAGGTAAAAGGCGAAACCTGCCTCGTCTGCGGGTATACTCTCGATGGCCCAAGTTGGGTCTTCTAGACTGCTTAAAGTCATGGTGGCTGCGCGATCTTATTGTTTATGGATATCCGTTTGTATAGTTATCAGGTTTCCATTTCTCTTTTTGGAGCACACGGTACGGCACGTGTAAGTGTCAAGACTCGAGAGCGAGTATAGCGCACCTAGTGCTAGTTTAGTGCCTAAACAGTGGGGACAATATTTCGGAAACCGGCAACTATTCGTACTTACAGAAATATAAGTAGAGTTTCCATCATATACAAGGGGAAAGGTTGTATGATCTTTAATAAAACATTCACCCTGGATGTCTGGAGAGAGACATGAGTCACTAATGAGATTTGGCTGCGAAGAGTCATAACGTTGTGTGTACTCGGAAGAAGGAACAGTTTATTATTTGTCTCGCCAAGAATGGATGGTGATTCCGACAATTTGGGGGCTGGGCTGGGCTGGGCTGGGGGTCAGTCACCTACACTTATATTTGGTAGCAGCTGTCGGGGGCTCTTTGTGGCAAGGTCAGCGTACCTACCTGCCAATCTACCTTACAGGTAATCGACCACCACAGTGTGGCTGGCATATGGGAAATGCTTGAACAGGTGGGTACATAGGCATACAGCATGTAGGCGCCCAATGAAAGTGCAAATACTCTGGTACATGACCACAATACGTAGGTATGCAGGTGTTGTAGTGTAGGGAACTAAGTACCCTAGAAGTGGGATTGCTTGTAGGCGCTGCGCAACCACACTAGCGCGACATGGATCAGGCAGCCCCCCAAAGCCGCAGCACATGAGAAGCCAAGTCAGCTGCGTCTGTCGGCTGAGACCTTTGAACATTTAGAAATCCACACACAAAGTACCGGGCTGTAGCCTCGTCGTACTCTTTCTTCTCACTGTGCTGGACAACACGTTTCTTTTTTAAAACAAACTGCAGTTACGGGGAGCGATTATGTCTTGACTTTATATACTCCCTTTGTTCTGACTGACATCGCGCCAACTATATCGTCACACTAGTTAGTACCGCTGCTGTTCAAGATGGCTTCCGAGACGGTCACATCGGCGCCCGCCATCGACTGGAAGGATTTCGATGACAAGCACGTCTTTGACGAGACTCACACCAAGGCTGTAGCCGGAGAATGCGAGAACTTTGTACTCGAGTTTGGTCCAAACAATGCGCGGGTCGTTCGAGATCTCAAGCAGGACCATTTCAAGGCCATGTTGGGCGGGCACCAGAGAGATGCAAAGTACCCAATCCGATGGATGTAAGTTGCTTTATTGAGCGTCTTCTTCACTAGGAGTCAATCACTGACCGCTTCGATTCCAGCAATATTTGGGAAACCAGTAGATCCAAGGACATTGTGGAAGTCATCGGAGATAAATATGCCTTCTCCAAGAGGTTGAAATCGTTAATGAAGAATGATAAATACGAGCAAGAAGTCACCAAGCAAGGCCGAAAGAAGAAGTCTGCTGCTTCAGGCAACAAGAACCCATCCACCTTGAATCTGGAAGGGTCACAGACTACCCCTACACGCCCGCACGACCTGGAAAAAGGCAACGTGAATGACGATTCTTCGACATCCAGTCCTGTGGTTCAAGGAAAGCAAGACGCCTCACCTCTTCCACAGGGCGAAGAAATTGAACTCTTCCTTCTACTCAAGAATACTGTCAACTACTTCTCCATCGACCATACAGAAAAAGGCACGTACTACTCCACAGTTTGACTGCGCTGGGTGTCTCTAATATCTTTGCTATATAGCCCTCTGTGTCGGCGATCACTGGCTGTACAAGCGTCCAGCGACACGCAATCCGGGGTCCGACATCAATGAGAACTTCCTGCCGCCCAAGCACTGGCTCTGGCTAGTCTTGTGCGATGATCGTACGTCTTTGAGCTGCTATGTAACAATCATTCGTGCTAGTCTCTAATTATTCCAGATACCGTCATTACATTGAACGAAAGCCCTGACCTCGAAGCTGCGCCAAAGGAACTCGACGCAGGAAGGTGGAAACAAGATCAGTTGAGGAATATGCGGCAAAATTCACTCGATGTTTTGATACAACAGTCAACACATGGCATGAGCTTGTACGAGAATCTGCCACTCTCTCAAAACTCAATCAGGCAAGCATGGTCCGATGCCTTGCAACGTTCGGGCAAGGCCGAGCTCGGTAGAGTCAACTCGGACTTTGCCCCGATAGAATCCAATCCAACTTCAACTCCGGAGGACGATGCCACAAGCAGCCTCTTCTATTACCTGTTTGAAGACTATTCCGCTGCCGGTCCGCTCAAGGAAGCGGGTAGAATATTGGAAGACCTTGTGAGCTTCTTTCCAAGACTATTTCACGCCTAGTGACTAACATAGTACCCAGAGCCCAAAAGTTCTTGGCAGCGCCGTACGTGAACCAAGCCATCCTCCTTCATACATCCATTCTGGTTCGTTGTGTAATATACTAACATGGGTGATGAAACCAAAAGGAGCGCAAGAGCCGTGTCAAGAGCCGCGACATTATCAAGCCTCTTCATCTCCTCAGCAAGGATTTGCGCACTCTCAAGCACCTCTTTGAGAACTACATGATTGTCATTGGCAAGATCATAACCGCCACGAGAAGACCAGGCAGTGCACCGTCGCTTGACCACTTGGGCACCTCGATCCTGATAAACTCCGAATCGAATCTTTCCGAGTCCATGCTCATGGGAGCCGACCCCCAACGCAAGGTCTTTCTGACGGCTTCGGCGCTGCAACGGTTTGACCGTCTCCGGGACCGCCTAAAGGGCGTCATGCTCAATACCATTGAAGGGCACTTTGAGGAGATTAATGCGCTCCAGGGTACTGTAAGTCAGCCAAGTCAACACGAGCGGAAACGTTTTCCCGGCGTATCATCTTTCACAAGCTTACCAAAAAAAACCTTTTACCACGATTTTAGTACTTTAACCTGACGCAGCAAAAAGACTCAACGGCTACGGCGCGTCTAACGCGCAGCGCCACCCTGCTCGCCAAGCTCAGCGTCTTTTTCCTGCCCGTCGGCTTCATCACGGCCTTCTTCTCCATCCAGATTGAGGACATGTACATTCAGTGGACGGCATCGACGTACTGGATCACCTTTGGCATCACCATTGGCGTCTCTTTTCTGAGCCTGACCTTTTTCGGCCGCATGCTCATGTTCTTTAGCGACGTGCTCGATGAGTGGTCCGACGCCTTTTCTGGTAGGATACGCTCTGTCTGGGGTGGCGGCAACGATGACGACGATGATGAATGAGCGAGACAGCTTCTGTCTTTAGACCTCACAGGTTTGGGAAATCATTACTTGTTGGACACGGCCTTGAGACTGGCCATTTTTTGTTTCTTGAGGGCGGATGGGTGAATCTTGAACTTGAAATCGTCTTTCTACATAATGGCTATATGCAACCGGTACAAGTCTTGCATATCTCATTTATATATATAGCTACCATATGTAGCGTAACAATACTGCAGTGTCTCTTACACAAGTGAGAGGTTCACGAACTGCAAGAAAATGGGTTAATTCAAATTTGCATATTAATGCGTCGGGCAAATATATGCTCTGGTATCGAGAAATGTAATGATAATGACCACCAAGAAAGCCCCAAATGTGACCAGTATATGCAAGTTCAAGCGAGAGGATAAAACAAATATAAAAAAAGGGGGGGAATAACATATAAATCTTGCAAAACGCCACAAAGCCTTGCCATATTCTGGCGGCATGAAAACTCTGGTTCCTTACTCCGCCCCTTGATCCGAATCCAACTCCATTTTATCCTCGTTGCCTCCTCGTTCAGCCAGCTCCGAGGCAGAAGCGGCAATGTCCTTGACCTCGTCGGCGTTGTATTCCGCAGTGGTCTTGACAATGATTTCCGACTGCTCTTCGCTCGTGGTGGGCGGCGGACTGGTATCCTTTGATTCCGTCTTGTGTGGTGAGACGGAGGCCGATTCTCGCGACGGCTTGGGGGTGGTCGGTACGCTGGTAGAGTGAACATGTTAGTTTCGTATCTTATTTGCCGCCACCATGATTTTCCAAGCAAGGATCCACGATGGGATGTGGAGGGACGGGGGTTTCGATTATACTTACACAATGACGTTGAGCACACAGTCGTCAAGATGCTCGTAGAATTCCTGTGCCGTCGAGAATCGGGCCTGACAGATGGAACAGCGGGCATCGCCGGCTCGCGAGGACCCGCCGCCCGTCATGATCATTTTGCGGCTGTTTGGCGGCGTCTGCTCAACATTGTGGACAGCAGTCAAATGTCGCTTGAACACATCGGCGCGGTTGAAGGCCTTTTCGTAGGCTGTGCCAGGCCCCGGACAAAAGGGGCAGACCATGGTCCCCTTGTAGTGCGTGAGGGCGTGCCGATTCTTGTCGTACTTGCGCGCAAAGCCCTTGATATGGTATTCGCACGTCTCAATAGGGCATTTCTCAGGGCGCTCCTCCTGATGTGTTAGCATATGCGCGGCGAGATCCTTGAAGACTCTCCCGCAGTCCGGATGGGGACATCGGTTCCGGTTATCTTCGATTTTGGGAGTAATCGGACTGCTGTGCATGGTGCTCTCCAAGGACGAAGGGGCTATCGAAGACCCTATTGACGGAGCTATCAGTTGTCCTGGACCCTGCGGCAACGGTGCTGGTGCCAGGCGCGGCGCTTCGGAAAAGGACGGTTGCCTCGGCATGGCATACTCTTCAATCATCCTGATGTCGTTGTCTTCGTCCCCGCTAGAGTCGTCATTGTTCTCGTTCACGTCAACAGACTGTCGTACTTCCCGCATCCAGTCTTTCAGAATGGTCATTGGCGGCCAGTCTCCGCTGGCCTTGCCACCGCGATGTGGATTAAAGTGAGCGCGGCGCAAATGTGCAGCTGCATTGTAGTAGGCACCGTAGCGCTTCTGTGTGACACAAGCTTTACACTTGACCAGAGGCACTGCTGGTTGTAGCGCACCGGCGCTGTGATTCTGCGGTTCCGTACAAACCCATCTCTTGACCAGCGCAGCATGCTTGGCGTCATTGTGCCTTCGTAGCTCATGTTCGCCGCGGAAGCCTTCCGGATACTCATTACACTTATTGCAAAACACACGACGCAACGGTGGCCGTTGGTAAGACGTCCTCAGTTTTGTGGGAGAAGCCAGACCCCTAGATATAGCACGAGTGAACGCCGGGCTTTCTCCCACTGTGTGCCTCCTGGCTGATTCAACCCCAAAGACAGTCGGCGCCAATTCAATCTCATTTCTGGGACCCCAGGCCTCGATCGATTGCCACTCTGGCGTCGGTTTCATCAGTGCCTCTGCAGTCTGACCCGGAACAATTACAGGCTGATAAGAGACCGTCCGGTAGACAGGTGTTCGTTGTCTGAAAAAACCATTGAATCCTGAGTTATCAGCCAGGTAGCCACTACCCAGGCTCAGCAGGAAATCTCTGGTCGAATTGATACCCCATGTTCCCCAGAGCTCTCTCCGAAGTGTGTCGTTGGTGCTTATGAGCAGTGAATGATCACTCCCATCTATATCCTGCGGCAGCTCATCGAGCATCATGGGCGACGACCAAGCGAACACGCTGACGAGAACTTTATACACGCTATGCATAGCCAGGGCGCCGTTGGAGAAAGGCTGTCCGGTCAGAGAAGATGCTGCGTCGTTGCGGCTTGACGTTGAGACCAGATCTGCCAAAATGGTCCGGATGATACTGAAAATACACAGCGAGAAGAATGTAGCTAACCAACTTTTCGGATCCGATGGCACTCGGCGTAACGTACTGCTCTCGAATGACTGGAGAAACTGTGTCATGCAATTATACAATAGCCTATTTCGGCTGTCATAGTCCATATCGTCGGGCAGAAGCTGGGCATTCGAGACGTTTACGTCTGTCCTAATGGATGGCTCAGGTTGCTGTAGGTCGTAGAAGAGAATCTCTCTCAGAAGCAATTTCGCCCGGTACAGTACTGGAAAATCCTGCCTCTCGGCTTCGCGGTTTCTTGACAGATATCCACTCAACTTGAATATGTTCCAAAATTGGAAGGCAACGCCCTCGACATTCCAACTTGCTGCTAGAACCTTGAGTACTGGAGGGGAGCCATCGATTGGGTCCTTTGCAAATGCCGCAGCCGTGGGGTTCGCTGTTGGCAACGTAGCCAAGTCCTCAGTCCACCAGAAACCATCGTTAAAATCCAAATGGGTCTTGGCTACTTGGGCCATGGCAGGACCGATGATATAAGTTCGTTCCAGATAGTCATTCATGGTGCGCCTTCGAGCCATGGGCGAAGTAATTGGGGTTTGTACTTGCCTGGGGGACAAAAGTTCTGGCAGCATATGATCAGCCAAGGCCGCCAAGGACGTTCTTTGGCATCCCAGAACATGCCAAAAGTCTTCATTCGGAGACATGGGAGGTTCGAGACAAAAGTGACAGTTGTCCTGGGAGTCGCACGGCTTTGCTTGAACTTTGCAGCGCAAGCATGGCCCTGACTCACGGGGAAGTCTCAGCTCGCCAATTGACTCCAGCCGCCCATAACCAACGCGACTTCTCTTGAGGGGTGGCAGAAGCGGGTCGACTTCCGAGTCCACGGAGCCTCTCTGTTGTATCGGTAGCTCATGCACAAGCCCAAATCCTGCGAGCGATTCGCGCCGATCTCGCGGCTGGTTGACGGCGGCCAAAGGTGGCAAGGTCGCCGGGACCGTGAGACGCGGTAGAGCCACTGGCGGACTCTTATGAAGCTGGTCCGAAACAAAAGATCGCACCGGCACCGGGTCTTGAAAGGCCATGGGAACAACGCTGCCAACAGAGATGCCCGAATCTCCCCGGACGGGAGACCGGTGCTCTCTGAGGTGCCGATCCCGGTCATCTGGGCTGGAAAACCCGTATATATAGTTGACGCAGCGGTCATCCCAACATTTATACGACGCTTGGTTTCGTGATATGAGCGGCAGCGATTCTCTCATCCTCCAGCTGCGAAACACTGGATCATGGTGGGAAATGTTTTTATCGATCCATGCGCCAAACCCCAATGGTGCATCGTCCTTGACATATGACTTGAGGGTTTCTAGCAACTTTGGGTCATGTATATCCACGCCTAGCGACAAGATGTGGGTTTAATTTCGTGTATTTCCTCTGCATAGTATGGAAGATGCCTACCTCGGTCTATCAACAAACTCTCTATGCATTCACATTTGTATTGTAGCGTGCGGGCTTCTTCAACCTCGGACAGGATTGGGGCTGTCGTTGAGAGGTCTTTTTGGTTGAACAGATGTTGTGTCAGCAGGAGACACGGATTTCGTGTTATCGGAATGTCTTTTTTTTGGGGGCGGTGTTAACTATATACTGACTTTGATTCTGTGCGTATATCTCAAGTGCCATCAGCTTGAGGCGTAGCATGTTACGCTCGAGATGTGAATTCGGGACATATTTGGCGGGTAGTAAAGCAGCAAGTTTTGCTTGGATGTCGGCCTGTTGTTCAAATAATTGCCTGATAGTATGGTCCAGTGCAGGGTCGAAGACAGAGGCGACCGAATTGTCGAGGCCGCGAGAGCCGCGACGATCGTGTCGAGTCTCTCTCGACGACAGGTCGGCAGCCATATTCTTCCCGCCGCCTCACTCAGGCTCTCTCACACACACTGCTTGCCAGGCTGCGCCAGGCCAAAGCTTGTTTGTGTGTGTGAGTGTGAGTGTGTGTGTGTGTGCCTCGCGCACTCACTCGCTCTCTACCTTCAAAGTCGCTCCACCACCTTGAGATTTACACATATAACATGTGAGAAATAATAATGGGGGTATTTTGGTTGATAAACTGAAATGGACTAGTAGCAGAGAAAAGATAGACAATAGCATGCATCAACTGCGATAGGTCTTGCGGCGAGGTTCCTTCGGAGGCATGATCGACACCATATGTAAGCTGCAACTAGGTGAGACGATAGACGGAGATTGATAATAGGTAGTAGTAGAAAAAAGATAGTGAGGCGGTCAGGTATCGAAGCGCGCGCACTGCCTCATATCGGAACAACAGAGATGTGGCTGCAGATCTGACTGAACAAGGTGTGGGAAGCGCGAGAACATCTGACCTTTTTCTCAGTGGGGGTGTGGGAAGGGTAACTTGCTTGATTTTTTTTTTTTTGTCCCTCTCTTGTTCCTTGAGTCCTTTGGCTACTCTTTCCCTCGCTCTCGCTCTTTTCCCTAACCCAGTCCCAACGGACAAGCGCTGAGAGAAACCCTGGAGACTTGGACGTCTACGTCAAAATTGATTGGCGTAAGTCAAAACTCGCAACGGGCAAAGGTACCTGAACCTGACTCCATCCATACCTACTTTTTTTTTTTTTTTACATTACCTACCTAGCAGCAGAGCCGGTAGGTGGGGCATTTAGTGGTCGCTCGCCTAGGTACGGCATGTGGTGGTGGTGGACTTGCACTGATTATTGCAGTACATGGTACCTAAATCATATACACCAAAACTACCTAGCACAAGTGCATATAGCCATGTACATGCACGGGTAAGCTGCTGGGCATCACTGAGATGTATGCGAATGTATTATCCAGACATCAACAATGCCTGCCGTTGAGTTCTTACCTGCCTTGAGAATTGACGATGATGGCTGCAAGGGTCTGCACATGTATGTGTGCTGGGGGAGTTGAATGGAGAGGAAAGAAAAGGTGACATGGGGGTGTGTGCACCTGGGGCATTTGGGGCTGGCAACGGCAATAGGTACCAGGCCGTCGTATATACTTTTAATCATATCATTTCTCCTACGTATATTCAAGTACTTGGATCTCACTACATACCTAACACTCCTCGGTTGGTAGATTACCTACATATCCATTTCCCAGCCTCAGACAAGGATCACGTATGGTCATCAGTCAATTGCTCCTCCCGTGGTCGGAGTGCCTCGGTGCTGAATGCCGATGTTCTTCTGTGGATCTGACGAACAAGTAGCCGGCGTCGTCCATGTGTGACAAAATTTGAGCCTGGTCTGGATAGGTACCCCCCGACTGCATACCTTGGTTCCTATAGGTAGGGGGGGGAAGGTACTTTGCAGTCACTGGTTGGAGAAGGAAGCAGCCTGATGATGGTAATTCGGAGTTTCCGCCCTTTTACTCAATCAGCTGAAATGCACATGGCAACTTGAAAACAGAAGCATCGCAACCCAGAGACCGGACTACAACTACTAACAATCACGAGGTAGCCTTGCTGCCTTGTAAATTTCATTTCATATTAGGTCGCATAGTCCAGGACTCCCGGGCGGCATCGCCTAATTAAGTATTGTTGTTGAGGCATGGGCAAGCTATGCACCTCTCAGAGTTCCGAGACTTCTTCAAAATCAGCTAGGTTGCTGGGAGGCAAGCTAGGAAGTACGTAGGTAGGTAGCACCCCCCATGTTTTCAGCTGCTGCAAATCAGCTTCTTGATATATTACCTATATCTTGACCAAATGTACATGCTTGACAAGCAGCACAAACCTTCGGGGTTTGCTTTGTTTGTCGGTCTTTGGAAAAGAGACCACCTCACGCTCAGCTCTCTGGGATATCTGAATCTCGTCGCAGCCGACTCCTTGTCTTTTTTTTTTTTATCTTTATTACGGCTCGCAGGGAAGGAGCACAAGGCATAACCTAGACCACAGCTCCGTCCCCTCCCCGAGGATGGGGAATGTTGGATGGTACCTAGGTAAGTGAGGATGGACTTTGCTGATAGGTAGATGGCCAAGGTAAGGTAGCTATCTTGGCCTCAACCTACCTGTGCCTCCATGATGGGGATCACACATACGCACACACACACACATTACACGCGCCACTCGCATACAAATCTCACGTTGCGAATTCCCCATGTAGGACGACGGGGTGTGATCAGCCACATGGAAACTTCGGTGCTAGCCCGTCTTTGGGGTGAGCACGACGCGGCAAGACGACAGCCCAGCAGCACTTGCGCTGCAGTGAGCTGTGGCCATGCAGTGTCAGTGGGCGAGCCGGACAAGAGATTGGGAGAGCGCTGGCCTCTGATTGGGGTCAGACACAAGAAAGCTCATGTCACTCTACCCCAGACCCAGGATACGCTCCGACTCTCTCACAGGCCGGCGGTCTGGGGGGTCCTTGAACCTTGGGCCTTACGTACGGCCGGGCTTATGTCCGGTTGGTACGACCTCGTTGCGGCAGCCCAGCTTCTCGACGACACCGCTTTTATAGAGTTGTACAAGCCGCCGCGCCCAGAGCCAGGGCGGCGTGACAACTCGAGGCGGCTTCCCGCTGAGTGCTTCGTTAGCCTGCCGATTGCAAGAGCTGTATGTACGCTTCATCAACAACATGCAGATGCCGAGTTACTTGCACAAACTATAATCAGGTGAGATGGCCAACACTCAAAACTACATCCTTGGGTCAGGACACCCGTACCTTACCCACGGCTCCGGCAACATTGTTGAATTTTCAACCCCAGACAATGGCATGCAACAGCGACGCCGCTCGCTATGTGCAAGTATCCATCTAGTGATGAGTGGTAGCATATAATAGTAGTCTAGCTATCTTCCAGATGCTCTAGACCGTCGACAAGTACCGGATCTTAAAAACTTAACAGGCTGACGCCAGAACCTTTGCGGCAAAGGCGCCCCGAAGATCTACAGTTGAGCTGACATGACCACTGGCGACCCATTCGCTCGTCGAGTCTAGATGGGTGGGAAAGACGACTATTGCGAGCTTCCTGATCGTGATCGGCGCGTTGCACTTCACCAGACGTCCGTCAAAGCTTGCGACCCCATTCGCCATGGTTGAACCCCTCACTCATATCTTCGGCTAGGGAGCCCTGGCGCGGTGGTCTGGATAATGTAATGTAGGTAGGATCGTGCCGCTGTGCGCAACGTCTTGTCTTTGCAGCTGGAGCAGCTGGGTCAGGTCAGCCTGCCCTCCTAAACTCTCTGTCTCTCTCTTGTGCATCCGACAAAGTTCTAGGCGAGCGACCGAGGAGGAGGCTCCATTACCCAAAGGGTCCGTCCGTCCCTTCTCCCCTTCTCGCAGACAGGCGAGCCGAGGGGGAGGAGGTTATCCACACGCAGCAATTGCTGCTGCACCCCTCGCTCGCGCAACCAGAGACTGCGGCGGTCGTCAGCACGCACCATCTACAGTCTACCTTGCAAACCCATGTTTGTATGTATGGTCCACCACTAATAGCGCGCAGCCGTTGAGACTGCTAACCGGCGGGTGGGCGGGCAAGGCAGCGATAACGTCCGGCTAGAACCATTTACAAACCTTGCCGACCACCACCACCCCTGCCCGCAAGCAACATGATCCTGGAGTCTTAATGGGCCCTGATATTGGGGTGCGCTCACGTTGAGATGATGAAGAGCCGACAATGCCTTGCCTTGCCTCGCCTGTAACGTTGTTCGTCCCGTCCCTGCGCTGCGCAGAGTAGTAGTATGTAGAAAGAACCATGGTGATTCGATTCCTTCACACGCGGCTGGCTGGCTACCTACCCATCTACCTTAGCTACCACTCTTCGCGATATCTTGCAAAAATGCACGAGATGCTGATGCTGCTCTCCCTACCTCCCTACCTACGGCACACCCCGACTTTGTTTTCCCCCCATCTTCAGCTGGGCGGCAGGGTCCTTTTCCACTTTCTTTCTATGGTGCAGGCTTGCGAATTTGTGCGAAATGGCGCAAGCCACGGCCGCAGATCACCTTACGGGAGATTTCACTTTCGCATTTCAGCCCTATGCAACTGCTTGGGAGGCTGCTGGGTGAACTGAACTGGACTGACTCGCGCAACCATTTCTTACAATAAAGTTATCGCCACCATGAGAACAAAGCAGCCAAGCCGGCGGCAGCAACGGAAAGCACAGACCTTGGCCACTTCTACTACGACTATACTACATATATTGGCAGGCTTTGCCATCAATGTATGAAACAAAAGGGCATCAAGACATGTAATTGCCCAAAAGCCAACCAAGCACCTTTGCTGTCTGTCGGCCTCTCGGACTCTAGGTTGCCAGGTGGGCTCATGGTCTAGAAGAAGTGATTGCGCGTCGCCAAGAAGCCGTGCAGCATTGCAGAACTACCAACCCCTCCACCTTCTGCCCATCGCTTACCTTTTGACCAGACCTATTGGTTACACTTTTATGAGCGCGTTACTTTTTTTTTTTTTTTTTTTTTTTTTTAAATTTCCTCCCTTTCTATGAACGGCCCCACATGCTCTCTCTCGGCTGGACGTTGCGATGGCACGAGTCTCGCAAGTCTGACAAGTCTGGATAGAAATAAGCGAAGACGCTGGGCTACCTGCTCGTTGCGCCAAACTAGACAAGGCGGTACCAGTACCATGTGTGCCAATGTCCCTACTTCAAATGATGCCTTCAACATGTCCAAGCTTCACCACTCTAGTCGCCAAGGCTGCTGCTATCCAGCTGCTCCAAGTGAGGCTGCAATGGGGCTGTATAGCTTGTTCCGCACCAGTTTTTTTTTTTTTTTTTTTTATTGTGCCTCTTTATGTTCTCAACAGTATAATGTACCCAAGAGTTTTGTTTATTTTTCAAGTCTCTATAAAAATCTCCACTTGACAAGTGTCTCTTGCTATTTACACATGAGATTTGATACCTTGGCTCTTTATTAGTGTGGACAACGACGTCCGTACGATCAATTGCCGCGTAGGTCGCCAAAGTTGCCTCGTATCTAAGTTGCAAAATTCAGACCCACCATACTCGTGGCCGACCTCGAGAAGGAGATGCAATGTGTAAGTGGTTCAAACAGTAAAATATGACTGACACCCAAGATTAGAGATATGAGAAAATTTTGCCAAAAATGTCGAGTAATGCAATCAGTTAAATGACTCATTACTCGGCAGCTATATGTCCCTCGAGCCGGATTTGAACCGGCGACCTGTGGATATTCCTGAATTGGAATTGTGACAATTACAGTCCATCGCTCTGCCAACTGAGCTATCAAGGGCTGGTTGTGGCAAATTCGGTCATAAATACAGTCTATGTAGTTCATCTGACTTTTTTCCCACCTCTCGAGGCTCTTTGCAATTGCTATTCAACCTGCAGTCAGTGCAAGCTCGTGGTAGATTGCAAGTCGCTTATGTAAGTAAGACTTTGTTGGACTGGGTTTAAAGTATCGAGCGTGTTGAGAGGATCTCTCTGCAAATTGCTTTCCGACCAGAGTATGGGAACCTTGGTCACCCGCTGAACCAGTGAGATCTCCCTGCCTCTGCAGACACCTTTGCTTGACTTTGAATGATACCAATGATTCAAGCATATGAGAGTAATATGTTTTGCCTGTCATCACCAATTCCAGGAAAACTTTGTTGCTGCTGGTGGCGGGGACTGGTCTTGCCCATACTTGTTGGAGTCTCAATTTTCTCGTAAAATTCTGCTTTGCTCACCGAAAATAAGTACGATACTTCTGACAAAGCTCTCCTGTCTTCTCTTGTCTTACTCGTGGGAGATGCATTCGTCTCCATTCAACTTGCTAGTCGATCGTTGGGTCATGGGGAGCACTGCTTGATTCCGCGGTCCCGGCTGTCTGGCATACCAATGCCCACTCCCTCTCAATAATACCGGCTGAATTAGTGCAATGGCAGATATCCAAATAGACTAAGAAAGGCATGTTCTTCAGCGAATGATCTCTTGTGTTTGCAGCAGAGTGTGGTGTGGTTACGTCGCTGTCAGAAAGATGAAAAATACCTAGTTATGCCTGCATGCAACATTTGATACAATGATATAAATCAAGTGTTGTAGATCTTCCTTTTCAGACACGCTATCTATTTGACCTCGCAAGTCCTCATTTCTGAAGCAACCATGACACCAAAGTGCCGTGGCTCGGACATGAAGTATAAACGCAGGTTTATACAGCCAGGTGATGATGTGTCGAGGCAAATTCAAAGTGCGAGCGCAAAACATTGACCCAACGATGGCGATATGGATGGCTTTGACTGATTCTATCCTGTACACAAATGGACACCAAAGCAGTTTGTCAGAGATGTAGACCAGAACAGGATCACTTTATACTTTATTCCATGGCTGCCCAATGAAGACTGCCTCGGTTTTCATCTATCCCTACTTTTGCGAGAAGCATGAATGCTTTCTTCTTCTTCTTATATTTAGTACATGTGTCTAGTATGTTTATAACGTAGCAAGCAGAGATTTGATCTAGAACAGCTTTGAAGTACCCGGGTATGGCTGCAGACAAGTAGCGTGCAAGAGCAGCATCGTATAGGCATTTTTAGTTTGCAATTTCAACATTAGATGACTACGGGGATGTTATGCTAGCTTATAGTAGTACTGTATTCTCTAATTGCATTACATTGCCATCTTCACGCTTTATTGATATTGAGAAAACAATATGCACCGCAACAGATACGATATGTAGACTAGCCCGCAAACACAGGGGATCTTGATATTATTAAGCTTTACGTTGAGTCTATCGCAATAACGCCAAGGCACACGTTGAGTGGTATCTGCCTTTATGCTGAACAAACGACTTCGACCTGGAGTCCCTTTTCTGGGCACACGCATACATGACAAACACGCTAAACATGGGTTGAGAAGTATTATCCCCGAGCCATTACTACACGCCTAGTACTTGATCTTTCACAAGCACGTGAATCATGGTGTCGCTCTACTCTGGCTGAGCCCATCTCCTCTCACGCAAAGGCATCTCTCGGCCCTCTGAAGCGCGAGATCCAGTGACCTCGTCTCGCCAAGCCCAGTATTCGCCGAAACGGATCTCTGCGTAATTAGCATAGTCGAAATCGATCTGTGATATTTGCGCCTGGATGAGCGACCAGATACCCCAGTAGAACCCCGGGAGGCCTCTGAACACATCAACCTCCTCGAACAGCTTAGCGACTTCCTTCTCCTCGTCAACCTCTGCCGGCTTCACGTCGGCAGGGAGAAGCTCGAAATAAGCGTGTATATAAGCTTTGATGAATTCGAGTCTCTGGGCACGGGTCGGGAGCACGGAGAAGTCGCAGTCAAAGCCACCCCACTCGGCAAAGTGATTGGCCAGGTCAAAGGCAGCCGGCGAAGGGGTCGCATACTCGTAGTCAATGAAATTAACAGTTTCGACAGTGTCGTGCTTGTTTGTTGCTCCCTTAGGGACGACTATAACATTTCCGCTCAATAAATCGCAGTGAGCAAAGACCAGCTGTGTTCTGATTAGCCCTGAACAACTTTCATGTCATGATAAAGGTTGGTTGCAGTGTCTGACGTGTAATCGCAGAGCACAAATCGCAACCAAGAAAAGTTAAGCAGTCAAGTCGCGAGAGGGTGAACCTACGCCATTCTTGCCCAAGCCAGGCCTTTGACTCAAGTCTGTAATCATCCTCCTGAGCTCCTCCTGGAGCTTGTTCTGCCTCTCGCGCTGAGCCTCGGTCTCGGTAGGCAAAGCCAGCAGCCACTTCTGCATGACTGTCCACACATTTGGCGGAGGTTTGCCGGGGGCCACCTCTTCTGCTACAAAGTGCTTGGTCACGCCATTCCCATTTGTAGCACCATGGGTCCCATTTCCATTCGCGTGGACGGGTACCTGTGCCAAGCAAGGCACTCTGGCGTGCCACTCTGCAAGGCGCTTGGCGACGGCCAAGTAAATGGACGGCTTTCTGAGGTCTTCGGGCAGCGTCGCCTTGCCCCTGATATATCTATACATCATGCCATTCTTGAACCTGGCCAGCAGCGCGGGGGCTAGGCCGTACTGCATCAGCAGCTCGTGGTTCTCGGTCTCTCGTTGTCGGTCGATCAGCACCTGGGTGCCATTGCCGTAGGCGCGCAACAGGACGGCATCGTTGTCCACCTCCTCCTTGGACAGACCCTCCTTCTTGTTGACGGCCTTGAGCAGGGTGTTGGTGATGCCCTCGGTGAAGCGCACAAACTCGATCTTGGAGCCGGGCTCCTTCCACTCGGGTCGCAGCTCCGTGACGAGCTGCAGGGCAGAAGCATCCGAGTCGTTGCCGTCGTACTCGAGCGAGATGAAGCGGACGTGGCCCACGACGCCGTTGGTGTCGCCATTGTGACTACCAGGCGACATCGTGGAAATGGGCATAGTCTGAAACGGGGGAAAGGCTGGTCGGTGTCTGTGCAGTGTCGTCGCCGGCTTCTAAAAAGGGCAGCGAATGGATTTTCCTCTATCTCTCCTTTCCTCCAAGTATTGATTTACGAAGAAGAAGAGAGAGAAGAAAAAAAAAAGGTTGAATGTTTTCGGTAAGTCGAGTCAACAGAACAGCTAGCGGAAAAAAGGGTCAGGCGCTACGCAATTTCACCTGCATACAGGAACAAGCGATTTTGTCAAAGAACGGTTGAACAAGAAACGATAGGACATGGGAAATATATTCCAGTCGTTCTTCTTACTTAGTATTTGAGGGGAAAGGGAAAAGATGGAGGGCGGAAAGCGAAAGTGCAATTCCATGAAACCAAACCAACGTCATTGCCCGCACGAGGGGCGGAGGCTTTCTGGCTCTTGCCTGGAGCATCTGCATTCAGGGACCAACCCAATGGTTTGGAGAATTTGGGGGTTCAACCAAAATCCAGGGGTAGCTCGAAGATTAATTTTTTTTTTTTTCTTTCTCTGCTTTGTCCTTTGGGGGAAGTGGAGGTTTGGGTCTAGACGGTTTTTAGGGGGTTACAAGGCCAGAGAAAGAGAAAGATCAACTGTGTTTTTTGCTCTTTCCGAGGAAGCAAGTGAGGAGGTGCCACGGATTCTCGGCACGCTGCATTTTTGCAAGGCAATGACATGTCTATACTCGAAAGGGATTTGTGAAGCTTGACAGTAGTAGTCATCTCGCACTGCCCTTTGGACACGCGCACGAGATCAATTGCCCTTCTTGGGGAGCAGATGCACATCGCGAATTGTATGTAACACTTGAGCCTACCCTAAAATGTAGTGGACAGATAGATTTTGGATCTGACGCTTCTTACAGGGGCACCACACGCTAGAGCAGGCACTTAGTTAGTGGTAGGCCAGCTTGGAGACTGGGTCCACTGAAATGAGCATGTGAAAGTCGTACAGTGGCGCTGATCTACGGAATGCCTTTGTCAGTGCCACAGCTTCATTAGGCCATAGCACCCTGTCGACTTGAACGGGAAAGAGAATATAGCTTACACACTACTAAAGTCGCTCCCATTAGCTCAACGACCTGATTAAAGTGACCAGCCTGGAGAACAAATGTTATGGTGAGCTCGAGTCGTTAAGGGGTTTCTTCCATTTACCCAACATTACTGTCTTGTTTGTTTCGCCACTGAAGACAGCTGGTCCAATCGTTCCTGAAGCGCCGACGCGTCGCAGTAGGGTCGAATATCCCAAGAGGCGCTCTACCACTGATAAGCAAGCTGGGTCGGCGAGATATTACGGCTTGTCCACTCGTCACGTTTATCCATCATCTTGCAGGCCCACATTGAATGGGTGGGGAGCTACAGATTAGGTCGGCTTTATTGGCACAGAACATACAATCTAGGTACTGACTTGTTATCATGATTTTGGTAGATCTAGTATCTGTCAGATGGTGGATTATGGTTCCCATACACTGGGGTGTGCTTGAGCACACGGATCAACCCCATAGTGTTCAGATAGATGTACGGGACCTCCCGGGGATTAGCCGGGGCCACCCAAATAAGCGTACACTTTATCAAAACTAAAAGGCGCAAAATATAGATTAATATATTATATAATTGACACCTATATTAAACCAATTTAAACTTTAATAGGAAAGCACTACTTTAATTAATAATTAAGAGTCTTAGTGCCTCCGCCGAAGCTACGAAAATGATAACCATAAAGGAAGCCGGAATCGGCCTAACGGTATCGTTAAAGATAACCTCCGACTAGAATAATTAGGAATATACGTTCTAGATCCAGGCATAGATTACCGGACTAACTAATTACCTTAAGAATAAAACGATTTTAATCAAAACCCTAGTCGAACCGAATATAAAAAAAACCAAATATATAAAGACCGCGGCAGCGACCTTCGAAGCTATAAACGAAAGCGACGATCCGAGTATCCAAAATAAAGAGAACGGGGAATAAACGATAACGGATTTTACTAAAAAAGGTTAAAAATCGTTTAACCTCGATTATAACTATTATAAAATAAGGGAGGCTATATACGCTAAGCAATATACGGCGATTAAAGAGATTACGAAGTAAATAATTATTACGATTTCTTTAAATTTTTTTTTTACGTATTACTTAATTAACGAGCCTTTGCATAAATAATACGAAAATTTAAAGGCTCGCTATAGCAAATTAGCTATAAATAATAAAAGAGAAGCAAAGAAATAATATTTAAAAGCTTTTAAGCCTCCGAAAATATTAAAAGAAGCTGTTAATTAGGTTAATAAATAAAAAATGGTTATAGCGAAAGCCTAAGCAAAGCAAATAATTAAAGCATAGGATAATTCGGTTTGGGCTATAAATTTTTTAAATATAATTATTTTAATTATATTATAATAGGCCGCCTTTTATTAAATTTATAAAAAATAAAGCATTTTAAATAGGAATTTGGAATATCGGATAATAAATAATGATTTCCGTAAAGGCTTAAGTATTTAATAGCCGATTAGGCCAAAAATTAGGAAAAGCGCTTTCGTAATTTACGTTAGTAAAGCTAAAAAATAGCCCTAAAATAAATAAAATAAAGACGCTTACCCCGTTAAAAATTAAATGCTTCCCCGATTAAATACGGCTAATTTATGTAAAAAAAGGGGTAAACGAATTACTTATAATAAAAAGCAAAAGGATATTAAATACCTTATTTATTACCTTTTTTACGCTTTTAATTTATATTTTTACGTATTTTTAAAAAAAGCCTATTTAGGTTTCGTCCCTAAAAATAAAATATAAGCATAAATAATTAAAGCCTTTAAAAAAAACCCTAACTTATAAAAACAAATTTATAATATAAAAAAGATTAAAACTAACCGAACTAATATATTACGAATAACTAAAAAAAAATCGCTCCCGATTAATATAAATTAATAGGACGGACGATTGGTAGCAAACGTATAAAGCAGTTTTATAATATTTACAAAAAATTACCTTTTGCGCCATTTAGTTATCCTAAATCTAACGATAACGATTTTAATTATAAATATAAAAATAAAGCTTATTAATTATAAATAAGCTTTTAATTACGATTTTATTTAATTAGGCGACCGGAAATTACTTATTTACGGGTACGGCATAATAATTATGTAACTCGGATTTAAAATATTACTATTAAATAATATAGCCTATTATCCTAGGTTGCTAACTATATTGGTATTATTCCGTTAACTACGAAAACGAAGATATTATTAAAATAACAAAAACGACCCTATAATATTATATAAAAAAATAAATTTTTAATTAATATACTCCAAAACCAATACGGATAATACGTCCTCGAATATAAACCTTACAAATTACCTTTAGCGTTATTTGCCACCTACCGGAAAAAATATATAATATAGATAAAAAGGCTATTATTAATTAGGGAAGCTATACGATAATACTATAAAATAGGATATCTAGGCCCGGCAGCTTTCGAATATTTTATCTATTTATCTTAAAGGGTAAAAATTAAAGGACTAATTATAATAAAATATAAAGCCTGCGTATTTATAAAAATTACGCGTTAACTACGGTAAGCGCTACGGCTAATTAACGAAAATTATAACGAACGATTAGCTATAGATTTTTATAATTATACTAAAGGGATCGAAAATTATATATCCTAAATATTAATTATTTATCGGTAGACGGGATATATATAGGACTATTATTTTACGGAAAAAATTACGGTTATATTAATTAACGCTTTCCGATCGTTTTTAGGTATAATAAAAACCTAATATAATATTAAAATTAAAGTTATCGAATGCGATAACGAGATTATAAAAATTAAATAGGTAATAAAAAGATACCTCGAAAATAAATATATTAAATTCGAGCCTTTAGTACTATATATATAAGCCTAAAATAAAGCTACCGAACGCTTAAAAGATATAATTAAAAAAAAAGAACGGGTAATGCGTATTAGCGCAAAACTCTTTTATTAACTTTGGCCCGAAATCGGCAAAACCGCGGTATATTTATATAATCGTACGCCGAATTATAGTTCCCGATAGCGTATATTATATATAAAATTTTATAAAGTAATTGCGAAAACAAAAAAAATTCCAAATCCAAGCTATAAGCCTAATTAAACCTATTTTAAAGTATTCGGATATAAAGCGTACGTAATAACGCTAACGGTATAATAGAAATTCGGCCGTTTATAGCGATTAGCACCTAAGGCATAAGTAGGATACCTAATCGGATATAGGTTATCTAATATTTATAAAATTTAGATTTTTAATTAAAATAAATTAATTAATATAAAAGATATAATTATAAATAAAAAGGAATTATACGACGGAAAATGGGATATATTTAAAAACGAGCTCTTAAATACTAATATTTAGCTTATCGCCGACTTCGTAACTAACTACGCAATATCTAAAAACGAGATCCTATAAAAATTAAAAAATAAAAATACCGCCGCAAAAAATATCCTGCTAGGCGATAATTAAAATAATTAAAAAGAAAATAGTAATTAAAAAAATAAAAAAGCAACGCTAAATAAAAAGGATAAATAATACCCTTTTACTATAATAAAATTTGCCTTTTAAATTTTACTATAAATACCTTTATTAGCTTTATTAATATATAATATAAAGGCGATTACGATTAAAAATACGGCGCTATTAAAAAAAGGACCTAAAATAATCCTATAATAAGCAGCTTTTTTAGCTGGTTATAAAGCCGTTCTTAAAGCAAGATAAAGCAATAATTAAAACGATAAAGCGAAGCTAAAACGCTTTTTTCGTTAAAGGGTAAAAATTTATAAAGCGGAAATCCCAGCTCCCCCTAAATAATACCATAAATTGCATTATTATCCGTTTAGCAGATTATTCCTTTAAGCAAAAGCTGATTATTTACAAAATTATAAAAATATACGATTTTAAACCGAGATTAATAAAAAAAATTTACGAATAAAAGGCAAATAAATC